GCTGTTGACCAGGAAGCTGTTGACCAGGAAGCTGTTGACCAGGAAGCTGTTGACCAGGAAGCTGTTGACCAGGAAGCTGCTGGCCAAGAAGCTGCTGGCCAGGAAGCTGCTGACCAGGCGACTGCTGACCAGGAAGTTGCTGTTGTGCTTCAACGGCAGTGGTGGGTAGCTGCTGGCCACCAAACTGCTGTGTTCCTTGACCAGTGCCCAATGGGAACTGTTGACCAGAGAATGGAAACTGTTGACCGTAGAAAGGGAACTGTTGACCGTAGAAAGGGAACTGTTGACCGTAGAAGGGGAACTGCTGGCTGTAGAAAGGAAATTGCTGACCGTAGAATGGAACTTGCTGCTGGGTTTGACCAACGCCGAATGGTACCTGACCGGCGCCGAATGGTACTTGACCGGCAGTGAAGGGTGGCTGCTGGCCAAATGGTGGCTGCTGGTTGGCGGCATGTTGCTGTTGCTGGGGGCCGCCGAGTGGACTGCCAACTGGAGGCCTGCGGTTCAGCCTTCTTTGTTCCCTTACGATAGCTCTGTCTCTCTTGCGTTGCCGCTTAGACGGCTGGTATACATTCGACCTATGTGCAGCACATCGCTGCTGTCCAGGAATGCAATAAGGACAGTTCATGGTTGATAGTCACGAAGACTGCGAGCGAATAGAAGAAGGCGAGTTGTTGGAAGAAGGTGAGTTGTTGGAAGAAGGTAAGGGGATGTTGACGAGATGCAGAGATGTATGAATTTGAAGAATAGGCGAAAAAACCTAGGAGTGAGTATGAAAGTGAAAGCAGCAATGCGACGTGTTGTCACCGAGAATCAAGACAAACGAACAAACAGCAAATTCAGCTTTCCATCATGATATGCAGTGTCCCGTACTGCCACATGTCTGTCTCTCAAAGAGCCCTTCACTCCACAAAGGGGGCTATCAGAATGCACAATAGTGTCGGAGACTGGTGGCTGTCCACTAAGATTGTATGCTTTGACAGGCTCTCACTGGACATATCTCCGTTCTTAGTACTTATCATGCATTTTTACAGCTGATGCATTACATCCTTCTGCCTACGGGGAGGCAAGATAGCCGGGGTTCTTTTGTGGCCTCTGTTGTTCTGGATCGGCGACATTATCGCTTATCATGTTTGATGCTACATTCTTCCATAAGTTGTAGACAGATTTGACTACACCTGCAGTCATTGAGACAGACATGATGCGACCATCAATGAGAGCGGTTTGATGCAAATTCATCTGGCCCATTCAAGCCATAATCAGGGAGAAAGGGATCATTGCTCATATCGATCTGTCTTTCATCCAATCGTTGACATCAAAGCTGTGCTGTCGTTTGTAGCCTGCAAAGACGCCTCATGCGATATGCGACGGCAATATGCCGGTGAGCGGCGGGACTGTGCAGGAAGGGCACGGAGGCACATTTGTTACAGTTCCTCTCACCGTCGCTAAAAAGCTAATCATGGAACGACAAAGATCAGCGTAAAGCAATTGTAATGAACATCCGTAAAGGATACAAGAGATGATCGTCGACATCGATGTTGAGAAGGCACCTTCAGGAGCTTGGGCCACATCGGAGCTGAGAAGCGCTTATCTCCTTTTGCTGTAGAAGTCCACGGTTCGAATCAGCGCAGTGCCGTACCGCAACGTTTCGGCTCTCAGGATATCATAAGAGGCTAGTGGATGAGCATTGTATTAAAAACAATATTTCACGACTCTAATACATACCAGTGGTAATTGCTTAGAACCTCGAGACAAGACACCAGCATTGAATAAATAGGTAAGAAGATGGTCAACAGGTTACATCCTCCGCAATGAGCAGTACCAATACTTCGAAGTATTATGAAGCCATAGAGGATTCTGACAACCATGTAGTTTTGGTTGATCCTTGGATCAATGGTTGATTTCTCGTCTTCATATAGTCTCGTATTAGTGCCTGAACCAAGAGTGCAGTGCATCAATTGGGTGGGGAAGGAACCCCCAATCGCACCTTCCAAGACAAGAATTCTGTGCCTGAACCCTCTAAACCTTAATCAAGTGCTCATACCTACCGCAAGGCGTCTTTGAACCACCCAAGATGCATGTTCCGAATTCAATTGTGATCCCAATTGACTGCCTTCCCAGACCGATCCAGTCTATACCGATTTAACACGGTAAGTGCACCAGCCTTGATCTCTTTTGGCGACAATTGCACTTTGCATGATGAACCGGCGTGGTCTTTCGACGGAAATGCGATCAACCTCCACACAAGGATGGGTTATCTGGAGTCTAGTTCTTTTGATTTTATCGTCAGCTTAACTGTTCGATAGCGTCCGGGCAGTGGGTGGGCCCAGGGTAAGTCGATCCTTTTCTGCTTGCTGACATCGGCTCTGGCTGACCTTCTCATCAGTTCGCAGGTAGTCTAGTTCTCCCCAGCGTCTAGTTCTTTCAACGTTGTCGTCAGCTTAACTGGTCGATTGCGTCCGGGCAGTGGGTTCGCCCAGGGTAAGTCAATCCTCTTCTGGGGGTGTTGAATATGGCTAATCCTCTCGTCAGTTCGCAGCTAGTCTAGTTCGCAGCTCAATCCTAGATCAAAGCGTTCCCTGGCGTTTAGTTCTCTTAATTTTATCGTCGGCTTAACTGTTCGATAGCGTCCGGGCAGTGGGTGGGCCCAGGGTAAGTCGATCCTCTTCTGGCGTGTTCAAATCTGACTGACTTTCGTGCCAGTTCGCAGCTAGTCTAGTTCGCTGGGACAGAGCGCTTTGGTTTCTGACGATTCTGCAATAATCTCTGAATTTTGATCTCATTGTCAAATGGGAACATGAACGTGATCCGCTAACAAATTCGAGGCTGAACAGGTGACCATCTATACCTGGCGAGATCGTCGCAACTCAGACATCGAGCTTCAGATAAAGAACTCCGGACTCGGTATCTGTCAATCTGGGGAACGGCTAACATCGAAACATCTTTTGTGCCACGTTGTCCCGAGAGGCGGAATTCTATCAACGGAAGCAATATCGAGCCATTTTCGAAAAGCGCATGCCATGAGTTCAACCATCATGGAGTTCTTGTTCCTATTGGTCCCTGGACAATAGGCAGCTTTGCAATGTGATCCTGACCTGATCCCATGGCGGCGAGCAATTGTCTTGAAGATATCGGCCAACACAAGAGGATCTGATTCAGGTTTTCTTCTGGTCTTGATCGTGAAGTCTGCATCCAGGTAGCGGGATAGATCGTTGTAGAGATGCTATTGAGTTGTCAGTCAGATACACAAAGAACATTTCTGTTGACTTTGACATACAAGACCTTGCCTAGAAGCTCCTACTCGAGATCCTTGAAATATTTGAGTACAACATAATCTTTATCCATCATCTGGTTCACTCAAACGCGTACAGAACCCTTGGTATAGAATTGTCATCGATCATCTGGAATACGCTGGCAACTGAAACAAGCCAGAACAACAGTCGTCTCAGCCCGGTCACTTCCGAGGCTTCGACGTTTACATCACGTGGATGAGCTGCCCAATCAACTGCTGGGAGGAGTGATATCGAGTCGCGCGCGTATCTACTTCGGTTGGCAACAGCAAATGATCACAATAACATCGACATCTGAACCTGCTCTCCATTGAGTGCCAGAATTCCACGATTGATGTGATGCAATAACCTCAACTCCCGAAGTGATAGGACTGAAACTCGTAAGTTGGGTCTTTGATATATGCACTACCACTAGTAGAATCTTGATTTGACAAAACATGTTAGTCGTAAGAGATGTTCGGATATGCGTTCGACACGAATGGTGACTTAGTAGTATCTTGGTATCTATGTACTCGGTATGATATCTGAATCATACATGACTACTTGGTATACAATGAGGTAAACTTCCTTCGACCTGTATAGCATATATTTGATGTGAAGAGAATAAATTATCTATCGAACCATTGTTTGTTGTGATGTTGCAGTCCCAAGTTGCCATGATTTTGTGCGGCAGGGAAGTTTTGATGGGCATGTGTAGGTCGTCTTGTGCCGCTTTATGCTTGAGCACAACCCCTTGGCACAAGCTTGCATTGACGTGTTCGATGTTACGAGCTGCCCCAGATTCTCCATTCGAATGGACTGCTGCCAGCTGTAAAGTGTCAACTATTGTAGCAGTGCAGCCGCAACATTAGCACAACATGGCTGCTGCATTGACAGCTCTTTCGTCCAGATGGACTCAGCTGCTTCTGCTGGTGGCAGCTCTATGCTTGCTGTTCTCTCCAGCTGGTGAGTCTGACTCCAAGGGCATCTAGAAGGGTCAAAAGCTTAACCCATACGAGTGTCTGTGAAGCACGAGAACTTCAAAACCTGTGATCAGTCAGGCTTCTGTAAACGCAACAGAGCCTACGCCGACTCGGCCGCCTCTTTATCCTCCTCGTGGACCAGCCCTTACGTTCTCGACTCCGCATCTATCACCTTCTCCAAGGGCCAGTTGTCGGGCACTATCCTCAAGACCATTGCAACCTCCGACCAAGCCATCCGTCTGCCAGTCACCATCTCCTTTTTCGAGTCTGGTACCGCCAGGATTACTGTTGATGAAGAGAAGCGTCAGAAGGGAGATATTGAGCTTCGTCATGGCTCGAAGGCTCGTAAAGAGCGTTACAACGAGGCTGAGAAGTGGGCTATCGTTGGTGGAACTAAGCTCAGCTCTGGTGCTGCAACTGCTAAGGATGCTGAAGCTGGTACCACCAAGATCTCGTATGGTCCTGGAAGCAAGTTTGAGGCCATCGTCACTCACTCTCCCTTCGGCATTGAATTTAAGAGAGACGGTGAGACACACATCAAGCTAAACGACAGAGGATTGATGAACGTCGAGCACTGGCGTCCCAAAGTCGACAAACCACAAGAAGAGAAGAAGGAGGGCGAGGCTGAAGGCGACGACGTGAACAAGGAGGTAACTGAAGACGAGAGCACATGGTGGGACGAGGCCTTTGGCGGAAACACCGACTCCAAACCCCGAGGTCCTGAAAGTGTAGCCCTTGACGTTACATTCCCTGGCTACGAGCATGTCTTTGGTGTCCCTGAGCACACTGGCCCCCTCTCCCTAAGACAAACTCGGTAAGTTTGAATTGCTTTCCCCTCATCGCAATTGCTGTGATGCTTACAATCTTGATAGGGGCGGCGAAGGCAACTTCAACGACCCTTACCGTCTTTACAACGCCGATGTTTTCGAATACGAGATGAACAGTCCTATGACTCTTTACGGAGCAATTCCCTTCATGCAAGCTCACAAGAAAGACTCGACCGTTGGTGTTTTCTGGCTCAACGCTGCAGAGACTTGGATCGACATTGTCAAGTCCAAGTCGAGTGCCAACCCTCTCAGTCTCGGAATTGGGTCTCATACTGACACGCAGACTCACTGGTTTTCCGAGTCTGGCCTGCTTGATGTCTTTGTCTTCCTTGGTTCTACACCCAAGGACGTCATCTCGTCCTTCTCTGAATTGACCGGCTACACCCAGCTGCCTCAGCAATTTGCCATTGCCCACCATCAATGTCGTTGGAACTACGTTACTGATGAAGATGTCAAGGACGTCGATCGCAAGTTTGATAAAGCTCAAATCCCTTACGACGTCATCTGGCTCGACATTGAATACACTGATGGCAAGAAGTATTTCACCTGGGACCCTCTGACCTTCCCTAACCCGCTTGAAATGCAAAAGCAACTTGATGATCATGAGAGAAAGCTTGTTGCTATTATCGATCCTCATATCAAGAACGAGGGCGGTTACTCTGTCGTCGACGAGCTCAAGTCCAAGGATCTTGCAACCCACAACAAAGATGGTAACATCTACGAAGGTTGGTGCTGGCCTGGCTCTTCTTACTGGGTTGATTGCTTCTCTCCTGCTGCCCGTAAGTGGTGGGCACAGTTGTTCCAGTATGCAAAGTTCAAGGGTTCTGCTCATAACCTTTGGTTGTGGAATGACATGAACGAGCCGTCGGTTTTCAACGGCCCAGAGACCACAATGCCTAAGGACAACTTGCACCATGGCAACTGGGAGCACAGAGATGTTCACAATCTTAACGGCCTTACACTTGTCAACGCAACTTTTGAAGGTCTGGTTGCACGCAACAAGGAAGAAGAGAAGGCTGGAGGAGTGAGACCATTCGTCTTGACTCGCTCGTTCTATGCAGGCTCGCAACGCATGGGAGCCATGTGGACTGGCGACAACCAAGCAAACTGGGAACACTTGGAGGCATCTCTTCCCATGATCCTGTCTCTGGGTGTCTCCGGTTTCCCCTTCGCCGGCGCTGACGTTGGTGGTTTCTTTGGAAACCCTCCCCGAGAGCTGCTTACCCGCTGGTACCAGGCCGGAGCTTTCTACCCATTCTTCCGTGCCCATGCTCACATCGATACTCGCCGCCGGGAACCTTATCTTCTGCCCGACCTCGAGAAAGGCATCGTCACACAAGCTTTGAGACTTCGTTACGCCCTACTTCCTGCATGGTACACTGCTTTCCACACAGCAAGCAAGACGGGCGCGCCGATTGTGCAGCCAATGTACTATGCACACCCAGGAGACGAGAAGGGCTTTGCCATCGATGACCAGATGTATCTTGGATCGACTGGCCTGCTGGTCAAGCCTGTCACAAAGGAAGGCGCAACCAGTGTCGACATTTATCTGCCAGACGGCGAGAAGTACTTTGACTACTCAGACTACACAAGTTACAGCGGTCCTGGCCATGTCAAGGTAGAGGCACCTCTGGAGAAGATACCACTTCTCATGAGAGGTGGTCATATTATTCCTAGACGTGATCGCCCGAGAAGATCTAGTGGGCTGATGAAGTTTGACCCTTTCACACTTGTTGTGGTTCTCGGTAATGACGGCAACGCGGAAGGCGAGCTTTACCTTGACGACGGCGAGTCTTATGAGTACGAGCAAGGTGCATACATCCATCGCCGCTTCACATACACTGGCTCCACGTCGTCGCTGGCATCTGAGGATCTCAGCACTAAGGGCAAGAAGACGGCGCAGTACCTTCAGCAGATGAAGAATGTCAGAGTAGAGAAGATTGTGATTGTGAATGCGCCGTCGTCGTGGAAGAGCAAGACTGAGGTCGAGGTATCGGAGGAGGGAGTTAGCAGTAGCGGTGAGAGCAAGAAGGGCGGATTCTCATTTATCAGTGGGGAATCGGGCAAGGCAGATTGGGCAGTTGTTAGGAACCCGGGCGTCAGCATTGGCGGAGGGTGGAAGATCAACTTTGCGTAAACAAAAGATAGAGTAGAGTAATACAGAGTTCTACATGTATTGCATAGCGAGTTGGTTGACAATAATTCGACTGCCTGCAGGTGTGGCTGTGCGTGAGGCAGCATGATAAGAGAGGCTTGGAGCTGTGAACTCTAAACGTCTCTGGGACGTGGAGAGCAACAGTGAAACGTCACCCGCAATTTAACCGCATATCATCGAGCCCGACTGCCCAGTGACCCTAAGTTAATTACACCGCAATTGTGGTTTTTGCCCTCCCTTTCGCCAGACAACAGTCAAGACCTCTGCAACCCCTTGTCAGGTCTCTCCCCCAACACTCGAAAGTCGCGCAACTAGCACACGCGCTGCTCATCGCCAGACATGGCTACTAATGCCTCCGCGTAAGTTGGATTCAGGAGGCTACAGCTATCATTCATGTCCACCTTCTGACCTGTCCAAACAGAAGCATCAACGTCAACGACCCCGGTCTCATCACCCTAGTGAACAAGCTCCAAGATGTCTTCACCACAGTCGGAGTACGAGTCTACCCCGCTCCATGCTTAAACTCGATGTTAACCTTGCGCCTTGCAGGTCCAAAACCCCATCGACCTTCCTCAAATCGCCGTCGTAGGTTCGCAATCAAGTGGAAAGAGTTCGGTCTTGGAAAATATAGTCGGCCGCGACTTCCTGCCTCGAGGAACTGGTATCGTGACAAGACGGCCACTCATCCTGCAACTCATCAATCGAGCACCCCAACCCAAGTCGCAAGAGAACGGCGCAGCTGCCGAGGCTGTTGATGGTGCTGCAGACAAGGAGTCCAACGTAGATGAGTGGGGCGAGTTCTTGCACATTCCTGGTCAAAAGTTCTATGACTTCAACAAGATCCGCGACGAGATTGTGCGCGAGACCGAGTCCAAGACTGGTCGCAATGCTGGCATTTCACCTGCCCCCATCAACCTGCGCATCTACTCGCCAAACGTCCTGACTCTTACCCTGGTCGATTTGCCCGGTCTTACCAAGGTGCCTGTTGGCGATCAACCCCGCGATATTGAGCGTCAGATCCGCGAGATGGTCCTTAAGCAAATCAGCAAACCTAACGCCATCATCCTCGCTGTCACTGCTGCCAACACCGATTTGGCCAACTCGGACGGTCTTAAGCTGGCTCGTGAAGTCGACCCTGAGGGTCAGCGCACCATTGGTGTTCTGACCAAGGTCGATTTGATGGATGAGGGTACCGACGTTGTCGACATTCTTGCTGGTAGAATCATTCCTCTGCGCTTGGGATACGTACCCGTCGTCAACCGTGGCCAACGTGATATTGAGAACAAGAAGGCCATCTCATACGCCCTCGAGCACGAGCGTGCCTTCTTCGAGAACCACAAGGCTTACCGCAACAAGAGCAGTTATTGCGGTACTCCTTACCTCGCTCGCAAGCTCAACCTGATTCTTATGATGCACATCAAGCAAACTCTACCCGACATCAAAGCCAGAATCTCTGCATCCTTGCAAAAATACACAGCCGAACTCAACACCCTTGGAGACTCGATACTTGGCAACAGTGCAAACATCGTCTTGAACATCATCACCGAATTTTCCAACGAATACAGAACAGTCCTCGAGGGAAACAACCAGGAACTTTCTAGCATTGAACTCTCCGGTGGTGCCAGAATTTCTTTCGTTTTCCACGAGCTCTACGCAAACGGTGTCAAGGCAGTGGATCCCTTCGACCAGGTCAAGGATATCGACATCCGCACTATTCTCTACAACTCGTCTGGTTCTTCGCCTGCTCTGTTTGTTGGTACTACCGCGTTCGAGCTCATCGTTAAGCAACAGATCAAGAGGCTGGAAGACCCCAGCTTGAAGTGCGTTTCTTTGGTCCACGATGAACTGGTCCGCATCTTGGGTCAACTCTTGAACAAGCCTCTTTTCAGAAGATATCCTTCATTGAAGGAGAAGCTTTACCAGACAGTCATCAACTTCTTCAAGAAGTCCATGGAGCCATCTAACAAGCTTGTTAAGGATCTTGTTGCCATGGAGGCTTGCTACGTTAACACTGGCCATCCAGATTTCCTTAATGGTCACAGAGCTATGGCTATTGTCAACGAGCGTCGTCACGCTTCTAGACCTACACAAGTTGACCCCAAGACTGGCAAGCCTTTGCCACCATCCGCTGTGCCGCCGCGCGCTGCAAGCCCTTCATTGTCTCTTGACGGAAATGACACCTCGGGCGGTTTCTTCGGCAGTTTCTTCGCCAGCAAGAACAAGAAGAAGATGGCTGCCATGGAGGCACCCCCACCAACACTCAAGGCCAGCGGCACACTTAGTGAGAAGGAGAGTGAAGAAGTCGAAGTCATCAAGCTCCTCATCACTAGTTACTTCAACATTGTGCGCCGAACTATGATCGACATGGTCCCCAAGGCCATCATGTTGACCCTGGTGCAGTAAGTAGAACCATGCACATACCATGCACATCTTATCAGCACAGCACTAACATTGTCTTTACAGATTCTCAAAGGAAGAGATGCAACGCGAGCTCTTGGAGCAAATGTACCGCACACAAGAGTTTGACGATCTGCTCAAGGAGAGCAACTACACAGTGCGCAGACGCAAGGAGTGCCAGCAGATGGTCGAGAGCTTGGGCAAGGCAAACGAGATTGTCAGCCAAGTGCAGTAGTTTTGACGTTCAATTGTAATCTGTTCTGGTTTTTCTTTCTGAGTTGGGTTTTGGCGTTACCAAACTGCTTTTCTTTTCTGCCTTGAATCATGGAGAATAGATGATATGAGATAAGTGAGCATGACGGCAAGGGACATGGAAGTGGAGGCGAAATGTCTGTTCTTTGGTTTCTTCGCCTTCAAGCGTAACGATGTGGGGCTATGTAAAAGAAAGCATGAGTACTCCTTGTAACTTCCTCTTTTCTGTTCTGATTTTCAATCTATTGTCGGCGAGTCTGACGAGCTTGGAATGTGGCACGCGCATCCTTAGGTAGGTAGTTGGACAGAGCGCAACCGCTATTTTAAGTCTTGTGTCAATCACTTTCTGAAACGCGTGCAAATTGTGAGTGAGAATAACAAAATGGTATCTGATTGGTATTGCATATGAGCAGACCTCAAGCCTCCCTACATCTTACACCTGCACCTTGAACGCCAGATCGACATCAACCCACACAACGACCCTGCCCAAAACTCCTTGCCATCAACTTTAGACATGTACCGTTATTTGTGTCAAATCATTAAACACCACTTCTATACACTTGACCACCACCCTTGCGAAGTTGTATACTGTCTCTCTTTTGCAGTGCCCAGATGGCTCTGTTGAGGGCTTGTTCTGAAAAGTTTTTCCTGTCCACAAACTCACGCCTCAAAGTGGCTAAGCTGGCTGTGTAGCCAATAGGCAAACGCCTTCGCAACTCGTCTTCAACCTTTGAGATTTCGTCGACGAGCTCACGATTACCGGAGATACCAGCAGCATTGGCAGCATTTGATTCACCGTTTTGGGAGAGGACGGCTTCCATGGTACTGCCCAAGAACAGACGGATTGCTTCGTCGACGTGGTGTTCTGTGGCGATTGGGGACAAAGAGATCTTGGCCAATGATTCGGTGATACGAACGAGCGACTCCAGTTGTCTGACAGTGATGGGGATACTCGAACGCTGGTTGGCGGATGCTTCGGCCTGGGCGACTTGTCTTCTGATACTGACAAAGTGCGAGGACAACTTCTCGGCGGCTTCAGCTGAGAGACGGGGCGCGCAACGAGTCTTGCAGTAGCTGATGTAGCGCTTCATCTTCTCGACTGGGATGGTTGGAGCGGCTTGTTGTTGTTCTTGGTTGCCACTGCCACCCATGTGAATGCCCATGACGTGCTTTGCAATACGCTCATCACGTCCACGGTCGTGCTCATCCTTGACGATGAAGATGAGATCGAATCTGCTGAGAATGGTGGTCTGGAAATCGATGTTTTCGCCGGGAGATTTGAGATCGTCGTAGCGCCCGAAAATAGGGTTGGCAGCTGCGAGGACAGAGGTGCGAGCGTTGAGAATTGTTGTGATACCAGCCTTGGCTATCGAGATGGTTTGTTGTTCCATAGCTTCGTGGATGGCAACACGATCCTCATCTCGCATCTTGTCGAACTCATCGATACAAACGACACCACCATCTGCCAACACCATGGCGCCACCTTCCAAATAGAACTCGCGAGAATTTTGATCGCGCTGCACCGAGGCCGTCAAACCAGCTGCAGAGGAACCTTTACCGGAAGTGTAGATGGCAATGGGAGCAGCTTTCTCGACGAACTTGAGAAGTTGAGATTTGGCGGTACCAGGGTCACCAAGAAGCAAGACGTTGATATCTCCACGGAGCTTCATACCATCAGGTAGAATTTTCTTGCTACCACCCATGAGCAAGCAGGTGATGGCCTTCTTGATGTCCATGTTTCCGTAAATTGATGGCGCAATACATTCAGCAAATCGTTCGTATAGGTCGGGCCTCCTGCTCATCTCGAGGAATTCTTGTTCCTCCTCTTCAGTGAAGTGGGCGCCACCTTTGGCTGTGTGATCGACATCGGTCTGAATGCCGACTGCGCGAAGATACGGGGTACGGATGGCGACGGCAGCTCCAGAGCCTTTGGACTTTGACTGGTATGTGCTGAAAACGCCCATGACGGTGCATCGCGAACCGGGGACAACACGATTTGTCAGGTAGCGGTCTGCTGAGATGTGGATGTGACGAGGTAGTTCACCAACAGGGACATCATCGGGAGCTTCTTGCAGCTTGATGACCTGCTGATCGATGAACTGACACTTTTCGTGAACGACAAAGTATGGATCCAGGGGACATTTTGCTGACTCTTCACCGGGTTGAGTCGAACGAGCACATGTGCGGGGCAAGGTAAGACCGGAGAAGCCACCTAAGACGGAGATGTTCTGAGAGTGCTGACAGTTACGGCATTGGATGTGCAAGACGGTGGCTTTTGAAGAAAGGGTGCTGGCTCCAATGACAATTCCAGGGATGCGGACCAGATGAGAGACGTGCGTGGCTGTCAGACCACGAATGAGAGTCTGGGTGACGGACGAGTTGAGCAAGAGCTGGGCGGGTGGCAGATTGACGTTGCGCTGCGAGGGATAGATGATGCGTTGGGCGCAGTGCTTGATGGCGGCTTCGAACAGCGGAATCATTTCGGCAGGCTCATTGTTGAGGCGTTGGGCAAGTGTTGGGTTGACCGAGGCGACATGCTCTATGTCTACGTCGCAGTAGTATTGCTTAGCTTGGTAGTTCTCTTTGATCTGGTCTCTGTATGGCCAAATGGCGCCATTATTTATCTGGTATTTCATGATAAAGTCGACGAATTGATCTTGGATGGCGCCGCGAGAGTCTTCCCCGGTTTGACTGCGGTCTTCGGGGAAGACACTCAGAGTGTAGACCGACTCTCTATCCATGGTTTTGGTATGGTGTGCTATGTGATTGAGGGGGTAAACACGGAGAAGAAAGAGCTCAGAAACAACACGAACGCGACTCTGGGCCGGCGTTTCAATTAACCCCCGACTAGGCTAGCGCCCCCTGATTCGTGCTCCTGGCGGCTCTGCAGTTCTGGCGCACCGCAGAGCAGCGCAGTCTAGTCGGCGGTAGCGCAGCGGGTCCCAGTCTGGGGTCTATCATAGATGCTGTAGTCGTTGCTGGCTTCGTATCATCAACTTCGACTTAGAATGTCCTTGACATGTCCGAAGACAGCGCCGACCTGGTCTCGTCGCCCTCGTCGCTCCACTCGGCCTATCCCTTCCCTTCGTCCTACCAGAGACGCCCTTCACGCCGCCTGTCCAATGACAGCACTCTGTCCATCAATTCAATAGGTGGTGCTCTAGATATCAATCCCACCAGACCCGACAATTCTCTGAGGGAAGCTGGCCAGAATGGTGCGCATCAACCACGACAATACTGCCTGTTCTAGACACGTCCTCTAAACATGATATAGCCATCTCAACCCTGCTGCAACCCCCAATAGTTCGCACTGGCCTCCTGACTCCAGCTGCATCCGCTTCCTCGACTTATCGTGCCCCGACCACACGCGACATCCCTCCCGTCACTCTGACAAACATACCCAAGGTTGATACCTCTACCTTTAAGGAATACATCTCTCGTGTCGGGCCACTGTTCGACAATCTCTCACGTCTTCGTCGCGACACTCAATCCAAGCCCCAGAATGATGCCCCAACCAGCCCTGTCCTCAGTCGCCATAACTCTGCCAGCTCGCTTCTCTCGCCCACCGACTCCCCTCAGCCGCGACGCCGATCTAGTGCTTATGCTCGCCGTAGGTTGAACGAGCCCACCCCCTTGTCCACCATTCCAAATGTCTATTTCGACGAGAACTTCCAACTCGAGAATCCAAGGACCTTCGATGTTGTCAGCGAGCGCGCCGAGATCGCTCCTGGTACCGCAAAACAGGAACAGTCCGCTAATGGTGCTCCTCTCCCTCCGCGCAAGGCTCTAGCCAGCAATGCCATCTTACAAGAGAAACTGTCATGGTACATGGATACCGTAGAGGTGCACCTGATCCAATCAATCTCTTCCGCCTCGACCTCCTTCTTTGCCGCTCTAGGCTCATTGCGCGACCTCGAGCAAGAAGCCTCCGACTCTGTCACCCGGATCCAGAAATTGAGGGCAGATTTAGCAAAGCTGGATCAAGACATGGCAATGGGTGGTCTAGAGGTCGCCAACCTGCGAAGAAGATACCAAAACATGCAAAAGCTCGCCAATGCTGTGGATCAGGTAGCCCGTGTAGTACAAGATGCGAAGAATTGTGAAGAATTGGTCGAGAAAGGAGAGTATGATGCTGCTGCCAGCGCAATGTCACGCCTCGATCGCTTGATCGCCGGACAACCCGAGCCGTCATCAGAACCATCGACAACAGATTTACACGATTTGCGCCCTCTGCACGCCCTTCAGGGTCTGTCTGATTCCATGAATCAGCTGCGCTTCCGCATCGGCAGAGGCTTCGAGTCCCGTTTTCTCGAGACTATGTTATCCGATCTACGGAGGCACATCGACAACGTACCGCCCAAGGATACCATGCGTCGCTGGGCGAGTACATCAATGCGCTTGCGAGGTCTGCAGACTGGTCCAACAGCTTATATGGAGATCGACGATCAATTCCGGAAAGACTTGCTCGCTTCATTACATGGTCTGAGTAACTCAAGTCAAACTGCGCAGGCGACAGCCGATTTCAGAGACGCTATCATGAGGGAGATGAAACACCTAATACGCAAACATCTGCCTAGCTCTAATGATGATGACAACGAGTCTGTCACATCGGTCGCCACCCGTACCAGCAAGGCTGCGAGCCAACAGGAGAAGTCTATCATTCTGGCTAGAAACTTGCGTGCCATGGATGAGGAGTCTGCCGAAGACATGGTTGTCAATATCTACACTGACATCAGTGAAGCTTTGCGACGTCTGAGCATACAGATTAAGGTATTGCTCGATGTCACCAGTACCATGGATGCTCCAGATTCGTTGAAGTCACCTTTGAGCCCAGATATAAGGTCAACCGACCGATCTAGAAGCCCAGCGCCTAGGGTAAGCGGAATGCAAGAAGAGTTGAGCCAGGCACTAGACATGTCAAGCCTATTAGGTCAAGCAGTGGACGTAGCGCACACTCAAATCACACGAATCCTCAAGGTGCGCACAGAGCAGGTGAACCACTTACCGCTAGAACGTTTCCTCCGCTACTTCACCATCAATCGCCTGTTCGCCGACGAATGCGAGGCCATCTCTGGTCGCTCAGGTACTCAGCTCAAGGCTCTAGTCAATACACAAATCAACACTTTTGTGCGAGCCTTTGGTGACGCTGAAAATCAGCGAATTGCTCAGACACTGGATTCTGATCAGTGGGAAGCTAAGGACTTCAAGGAGGTAGACCAGGTATTGCTCTCCCGCATACTCGAAGGCATGTCCTCGGATCCAGCCGTCTGGCTACAGGGCACGCGCGTTTGGGAAGATCCATCACAACCTGAAGCGACTAATGGAACCTCTTCATCAAATGGCGAGGGCAGTGATGCGAAGTCTACTAATCGACCAGCGTACATTGATGAGACACGATACATCCTGGTTTCATCTGCCATCTCCCTGCTTCGACCTATCGATGACTTCCTTGCCCTGATAACCAGCATACCCTCGATAACTTCTGCCGCTGTGCCAGCCTTGATCGATGTCCTCCGAACCTTCAACTCGCGTACATCACAGCTCATCCTCGGCGCTGGCGCCACAAGGATTGCTGGTCTAAAAAATATCACTACTAAACATCTCGCCCTCGCCTCGCAAGCGCTCAGCTTCGTTATTGCTATGTCGCCTTACCTCCGCGAAGCAGTCCGCCGACACGCAAGCGCAGCCAACAAAGCCGAAGTGCTCGGTGAATTCGACAAGCTCAAGCGACTGTATCAAGATCATCAAATGGCCATTCATGACAAGCTTGTCGAGATCATGACAGCAAGAGCAACATCACATGTCAACTCAATGAAGAAGCTTGACTTCGATGCCGAAGCGAAGAAGAATGCAGATGGCACGAGTGCATACATGGAGACTTTGACAAAAGAAACGGGCACCTTGCACCGTGTGCTGAGCAGACATCTAGCAGAAATGGATGTAACGATCATTCTGAGCCAGATATTCGCCAGCTACAAGGAGCAATGGCTCAAGGCTTTCCAAGGAGTAGAGATCAAGACGCCGGCTGGCAAGCAGAGGCTCCTCAAAGATGCACAGCTATTTGATTCGAAGCTGGGCAAGATTGACGGATTTGGCGACATGGGCAAGACGCTCATGAACGCTGTCGAAGCGAAGACGGTCGTCCAGGAGAAACAAGACCTGCCACCGCCTCCACTACCTCAAACCAAAGAGGTCACAAACGAGAAACCATTACCTTCAGCACCCATAACTGCAGACAAGGAGAAGAAGGATAGTGAGGAAACTGAAAAGGCACCATCCGTCGAACAGGAGAAGGAGACGAAAAGTTAAGAAGCTAGAATTGCATATATGCATTATTGTCACTTGGACTTGCAAACCTACATCTCTGACCGAGCGAGAGCTCTCGCAAATGTACTCGATCAAGTTAGCGTGGGTGATGGTGGTAGAGAAGTTGGCAGGTGTAAATGCTCTATTCCAGGGCAGGCACGACTTGGCGGCCAGGGTCATAGGCTTGGCTACCAGTTTTTCGATTACCGACGCGATTGTCTTGCCACGGCGTGGAATAGCGTCATCTTAGGAGGCTATTAGTGTGTAGCAGTATCATATCTATGATCATGAGGCTTCACGTCATCAATATCACGATATCTGGACTGTTGTTACCGAATATAACTTTTGAGACCTGCTGTTTTTGAAGCTCGCCTCGGTTCATACCATGCGTGACTGCCTTTAAATGACTGTTCATCATCGTTCTTGCAAACCGCGGTTCCGGCGTCAACTTGCCTTGAACGAACCGGCCAAGAGTCTCCATCTGACGGAGCATTGTACTGAATAGCGTATGCCACCAACAGGTGACCATTGCATTGCAAAGACAATTCGCGGTATCGATTATAGAATTATATTGCTACAGATTTAGAATTCAAGCACGTACGGCCACAGTCAGCTGAAAACTGGGCATCCCGTCCGCTCTGCCATACATAAGCAGTTGAACGGCAGATTAGTACTACGGTGGGTGACCACGTGGGAATCCCTGCTGCTGTACGTTTTGTATTTTTGCTCAAGTTCATCGAATCTAATCTATCTAGATATCATGCCGTGGGTGTAGTCTTTGCTTTTTTTAATCATTGTGTGTGAAAACATCGAACCCAACACCCTTCTTATTAAGCCACGAACTTTAGCGTCCTGCCAAGAATGGGCCTGTAGCGATTACTGTCAGTAGTCAATGAAACACAGTTCTCTTTCAAAACAAAGAACAAAACGAGTTGTTAAGCTATGCTAGGCGACCATAGGTAAGACCGCGCTCAGGATCATGATATGTACATGGGCGCAAAGAGAGGAACGCACTTCCTCCTCCTCGTTTTCTCCTATGGGGTACGTCTATGGGGCCCCGGAAAATTAATCTATATGTGGCGCAGGAAGTTCGGAAGGCGGAAGTTGAATTGACCAACTTTCACATCAATCTGTTATCTCGACTACGGGTGCTCCTGATGAATAAAGCGGGGCCCCGAACCAGTGGGTCTCCTTTCCTGACGCATGCCACATGTCTCCTGATCTTCCTTTGCGTTGAACAATCCTCCTTGCCAATACTCACGAGTACTTAAAGATGGACAAGCAAGGCATTGAAACTACAGAGTTCACCGAACAGAAACGAGATCTTCACGGCTATGATGATTCTGAAGGCTATCTTGCTGAAGTCAATACCCATGAAGCACAAACTCATCCTGTCAAAACCACAAAAGATGGTCATGTTGTGCTGATTCCTCAGCCTTCTGACTCGCCTCAAGACACTCTGAACTGGAGCAAGGTCAAGAAGCACGTCGTATTGTTGGTAGTCAGCTTCGCTGCTTTGCTACCAGACTATGGCAGCGCAACAGGTGCTGTGACTTTGATTCCTCAGGCTGCGTAAGTCTCATATCGACGTCCAATCACGACAAGCAATCCCTCTAAAAAGCGAACAGCGATTGGCATATGAGCCCAGATACTGTCAATCATTCACAGGTCGGCAATGTGTTCATGCTTGGTGCAGGCGGCGTCTTTGTCGTTGCCTTATCTGCTTGGGCAGGCAGACTGCCTGTATTGTTCTACTTCCTCGTCCTTGCTACTGCGACTGCAGCATGGTGTGCAGCAGCAACTACCTTTGAGAGCTTTATGGCCGCCCGCATCCTGAACGGCTTCTTCAGTACCGTTGCTCAAGGTGGCGGTCTCATGTTCATCTTCGACATGTTCTTCTTTCACGAGAGAGCACGAAAGATCAACATCTGGGCCGCGTTCATCATCCTATCACCATATTTGGGTCCCATGCTCACAGCTTTCATCATAACGACACAAAAGTGGCCCATCGCTTTCTGGGTGTACTTTGTCATGGTAAGGTCATTCTGTTGGATCGAATGTTGTTCAGTAGTTGACATCTATTCTCACAGACCGCATTGGCCCTTATCTGTACCTGTTTATTTGTGGAAGAGACTTTCTACGACCGCCGCATAGCTCCCTCTGACCAGCCACCCAAAGGCACACGTCTCCAGCAGATCTTGGGCATCTCGCAATACCGCTCACGTCATCTCCGCAACTCGTTCGGTCAAGCCTGCTCACGACCAGTCCGGGTCCTCATCAAACCCACAGTTTTCTTGTCGGTTGTATACTACACTTTGACCTTTGCCTGGGTTGTCGGCATCAACACAACCCTCTCAATCTTCTTGACTCCACTCTACAAATTCGGACCGTTGCAGATTGGATATTTCTACTTTACACCCGTTGTCGCAGCTCTGATCGGAGAAGTCGCTGGCCATTGGTTCCATGACTGGATAGCAAAGAGTTACATCCACTCCCATAATGGCCATTTCGAACCCGAAGTCAGGCTTCGTGCCATCTGGCTCAGCACACCTTTTATGATTGCAGGGCTAATTGGCCTTGGGTTTTCTCTTGAGGATGGCTATCACTACATGGTGACTGCAGTGTTTTGGGGTTTGTATGTGTTTGGTATCATGATCAGCACTGTCGCACTTAATGCATACAACCTTGACAGCTATCCCGAAGCATCTGGTGAAGTGGCTGCATGGCTCAATTTCGCAAGAAGTAAGTTTGTGATTCTCTCACTTATATGCAACCTTTACTGATTCATCAACAGCCCTTGGTGGATTCATCGTCAGTTACTTCCAAGTTACCTGGGCTCATGCTGTCGGTGCAAAAGCAAGTTTCGGCACCCAGGCTGCTATAGTCTTCTTTGCGTTTGGCTTCATCGTTACACTACAGTTCATTGGCAAGCGGTTGAGGATGAAGTCTGGAGCACTACACTTTCCCACCTCTTAAGGAAATGCCTCTAGATAAATAGACGTTATCAACATCAGAGTCATTGAATGCTTTGTGTTCATGTCCCTATATTTGAGTCTCGTGTATTCTAGCACTTTCTGACAACGATCCGCGGAAGCATTTTCATATCAGCTGCCATCTCGATACACGCGATGCTTCTCTCGTTGAGGTACGCTATGAAACACAGAAACGATCTTCTTGAGTTATGCTAGCTAATTATATAATTCAGAATTGCGTTGGGGTATCATAATATGTACACGGGCTAAAGAGAGGAACACACTTATTCCTCCTCCTGTTCTGCCATCTCTTCATCTCCATCTTGGTTCTCCTCGCTCGGTGACTGCTCCATCTTTGCCTTCCTCACCCAGCCTTTCCAATCCGTCTCTGTGACCTCGGTATCACCAAAGCCCCAGGTGCTCAAGTCAGCAAGATGCCTCATGGTTGGTCTACCATGAGGACAGTTCCAGGGCTTATCCATCTCACCCAGGTTTCTCACAACCTTGAGCATCTGATTCTCTTTGAGGGACTTGCCAACCATGATACTGGAACGACAAGCTCTCATCGCCAGCATCTTTCTCACCTTGGTTGGGCGCGGGATGACACCACCAGAATGTTCAGAAAGCAGATGAAGGAGCTCTTCCAGGTCGCTCAGGTCGAATGTGACGTCTTTGCTCGTGGGTAGTGTAAGCAGCTTACAGCGTAATCCTACGTCGCTCGCGCCAGAAGTATCTGTCTCAATGACGAAACCATTGGCAGTGAGTGCTTTGGTATGCGTAAGGACAATCTCTTCCTCTATAGCCGTGAGCTCTAATTGTTTGAGTTGTGCCAAGCGCTGTGGTTCTAACGTCAGAGTGTCGGTGAAGCGTTCAAAGTTGTACTTCTCGTCAGCCGCATGCTGGTCAATGATGAACAGGTCAGACGATGTGACTGTTTCGCTGGGAGGCCGTACTGCAAGGATGAAACCAAGATTGAATTGTCCGATGATGTCCATTTGACCAAAGTCAGACTTTGATACAGTCAGTGAGAGACGGGCTTCCGCGTCTGCTTGATCTATATCATCAGCGATAGCCTTTGCCGGCTGAGAGGCTTCCTGTGAAATCGCTGAAACCAGTGAGAGCAGAGCCGCCTGTTCCGAAATGGAGCTTGTCGAGGCATCACATGCTTGACTCAGATTCAGTGTTTTATGTTTCGACGTTCGAAGAGCCTGAGTAGCGCGTCTGATGTTGTCATGCGATGGGCGGGCAGCCTCATCTTCTGCTTCTTGAATCATTCGAGCGATTCTGGCATCTTCTTGGAGCCGTCTCTCCTCTTCGTCCAGGTACTCTTGGTCAGACTCGGGGCCAATCTCGCTAGCTGTACTGAGCTCTTTATCAGCATCCTCCGTGCTGCGCAAGAACTCATCGATAGGGCTTGTGTGCAAGTCTGCCAATGTTTGAGAAGTAAGTTCGGACGATCGCTCCTTTGCATGAGCAGTCTGTCGGTCATTTGTTTGAGCCACAAACAGCGCCTCTTCATCGCTGTCTTCAGCATCTTGCTGTTTCTTCTCTTCACCAGAACCACTCTCTTCTTCAGAAGATTGGTCTTCGCTTTCCACCTGGGTACCAGGCATCGCAAATCGGCTCAACTTCTTTGCCACAGAGTTCTTTGGGATGTGGATTTTGTGCCTTTTGGGAGTATAAGGCCCATTACCGATAACAGTTCGTGTGGTCTTGTCTCCAATTGTGATCTCGGCTACTTGTTGAGGAGTACGTTGCGGACGCATACGATCGAAAGCATTCTGGACCGGTGGTTTGTCTGGTCTTTTTGGAACATCATCCCGATCTTGAGCGCCTCTGCCCAACCAATTATGGATCAAGCGTTCAGGCGGACCTGTTTGAGTAACCGCCTCCGGGTGTTCTTCGTCTGACTGGTCTGGTTTTGCGCGGGGCATTGGTGGCTCTGTGGTAGTTTCCTCAGTAGCTTCTGGTTCCGAATCTCGTACGACAGTAAGTGGCTTGTATGCTGGGAGCTTCGGTTGAGTGAGAGCGGGCTTCGTCTGTGGTACAGTCTGTTCCTGAGACTCGAACAGCTCCATGAGGGCTTCCTTGAGCGATTCGAGCAACACACCCTGATCATGCAGAAGAATAGTTCGCTTGTCAGGAGAGACGTTGACATCGTAAGAATTCGTGTCCATGATCAGATTCGCAAAAACGAAAGGAGACTGCGAAATGTTGAAGGATTTGTAGACCTCGTTGACGGCTTTTGCAACTTGAGGAAGACTGCAAGGCCGCGAGTTGACATAGAACATTTGTCGGTCTGGCGCTGAACGACCTTCTCCCAACACTGGTCGGGATATGTGGCCTTCAACTTTGACCCCGCGAGATGAGCCATCATCAGTTGAAAGCGCGGATGTGGTAGGCTGCATCTCAAACTTGAGGTCGAGCGCAACCAGGTCCCGTAGGCTTTTCGAGCCAAAAACTTTGATGATGTTGTCCTTGGTAGCTGCACTGCCATTGGTAGAGAAGGACGAGACTTTTGTTCTGCAGAATGGTCAGTCATTTTGATAACATCTGTCTGAAGTGTAAAGATGTAATACCCTTTGGGCATCTGATTGCTGACGGTAAACCTGACGCCAGTACTGATGCAGGCGTATGCTTGCAGAAGCGTCAGGACCTTGCTGTACTCGCGCTTTATGTTCTTCTCCAGTTCCTTTTTGCGGACAGGTAGGTTGTGAAAGATCCTTTCGACGACGACCTTTGTTCCCCGCTGTGCAGCAATAGTACTCGTACCCTTGAGTTTGCCGGATACCTCAAAATCTAGACGAGTACCTCTTGGCAGATCCACCTCGCGAGCTGTGATGATGTAGAGCTGGGATAAGGCGCAAAGTGAAGCGAGTGCTTCACCTCGAAAGCCAAATGTGTCCAGGTTTTCAAGATCATCGTAACTACGTAATTTGGATGTATGATGCTTGAGTGCTGGTCATTGTTTGTCAGATGTGAACAAGCACCTGACGATACACAGTGAGACATACCGACAGACTCAAAGTCTTCTGGCGCGATACCAGTACCGTTGTCAATTACCTCAATGGCGTCGAGACCATGATTGCGAAAGCGGACTTCTATCGACGTAGAGCCGGCATCGAGGCTGTTCTCGACCAGTTCCTTGACGACGGAATTGAGATCTACGATGACTTGACCTGACTGTATTTGATGCACCGAAGTCTGCTCGATAGCCTGGATCGAGGCCATGATGCATACCTTGATGAGACAAAGACGAGCGGCAATTGTAGGAAGACGCGTCAGGCGTTAAGTGCTTCACGCTTTCCCGTGCTCGGCCTTGGCATTTTTCAACCAGGGTCACCTTCTCTGGCTTGAACAAAAATGTTCGAAGGTACAATCAAAAGTGTATAAAAACCATATTTTATAAGCTATGGAACTGGCATGTCACCATCCCTCATGAGAACACTCAGGCGAATACTATTCACAGTTTCGGTCTTGTATGCCTTGAAGCCCCGTGCTGGGACTTTCCTGGCAAACATCTCATCAAGTTCCGCAAACGAACGTCCGGACGTTTCAGGCTGGCACAACCACAGATAAACAGTCGAAAGAACCGCAAAGGCACCAAAGATAAAGGCTACTCGAGCACCGAGATTTGCTTGATCAGGATTGAAAAGGTACGGTATGACAAAAGCCCACATTGCCTGCAAAATGATTAGATGGCTTCTTGGGCAGACATGTGGCGAACTCACAAACAGTCCACTTTGCAGTGTCAGTCCGATGGCCGCCGTTTTGGTCCGCAAGCGACTTGTTGGTGTTTCTATCAGAATCGGATATGCAGTAGCTCCAATCGTAATCGAGTAGAGCCAATTATACAGAAGTAACAAGCCAACTGTTCCCTTGATAGCTGACTTAGTCCCGACACAAGCAAGCCCACCCGTAATCAGGAGCAAGATAGTCAGAAGTGACATGCCATAGCACGACAAAGGTCTCCGACCAATCCGGTCGATCAAGAACCAAGAGCAGGCGTTGCCTACAATAGCAAGTATGTTTTGAACAATACCGAGGCTAAAAGTTGTGGGCGTGTCATATCCAGCCAGTTGTTCATAGTAAGTCGAATAGGCCGATACAAAGAAGAGACCACTCAAAGCTTGAATGGATAGAGGCGCTGCTGCGACGATCGTTCGTCGGAGATTGGTCTTCCGGAAGCACTCAAGGTAGGTCGCGCCTTTTGTCTCTTCCCTGGCCAGCTCTAGTGCCCGGATGGCAGTAGTCGTATAAATTTGTGCCTCGTCCGCAGTGTACCCAAACCGAAAGAGTGCGACTGTCGCATCTGAATTTCGGTTCTTACTAAGCAGCCACCATGGTGATTCAGGCATGAATGGCAAGAAAAGTGCGCCAATGACACTGAATCCATACTGAGCCAAAAACACCGATCGGTAAGCCCAGCGATTTGCTTGGTATCCTGTGACTTTGACAACAATGGACACAATGAAAGGTCCAATCGTCAACGCCATACCAGCTGCTGCAGTGAGTTTGCCTCTTGCTGGACGAGGTGCGATCTCTCCTAGGTATGTAAGCGCGGTGGTTGTGAAGGCACCTATAGCAAAACCTGAGAGGGATTTTCCAATGAAGAAGACCAGGTTCGTCGTTGAAAATGTCTCAATCGTGATTGTTACAAAGATGATCAGATAGCCAACAGTGAATGTCCACTTTCTGCCAACCTTGTCTGCAAACAACCCAGATAATAACAATCCGATGATAGAAGTGAGGACTGGTCCGCCACTGTAGGCAGATTGCCATGCCGCAGAGAGCACATAGCCGCCATCGTACGGGGATCCAAAGTCTTTTCTGAATTGAGGGATCGAGAGTACGACGCCGCCAGCCTGGTTGTCGAAACTGCTAAGTAACAGCACGAATATGGCATAGATACACCATGATAGCTCGCGTGGATGTTTGTTGATTACTTGGAAGGAGTTTTGAACAAACGAGCTGTTCAGCTCGATGTCCCTGCTGCTTGCGCTGTCGTCCACGTCGTTGCTGGCTATGATGCTGATCTTGGCAGAAACTGCCATGGAATGGAATGGTTGTGGACGCGACGCGATCAGTAGGCACACATGCTGAGCAACTCATATGCTGCAGTCGTCTGGCGGTAAAGAGTGTCCAGTGGCATTATTTAAGACTGCGCGTTGAGACGACTCTGTTCAGTGTCGGGCGAACGAAGGTACCAAATCCACCGAGCGAGGCGCCGTTGAACCTTCCGCCTCGGGAGGCGGTCCATTGTTGGTCCGGGCATCTATCTCACCACTAATTACAGACCCACCAAACCTATGTTTCACCCTTCGCTTGTTTAATTCACCCTGTCTGCCAAAGACTGTCACCACATCGTGATCAAGCCTTTTCCAATCCTTCAGTATAAGGTTATTGCAAGCTACTGAAATGGACAGTTGCATGCTCGAAATGAGTATGGCCATTGAGAGAGCCTCCAAAACAACATTCTTTGCGAAAATATTGTGCATTTCAGTAATCTGCAAGTCTGTGTTCTCGTAGCCGCCTTGAGATTCCTCCTCCAGCAGCTGAGCGTGTGTTTGTGGCGTGATATGGCCGAAAAGCCTAGCTACCAGAAGACCAGATCTGGCAGGGTCAACTAACTGATCAGACCTGTGTGGCCGAGCATTGGAGATTCGGTGCCGAAACCCGAATTTGCAAGTCTGTATAGTAGCTACTTGTATCAGGACGCGATGTGTCTGTATGCTGTTCTCCTGGAGGTTCAAGTAGATTACAATCGTGGCTTGCTGGCACATTTCTTTATCGCTTGATAGCTGTCGATCTGAGCAACCGGCCGGGTTTTGATTCAAAACCATGTCAGCTTCAACTTTCTTACCATCACGAGTGTTAGTAGGTCTAGTCAATGTTTCCTACACCGCGCAAGCTGAGGTAGACATCTGTGCCCCAGCCGAGTAAACTCTGGACTCTGATGCCACCTCCAAAGTACTCAGCGTATGCCCTGCCTAGTTTGAGGCCATAACCTAAGCCTGCCAGGCTATTTTCATTACCGCCGGCATTCGAGAGAGCGTTCAAGCCATCGCCATCATTGGTGCCTCCACTAGTGATGTCAACAATTTCCTGCTCGTTGAAAGTGGTAAACCCGAATTCCCACAGCTTTGCGTAAGCAGCAGGGGGTATGCCACCACCTCGGTCTCGGATGCGGATTGTGACGCCTGGAGTGGACTTGTCCAGTGGACGAATGTTTGCTGATGCGGCATTCGCAGGTCGCTGGGCCCCTGAGGCTGCATCAACACTGCCTTGGTCGTGATTCGTGATGCCATTGTGTTTGCCCTTGATGTCCTCTGGGGCTGGAGCGATTGTTACTTCGATGGGGTGTCGTTCGTTTCCTTTCTCGATGGTGGCGCGGAAAGCATTCTTCAAAAGCTCGGTGATGATGTATTCTAGATGCATGGGAATGTGGGCTAGAGTAGTCTCTGGCTCGCCGCGAATGACAACGCTGGGTCGGACACCGTACTTGTACTCGCAAATGTCACCAACAAGGCCTTCGCAATGTCTGATGATATCAGCCGGTCTCAGCTTTGTGTCAATGACACCAATATATGATGAGTCGACATGAGTCTTTTGCTCTGATAGTTCGAGATGAGGTTTCGATGAAAAGTGCAGAGCGATGTGTTGCTCGGCGATTAGTCGGGTGCCTATCCTCGCACGGAGATGTTCGTCGAGGAACTTTGTTACCTCGCTCGGACTAATATACTTTCTCGCTTCGAGAAAGCCTCGAGCGAGAATAGAAATGGTGTTCGAGTGTGTCTGGACTAGATCGGCCATGACACTTGTGAATTGGATCTCTTCTTCCAGTGTCTTGATCTCCCTTGAGGCATAAGGTAAGAGTGTCGACAAGGAGTGGACATAGTTGTTATGGATCTTGGAGACGTTTGGATTGGAGACGACGATAAAGGGCAGGTTGCGAAGAGACTGAATGCGGTGTGCGAGACGTGAAGGCAGGATGGAGAGGGTGAAGTTGGCCGAGTCGAGCAATTGGTCGGCTGTGAGAGGTGGTCGTCCGGACCTAGGATCTGTTAGTCGCAATACACGCTTTTTGCTATCCTACTTACTTGGCTAGATCTGCTAGAGTTAGCGGATGCAAGGGTCTTCCGGCCAGTCGAGCAACCTCGCCATCCGTGACCTTTTGCGTCTTGAGCCCATTGTCTGGTATGCGAAGCCTTGGAGTAGTCGAGAGGCGTCTTGTGGCCTTTAAGCTTGCGCAAGGTACCCTTGGCAAGCGGCCAGCTATGCAATTCATCACGACGATTCGTGCTGTGGTCATTCAAGCGACATGTTGCGGACGGTCGATGGCATTTTGTTCAAGTCTAGAGCTATGACGCAGCACCGCGGGTTCACGTGTCGTCAATTAGCCCAACACAAAGGGCCGATACACAGTCCTGACTGTCTGGTGACTGCTAATATTCTATCGTTACATAGTTTACGTTCTGGCTTATCATTAGGCCTCGTGGGCGTCGTCTACAACGCCATGTCACACGACTTCGGGAGCATAGCGCATACTGTAGCACCGACCGTGGTCGAGTCTGAGGTATTTGAGGTATTTGCGTATCATGAGTTATTCAACGTATGGTATCTGAAAGGACCCTCCCATATGTAATGTCATATCTGTCGTCGACCAAGGCAGTGGTTGCCTGTCCCTAGCTGCTGCTCTACTGGGTTCTGACCTCGCCGTCGTTCTCAACGTTGATGTGGTCGTTGGACGAAAGGGTATGGACCTTGTCCTCGGGGAACTCGGCGCTATGCGATGTCAGTCGTCGTGCCTTTACGGAAACCCGGTTCTGGTAGGGTAGGCGTACGTGAAGCCCTTGATCAGCTTGAACTCGGTGGTGATCTTGCCGCCCTGCTCGGTGACCTGCTTCTTGGCACTGGGATACAAGTCAGTCTAAGCATTCTGGAGTCAGGAAAGGGTAGAGTCCTACGCGTCGAGCTGAGATGCGTCGGCACCATCCTTGAGAGAGACCTGGATTTCGTTAGTCGTCTGCCTAGATGGTCTGCTCTTGTTTGCTGCGAGCCTCACGTTGATCGAAGGCATTTTGAGTCGAGATATGAAGGATATGTGAGAGGTTGATGTGGTAGAGAGGCTGTGTTTGACAGGAGAGAGTAGTGAAGTGTTGGCTTTGAAGGAGAAGAAGGTGGGCATGAGGGCAATCAACAGTTGCCAATCTCACCTCCAAACCCGCTTCGACCACCCACGCAACGCACGTTGACGTATCATAGTGGGGTCTCGAGTGTTTATCCATATGTGCACGTGAAGAACGCCTCGAGCCTCACCGCCCGGCCAGACAAACCGCTTATATGCACAGCATCATCTTGACCATAGTCCGATTGGCTAGCAACTCACGGCGCCTCTAGTACTTGTGACGAGTTCAGTAACTGAGGTTGTCATTCTACGCCGCACATGTCAACATGCACGGTGCTTTGCTAACGGACAGAATGGCTGGGGAAGTGAAGCCTCGGAGATAAGATGCCAAGATGTCGGTAGAGATCCGGTCGAGGGTCTTGGGGCTGATTAGGGCTCGCATCGAAAAGTTCAGAGATGCTGTAACATTTTTTGATCTTTGCCGCCGTCACCACTCTTGTTACGCCGGACAAGATGTCGGAAAACCAAACAAACCGGCCGCATCGTGCGACCAAGGAGAAGAAGGCTCCGACTACTGGCGAGCGTAATCCCAAAGCTTTCGCCTTTGCGCGTCCTGGAAAATTGCAAAAGCAGGCCGCTCGTTCTCACGATGTAAGAAGATCAACTTTCATGCGATACATCCAATTCTAATCGGACACAGGTCAAAGAAAAGCGTTTGCATGTTCCTCTGGTGGACCGCCTTCCTGAAGAGGCTCCTCCTATCGTCGTCGGTGTCGTTGGTCCTCCTGGAGTAGGCAAGACCACCCTCATCAAGTCCCTCGTCCGAAGATACACCAAGCAGCCCATTACCCAGCCCGTCGGCCCTATCACTGTCGTCACATCAAAGAGGAGGAGACTTACGTTTATGGAATGTCCGGCTGATTCTCTGGCTGCCATGATGGACGTAGCCAAGGTTGTCGACATCGTACTACTGATGATCGATGGAAACTACGGATTCGAGATGGAGACGATGGAGTTCTTGAACGTTCTGTCCTCCAGTGGTATGCCCGGTAACGTCTTTGGTATCCTGACCCATCTCGATCTTTTCCGCAAGCAGGAAGCTCTCAAAGCGCAGAAGAAGCGTCTGAAGCATCGTTTCTGGAGCGAACTCTACTCTGGTGCCAAACTCTTTTATCTCTCTGGTGTCGTCAACGGTAGATATCCCGACCGCGAAGTTCTCAACCTCTCACGTTTCCTGTCCGTCATGAAAAACCCCCGTCCTCTTGTTTGGCGCAACAGCCATCCTTACGCCCTGGCCGATCGCTTCCTCGACATCACTCCTCCTACCAAAATCGAAGAAGACCCCAAATGCGACCGCACTGTCGCCTTGTATGGCTACCTTCGTGGTACCAACTTCCCTGCGAACGGCGCCAGAGTCCACGTGCCTGGTGTCGGCGATCTCAGTGTCTCCAACATCGAAGCTCTGCCCGACCCGTGCCCTACTCCATTCTTGGATCAAGCAATTGCAAAGGCTACGGGCAAGTCTGGAAGAAGAAGGCTAGGAGAAAAACAAAAGCTCATCTACGCTCCCATGTCTGATGTCGGTGGTGTGCTTGTCGACAAAGACGCTGTCTATGTTGATATCAAGAGTCAAACCTTTGATCCTGAAGATGATGAGCAAGAGCGAGGATTGGGCGAACAGATGGTCGTTGGTTTACAAGGTGGCCGCAAGCTACTTGGACAAACTGAAGGAGGTCTGCAGCTCTTTGGCGATGGTGAGAAGCTGACTGGTGAGGATCTTGGCCGCAAGTCTGCGCGTGTTCTGTCAAGAAGGATCGATGACGACGAAGCAAGCCCAGAAGACGAAGGCTTTGAGAGCGGCGATGATGAAGACGAAGAGTTCCAGAGCGGAGACTCCGATGTTGACGAAGACGCTGACGAAGACATGCTTGTTCCTGCACCCAAGCGCAGAGAGGCCAGTCCTGACGCAACTGGCGAGGAGATTGCTTTCGCCGACAGTGACTCTGACCTCGGTTCCATGTCTGAAGCTGAAGATGTCAGTGATCCCGAGGAGTATGACGAAGATGCCGAATACAGCGAGGATGAAGACGGCAACCTTCGCTGGAAGAAAAACATGAGCGAGCGTGCTGCCGCCCTTCATCAACGCAAGATGCCCTACCGCACCATCGAACTGGCTCGTCTTTTGTACAACGACATGCTGTCGACGGCACAGGTCTTGCGCCAATGGCGTGGCGAAGAAGATGAGGAAGAGGACATTGAAGACGAGGAAGAGGAAGACTTGTTTGAGAAGAAGAAGCCTACCGAGGCCGAGGCTGCCCTCGACCGTCACATTCCATTGTACAACAGGGCCGAGCTCGAGGAGAAGTGGACCGATGAGGAAAACCTTGAGGCCATCCGTTCGCGATTCGCATCTGGCCACATGCTCAATGGAAACGACGACGAAGATGGATCCGAAGCGGAGTTCAATGGCATTGAAGATGACGAGGATGAGGGTGATGGTGCTTTCGAAGATCTGGAAACTGGAGAGGTTCACGGCGCTGAAGACGAGACCGAAGCCGACGGCGCTGATGGTGAGGAAGAACCAGATCTGGATGCTGAACGCGAGCGCAATGCTCGCAGAAAGGAAGAGCTCAAGCTTCGCTTTGAAGAGGAGGACAAAGAAGGATTTGCAAACGACAAAAGCAACGCCAAACGTGAGAGCGGTGAGGACGATTTTGGCGAGGATGATTGGTACGACGCACAGAAGGCTCTCATTCAGAAACAGCTCGACATCAACCGCGCAGAATTCGATGCCTTGGACGAGCAGTCACGAGTGAGAGTCGAAGGTCACAAAGCAGGAACATACGCTCGTATCGTTCTGGAAAACGTGCCATGCGAGTTTGTGGAGAAGTTCAATCCTCGATTCCCTGTCCTCATTGGTGGCCTGGCACCTACGGAAGATCGCTTTGGTTACGTCCAGATTCGTATCAAGCGTCACAGATGGCACAAGAAGATTCTCAAGACGAATGATCCTCTCATCTTCTCTCTCGGTTGGAGACGTTTCCAAAGTATGCCTATGTACAGCATCTCGGACTCGAGAACAAGAAACCGCATGCTCAAGTACACGCCTGAGCACATGCATTGTTTCGGAACATTCTACGGCCCGCTCATCGCACCCAACACTGGTTTCTGTTGCGTGCAGTCCTTCTCCAACAAGAACCCTGGTTTCCGAATCGCCGCCACTGGTGTAGTCCTGAATGTTGACGAGTCGACAGAGATTGTCAAGAAGCTCAAACTGACTGGTCACCCTTACAAGATCTTCAAGAACACCGCATTCATCAAGGACATGTTCAGCACCTCCCTCGAAATTGCGAAATTCGAAGGTGCCAGTGTGCGTACTGTCTCTGGTATCCGTGGTCAAATCAAGAAGGCCCTCAGCAAGCCCGAAGGCAATTTCCGTGCCACATTCGAAGACAAGATTCTCATGTCGGATATTGTCTTCCTGAGAGCATGGTACCCGGTCAAGCCTCACCGCTACTACAACCCAGTGACCAACTTGCTGGATGCCGACGAGAACAGCGAAGGTTGGCAGGGAATGCGTTTGACTGGTCAAGTACGCCACGCCCTCGACATTGCCACACCCAAGGACAAGAACTCTGCCTACCGTACTATCGAACGTCAAGAACGTCACTTCAACCCTCTACGTGTACCTCGCAAGGTGGCTGCAGAACTGCCTTACAAGTCTCAGATTGTCCAGATGAAGCCGCAAAAGAAGGAGACATACATGCAAAAGCGTGCTGTCGTTGCGGGCAAGGAAGAGAAGGAGGCCAGAAGATTGCTCCAACAAGTTCAGACTTTGAGAAACGAGAAGGTCGCAAAGCGTCGTGCCAAGCAAGAAGAGCGCAAGCAGCCTTACCGTGCTCTGGTCGCCGAAAATGCCCAAAAGAGAGCAGAGAGAGAAAAGAGAGAGAAGGAGGAGTATTGGCGTAGAGAAGGAAAGAAGAGAAAGGGTTGGAATGATGGTGAAGGTGGTGGCGGTGGTGGTAAGAGAAGAAAGGGCTAAGCATGGGCGTGGCATTTCTTGTTCGGAAGCTCATCGAAACTGTTCAAAAGCGATTTCACATACAAGCATTTCTCAGGCGTCAAACAATGATTGTTTTTTTTTGTCAACATGTATGCATGCCATTGAAAATGGCGTCCTCTACCACCAGACTCCAAGCATTTTTTTAGATCAGGTCAACCAACCTCTCCATGTGCTGAAGACAATCATAGTGTGGCTCTAAAAATGCATAATATTTTCGTAAAGAATATATTCTCCATAGAGAGGACCTCGTTGAAGGCTATCTCAATGGCTAGCCTTATATCACGATTACACTTGTGCATTTTGATAGCTTGTTATAGTCCTGATATCTTGTCGTCTCGAATGGTCCTCTGGTTCAGGGTCTAGGAGGAAGGCGCAATGCATGCAACCCTCCCGCTCTTGGCAATTGCTCCGCTTTCTCTTTCCAACGTCACCTTGCTCAGTTTCATGTCAAACGACTTCGCCAGTCATGGTCATCACCGACTGAGCAGATTTCAAGGACCGGTTTCTACTGTCAACTCCTCTGTCGTCACTACCAAGCTATGGCGCGACACGGCTGATGGTTGTTTGCCGCGCTGGCCGAGACGGCAACCTACCGTTGTGCTTGGTCCAGCTTGCTTGATTTCAGGTCCAGTATGCTTGTGTTGACGAGTGATATAATGCAGGGGGGCGAAGCTGCGTGTTGAATCAGCGGGTGAGACCAACAGAAACCACCAAAGGGTAGGGACACAAACAAATGCAAACTCGGTGTCTTAGTTCAGGAGGTACTCGTAGCGAGGCAGGCCTTCGCAGCCGTCATATCATTGCGATGTTCAGCCCGCTAGGAGGACGGGTCAGTGATGATGATGTGCGCGTCGATGCTCAAATATGACTTGTAATCATCGCTTCTTGCGGTCAGATTCAAGTCCTGCTAAAGGGCCTTTAAAAACACAGTATCGCAGGTAACCTCGACAACTTCCAGAGCCATAAACAGACGATGCGCTAAGATTGCTGATGTTGGTCAGAACTAACATCTTGAACCGTGCCTATCGAGATTCACTACCACGAACTCAGGGGAGTCAGGAGGTTTCGATTGCAGAAGTGCCATCAGCTAGGATTTACTTATGCTGAGACCACCAACTTAAGCATGTTTCGGAACCAACTCTGGGATCAGCAACAGGAACCTTGTATGATCTTCACTTTAATCTGTGTCAAGTCGAACGCGTGGTGCGCTAGTCTGCAATGTGAAACTCTGGCCCCACATTTAACTCGACCATGGTGGACAAATATTTGGATCAACAATCCATACATACAAAAGGCCAGCCTTTGTTCTCAGCACACTTCGAACACATCCAACACTCTTTTTCTTGCAACACCACATTCGCTCACTTTGAACACCGATTTCTACTCGTCTTTTAATCCTTCTTTCGTCAAAACCAAACACCACAATGCGTTCTTCCACCGCCGCCATTGCTCTTGCACTCGCTGCCTGCTCAGCAGCTGCACCCCAAGGTGTTGTCTATGTCACCAGCGTCATTGACCAAACCACTACATACTGTCCTGCCGGAGCCACGATCACGCACGCCAGCGGCACCACTGTCCTGACTGCTGCTACCATGATGACTCTGCCCGTCTCCTCCACTGCTGAGGCCGTCTCGGCCTCGACCCCTCAGGCTGCCTCCGTCTCGACCCCTCAGGCTGCCTCCGTCTCGACCCCTCAGGCTGCTTCCGTCTCCACCGTACCTACTGGTGGTTCGTACGAGTCTGCCCCTGTCTCTTCAGCCATGGTCGTTTCTACCGGTGGCTCGTACGGATCCGCTCCCGCCTCCTCCGCTGAGGTTATGCCCACTGGCGGCGCATACGGATCTGCTCCCGCCTCATCTGCTGAGGTTATGCCCACCGGCGGTTCATACGAGTCTGCTCCCGCCTCGTCTGCTGTAGTCATGTCTGCTTCCTCTGTGGCCACTGGCATGTCGGTCTCTTCGGTTCCCGCCTCAAGCCCCGTCTCTCCCGAGGAGACCTCCAGCGCTCCCGTTGCAGCTGAGTCAAGCCCTGCTCCTGTCGCCTCTGTCGGCACCGCTACCCCCATCATCCCTGGAGCAGCCTACGGCTCTTCTGCTCCTTACCCCGTGTCGTCTGCTGCCGGCGCTGTTGGCTATGCTCAGCCATCCGGCGCCGCTGGTGCTTCTGGCTACGCCCAGCCTTCTGGAGTTGCCGGTGCCACTGGTGCTTCGTCAGCTGCCAGCCCCTCGTCGACCTACACTGGTGCCGCTTCTCGCAACTTTGCCGGTGCTACTGGCGTCCTTGCCGTTGCTGCCGCTTTCCTTGCTCTCGCCTAAATGATGTGAGCATGTTCGCTTCGCAGTCCCGTCGTTTCACATGAAGATGCAAGGATTGTGGAGTGTTTTGTTTTTACGCCAATGATACCATTAAGAGGTGCTTGTGAATGCAGGGTCTTCTCTTCTCTTTGTCCTATTTGGGGACGTTCGCTTTTTTGTTGTAATTACAGTAGAACTTTTGTTGCTTCAGTCTTGCGTGGTGTTATCCAGACCATATCGAGGCTCAATCCAGTCCAGCTTTTCTTCATTCCACCAGGTCCAAATATCTTTTAGGTGTAACTATCTCGTGGTTTTTCGGTCTTTCCTTCGTAGCGTCGTTGTCGAGCTGGCTCTCAAGCAATGCTGCCTGTCTTCTTCCAGACAGATAGCGCCAGGAAGGCGTTCCTTCACTCCGATCCCAGCATTGATGAGGATTGTAGGGTGAAAAGTTGTGGCCGAAGTGTCGTCGATCCTTCTTGGACACCAAGATTTCCTTTTTCTTTGTTTAGTCTGGAGCCCCTAAAGAGTAGGATCGATGACAATTGAGTATCCGATAACGATCTCCGTGCCATACGCAAGACGATTTTCTCTACAGAGCGTCCATACTGGTTCTAGTACTCAAAGTCTCATTCTTGTTACCAAGCTTGCTGATCTGCAGGAAAGCATCAACCCCATAACCTTCCAGACTATGGACTTCAAGGCTACCAGCCCAGTACTCAGCGAATATACGGCTCATAGGCAGACCAATTCCGAGACGAAGGTCGGGATGTCTACTAGAAAGAGATCCCAGGGAGTGATCGAAGCGAGGTTGTTTGGAGTCGCGCTTCTGATCGGATGATTCTGGTTCGGGAACCTTGAGATCCTGGAGGGTCGCAGCCAGCTTGGGTACCTGCTCGAGGTTTCGTAGTCGTCTGCTGCGTTCTGGTCCTTTACTGAATGACCATAGGTTTGAGAGGCTTTCTCGATCGATACCACCGCCTTGGTCTGATACTCGAATGATGACGTGTTGTGCAGCCTCACAGATCAGCACTTCAATTGGTGGCGGCTCGGAGCCATGTCGCTCGACTGACGCCTGGAAGGAGTTCCTCAAGAGCTCGCCAATGATGTATTCCAAGTGGCTAGGAATGTATGGGAAGACGATGTCTTCGGCACCTTGAATAATGACTTCAGGTAACACCACATCAGAACCATATGCCTGTTTGGCAAGATTGCCTATAGTTTCGGCACATTCTTGGACAATTTCCTTTGCATTGCATCGGAGGAAGATTTCACCAACAAAGTCGTCGCCATGTTCTGGGTGAAGTCTTGCTGCTGGTGGAAGGTGATCGGGTGAATGATATGCTTTTGTTAGAGCGCAATGCTGCTCGGCAATGACCCTTCGACTGATTCTTGATCGCAATAATGAGGTTACCAATTTGTCACACTGCTCGCTTGGGATGGATTCTGATATTTCCAGTACACCCATAGCAAGTCTCGGAATGACACTGAGGTGATCTCTGAGTTGTTCGCGAACAACATCACAGAATCTGTCATTGTCCTCTAAAGTCTTTATCTCGGGAACCTTTCGTAGTTTTTCGAAGGCCGAGTAGTAAAGCTCGTAGACATGGCTGATGTGTGGGTTTACTAGAGCGGCGTATGGTAATGTTTGCATATCGCGGAGCCTGTGTGCAATTCTTCGATGGAAATCAGTAATGTAAAGCAAGTATTGAAGAAAGAGGTCAAGTACCTAGTAGGCAACTCAAGTCGGACATAGTTGGCAGATCCAAGTAATCGAGTGTCGGTAAGGAGTCGGCCAAAGAAAGTGAGTTGTCGTAAACTAATAGGCCTCGCTTCTCGTTCAACCCATCTACAAAAATTTGTTAGCATGAGAAAGATAAAATATTGCATGAATTCGCACTTGTCCAAGACTGAAGCAGGCCGCCATGGGGGCGGTACTATGGAGATGCTTCGTCGCTTTGACATCCATGTTGTGCGAGTCAAAGGGCGTATGGCCGAGACGGCGCGGCATAGCAAAGGCTGAGAGGCCTTCATTTTGAAAGTGTGGTCAAACATCCTGCCGGAAAATGGATGACTACGTTTTTATATATACAGGGGGTACACACTCGTTGCGATGTGACTGAAAACAAATGCTAGTGGTCAGCTACAGGTCACGATGTAAATGCCGCGACATCAGGTGAGTTGTGTGATGCAGAGACAGATGCAGCTGTTGTCGAGTCGGCCCTGCTCTGCCTCTGCTCCAGTGACGGCTTTGGCTTGGTCGAGGCTTCTCTGACTCTGAGCTCAACCCCAGAAAAACTGGACCCTGATGACGAGTGGAGCTTGCGCGCCAATCATCCAAAGGCCGACCAAAATTTTGTCTTCTCTTTCTATTCTTCAATCACACCTTGTCGCACACATTCATTCACATCAATATGGCCGAAGATCAAGTACCCGTCCACTACGAGGACCTCGCTCTCCTCGAGACCCAATTCGATGAAGTCGATCGCGAGATTTGTACTTCTCTCACTTCCGTACCTTTTCTGGCACGACCACTAACAAGCATTCAGTGGCCAAGCAGTACGTCCTCAGCGCTCCTCTGTACGCCAAGCGTCAAGAAGTTGTCTCAAAGATCGAGGGCTTCTGGCCTCTCGTCTTCGAGCAATCTCCTCCCGATGTCGATCGCTACATTACTCCCAACGATGCCAACATCTTCGCGAAGCTGAAGAGCCTCGATGTCAAGCGCTTCGAGATCCCCATGGGCCCTGAGAAGATCGCAGGTGATGCTGGCGACCCGCGCAGCATTGCTATCCGTTTCGAGTTCGATGAGAACGAATACTTCTCCAACTCTGTCCTCGAGAAGAAGTTCTGGTACAGAAGATCAAAGGACGGCTGGTCTGGTCTTGTCTCTGAGCCAGTCAAGATTGATTGGAAGGGCGAGGATCCTACCAACGGTCTCACCAATGCTGCCTATGCTGTCTTCCAGGAGCGCAAGAAGGCTGGTGACATGAAGAAGAAGGGCTTTGCTGCCTACAAGAAGCTTCTCGATCTGATTGAGAACAACAATGTTGATAACACCTCCTTCTTCGCTTGGTTCGGCTACGTCTCGGCTGGCCCCTACGTTTCGGCCGACGAGTCGGCCCAGGCCAACAAGGAGTACAAGGAGCGCCAGGACAAGAGATCCAAGGGCGAGAAGGTCGAAAGCCCCGAGCCTGAGGAGGTTGAGGAGGAAGACATGATGGGAGACGATGAGATCCACCCAGAGGGTGATGAGCTCGCTCAACTCATCGCTGAGGACGTTTGGCCCAACGCAATCAAATACTTCAGTAAGCATTACTTATTCACCCTAGCTACGTCCTTGCTAAACTTCATACAGCTCAAGCACAAGAGATGGAAGACATGTCCGAAATGGACTTCGAAGATATGTCAGACGAGGACGATGACGAAGACGGACCAATCGACCTCAGAGCCCTGGTTGGCAAGGGCAAGCCCAAGACCAAGCCCTCCAGCAACGACGCCGATGAGCCGCCCAAGAAGAAGCAAAAGAAATAAGCGATATGAAAACATGTCGCCCGCGCAAAATGATTTACTGTAGATTAGTCAAGGGAGCGATCTTGTTCCAATGCTTGAATTGATGATGATCTTTGGGTGATCTCTGGATAGAGACCAATGATATACCCTGAATATTGGTACCAGGACCCAAAGGCTTTGCAAAATCCAGTTCCTTTCATATCCATCTCTCCTAGTCACTTTCTACGTGCCAGAAACAAACTTCTATTGCTCTTGCATTGCGAACATTGCCGCGTTGGCCGCCGATACTTCTTCTGCGACATAAGTCTTCAACTCACTATCCGTCAACAATCATCTTATCCTCCTCCTGCTCCTTGAGCTCTCTGTTCTTCTTTCTGCGCATCATGCTCAAAACAACATCCTCAGGCTCGACAACAGTAGGCAAAGGATTCAAATCCCCATCCAAGTAGCCATACGAAAGATATGACAGAAACATCCTTTGTAGACCCATATGACGTCTGACAGCCTCCTTTAACACCAACTGATCAGGACGCAGCAATGGGACCTGTCCAAGCCCCCAACACTCGTAACCCCAGCGGCCGACAAGTTGGGCAGGAACACCCATGATAGGCATGTTGATCTTTGCCTGGTACTGCTCGTGTGTCTCGCGAGTCATTGGTCTGACGGGTTGAGGTACCTTGTAACGGTGTCTGATCCATAAGCGCAAAGTATCCAGTTTGGAAGTGCCGTCTGCACCTCGCAGATAGTTCCAGAGAGTAGTGAGACTGCGTTCTGCGAGCAACATCTCACGCATAGAGCATTCACCGCCGTAGTAGTGTACGGGGTCGACGTACAGCATGTCGAGTTTGATGAAAAAGAGTTGCAGGATTGCGAGTGTTTCCTTGGTGAAGAAGCTGGTGTTGTGGATCAAGGAGATGCGAGGCGCGTTCACAGGGATGTCGAGCAGAAACCACATCTTCTGTCGTGCTATGTCATGATTGTATAGCGAAAATTTGGAGGATTGCAACTTACCTTGAGGGCTACAACACCTTCAGCACGTGGTATGCGATGGCCATGTACTGCCATCCAGCCAACTATCTCTCGACAGACAGACTCACGATATGCCACCATCTTCAACCAGCGAAACCCTGGCACTGGCGCAGCGGATTGTTGTCGTTGATCGGCAAGCTTGGCTATCCTTTCCTTTCTCTCAGCTGGACTCTCAGATTTGACACTCTTTGGACTGTCCGAGACGTTGGAACCTTGAGATCCAGAGCCATCAAAATTGCCCTCGGCAGACACTTCAGGCTCCAGATTAGGAACGAGATCATCCCAGCTCACACTTCTGCGATCAGCCCTGGGGCGGCGCAAAGCAGGATCCTCGATGCAAAGTTGACGATAGCACCACCATGGGAAGCATTTATCAGCGTTAGGAGCCCAAATGAAAGTGGCGGCCTTGATGAATGCAGTAAAGTGGCTGTCCATGACATAGTGAAAGGGAGCGGAAACACTGTATAGATTGAGCAATGTCTGTGGTGGAAGGTAACTCGTGATCTGAAGTAGGATGTCCACATGCGAGGCAAGTCCAGTCATGAGGTTGAATTTCTTCGGTCCAGGAGGTGGTGATGGTGAGTTCAAAACAACGCGTTTACGGCGGCTTGTAGGGAGGCGAGCAACAAAGGAGGCGGCTTGCGCGAGCACATCGAGTGGGTTTGGCTCATTGACAGTCGGTTGTCTGTGGTCTACCAGAGTTTGTCGGGGGTCGTCATTGAGAATGAAGCGCCTTTTGTTAGAAGCATGATCGCCATCTTGTGCAGATGTGACGAAAGGATCGCTTTGACGGCGCTTCCGAGGGGCGCTATTGGCGTCGGTCATGATGAAATTCGTCAAAATGGGTTCCCGTGTATGGGGCAAGTGGATTTGATCGAGGATGTTTTGGATATCTCGAAGTGCGTTGGCTAAAATTCTTGAAGCGCAATTGACGGCTGCTAGAAACAGAATGGTGAGAGAACAATAGCAAGTAGCAGGCTATTGTCATTATTGTTGAAACAAGCTATTGTTGCAATGACGCTGCTGTGAAAGTAATTGTCTTTCGAGTGAGTAACCAGTGCACTCTACACCAATTAGTGAAAGTGAGATGCCTCCTAACTCAAGAACGGAAATGCAAGTGAATTTGAACAAAGTTCTGGACATATTCTGTTGTGCGTGGTAATTTTACATTGCTGAAAATGAAGGTGATGCAAAATTTGTTCGTTTACTTACGATTCGTTCAGTTGAGTGGTATCATTCCGTAACCTGGCTGTTGAGTGGCCATTCATCCTTCATCTGTATTTCGTGTTGCTCCGTAAAACGCCTGTTCCCCATCTATGACCATAATCGACATATCTTTATGCTGTCTACTTCCTGTTGAGCAGATTCAAGAACTCCTCTCTCGTCTTAGCAGTTGACCTCATTCTGCCGAGCATACAGCTGGTAGTGGTTGTGGCACTGGTCTTTTGAACACCGCGCATGACCATGCACAAATGGCTAGATTCCATGACGACGGCAACGCCCTGAGGTTGGAGGACTTCGGACAAGGCAAGGGCGACTTGTTTGGTCAAACGCTCTTGAACCTGTAGTCTACGAGAGAACATCTCGGCGATACGTGCAAGCTTGGAGAGGCCGAGAACACGGCCGTTGGGGATGTAACCGATATGCATCTAGACAAGTCAGAGGGGTTGCGTGAGAGATGTCAAGAAGTGTACATACCTTTCCAGTAAAGGGGACCAGGTGATGTTCGCAGAGACTGAAAACCTCAATGTCCTTTACGATGACAAGCTCGTCGTGATCCTCGTGGAAGACAGCGCCATTAACAATGTCCCTCAGATTCTCTTCGTAGCCTTTGGTGAAGTACATCATAGCCTTTGCATAACGCTCAGGCGTGCCATGAAGGCCTTCTCTTTCTGGGTCTTCTCCGATACATTCGAGCAAAGTACGGACTGCTCCGGAGAGCTTCTCTAGGCGGGCTGCGGCCTGTTCGGGGGTGGACTCGAGTCTTTCGCGTGTGCCGGTGCCTATTCGAGGGTCAGACAAGCAAAGCGATCAGGATGGGCGAAGCATACTGGGCCAGCTCAAACCGTCAAAGTCAATGGTAGGAGCGAGAGTGTAGGGACTGCTAGCTCTGCTGGTCTGCTGAGAGGTCCAATCATCACGCGGGTCTCTTGCCTCGGCCTCGTCGAGATTAGCCAGCTTGGAAGGGCGCTTGTCGCGAGGTTGAGCATTGTTTTGGGTTTGGAAGTAGTTGCCCTCAAGATCGAGAGGCTCTTTCTTAGGACCCATAGAGGATTTGATGGACTTGAAAGCGTTCTCCCGCTCGCGCGCATCTCGGTTCTCTTGGGTGACCAGAGGAGACGATCCGTTGATCATGTGCGATGGAATATGCTTGGGCCTAATAGGCGAGTTCGGTTGGTGGTCCATGGCTATGGCTATGGCTGAGTCTGTTAGACAGTATGGGGGTCAAGCTCGAGATTCTGATTGCGGTGGTGATGGGCTAGCAGAGCAGATGATGTAGGCAGAGTGTAGCGGCCGAACAGATGATCACGTCCTAAAGGAAGTAGTTGGAGTGTGAAGCTTGTATGTGGTAGAAGAGAAAGTCCATTACGGTCTGCCTGGGTTTACAGAGCCATGACTTGTGCTTGAGAGGCAGAGGTCATTAGTATTCTTCCTCATTCCTCCTGCTTGTCCCTGGACCCCGCCGGTCTCGCCAAACTTTTTCTCTTTGAGTCACGCCTTCCCGAAAGCCCTGGGAGCTGCGCGGAAGAGAGAGGCTCGTGCGCACTTCGGGGGGGCTGCATTCCCAACACGGCCAACGCTGGCAGCACCACGAGCAACATTGCTATACAATCATCTTGTCTGTTTCACTATTCCATACTTGCACCACTTCCCTCGAGTGCTGGTCGGATAGCGTCATCCTTCTTGATGATGCTATCTATCCTCTCTGATCTGCGCGGGTGCATCGCTTCTGACGACCTACGCGACGTGCACACTTTGCTGCAGCGTGCCTGCGCTTGTCCACCTACCTAGTTAGATCATGTTGCTTTTCAGGCCAACTAACTCATGTTCAATATTCTCGAGAGCACCTACTGTGTTTCTCGGAACTTGCCCTTGTGCTGAGGCACTCTGTTAACCTAGCCGACGCGCCAATTGTCGTGTTTGGGCTCGAAGGACCCCTTCTGATCACTGACCGTCTATTCTGCTCGGCAAGACAATCGATCAGCCTCAACTTCGCTGTCTTCTTTTGCTTTTGCGAACGCGATTCAGACGCCGGCCAAATCACGCTTTATTTCTCACTGATCATGCTCGGCTTGATGAAGTGGAGCTGAGGCAGCTCCTAACTCGAATAATATTGAATTCGAAGTCATCGAACGTCTGTGTGGGCATCACCAGCACGGGAGACACGGTCAACAATATGATACACTGGACGTGTTGGTCTATCAAGATTCTGAACAGAACACATTTGGATAGCCAAGACCTGACCTTCCACACACAAAACGACCATTATAATCCGACCTCACAGCAAGGTACTGACACTTTCCCAGAAAACATGGGCGAATGAGGACACTCTGAGATTCACTGTTGACAGTCATGAGTGGTGTTGAGGCAGTTTGGGATCTGGACATGAGTGCATCACAAGTGAATGATAGAATGCGGGACGAGTTCACGTTCACTACTTCCAAAAGACGCCAACCACAGAAGCACGGCAGGAGAGTCACAGTAGATGGCTCACTCGAGATGAGTCGTGACTAAAGAAACACCGGCTCCCGGTCTCTTATAGGAGGGAGCACTCAACTGAGCAAGCAGCATTTGGTGGTGAAGCAGGGCCGCTTAAGCTTCGGGTAGGCGTAAGCGGCGGGGAAACGCCATGGACCTCGTTCAGCCATGTTGGGCAAAAGAGGGCGCGTCTCAGTCTCAAGCAAGAGTTGTTCGCTGAGCAATTGACAGGTGAGGGAACTCGATCGCTCCATTCATTTTTAATCCCCCTTCCCTCCTGCGTTGTATTGCCTGCACAAATGCTATTGCTGCTGTCGCTGGCACGTCGTATTTGAGTCAAGAGCATCATCACCACTGCTGTGTCATTGGCGCGTGGGCTTGCTTCAAGGCTGTCTCCAGGTGGCCGTGTTCGCTGTTCGGACTTGGATTTATGTCCCTTCTCCATGGCAGGCAACGAAACAGAGCCCGGGCGACGTGGACGTGATTTTCCAAGCAGAAGCAGAGAGCGTGATAGTAGACTATCGCCGTCGCCTACTGCAGCCGCTGGTCGAGGCCGCGCCGCGTATCCTTCCACATCGCATCACCACCGCCCTCGCTCAACCTCTGCATATAGGGCCCACGATCCCGACCGCGAACGTCCTGCCCATTATCGCCATCGACACCACCATCATCACCACCACCAACACGACTCGGCGCGCACTCAGCCATCGCTCCCACCGGCCGACGAAGCTCCTGTATCGTCGCTGAACACAAGACGTCCAAGTATCTCTCCAGCTCCATCGACCAGCTCGAGGTATAGTAAGCGTCAACCACGAGACTATTCTCCTCGACCTGCACGTCTGTACGACCAGCGCCCGTACTCGGATCGACCTCCACCAGCTCGAAGACCACAGTCGCCCGATCCATACCCGCAGAGACGACGTTCCCCTTCGGTCGAATCTCGCTACAGCTCGCGCCAACCCAGATATCCGTCTGACAGAGACCGCTACAACGACCGTCGCCGATACTCTCCACCACCTACCAGAGGTTATCGTTCATCGGGCCACTCGTCTCGCGGCCGTCCCGACCATAGTTACGCTTCTCGTCACAGCAAACCTCCAGCACGCTCACCTCCTCGAGACGTCCGACGCTCTGACTCACCGTCTGACGACCTTATATCGCAGCTGGCAAGTACCGCAAGACCCGAAGAAGCAAAGTCCAGCAGACGCCGAGGCCCATCAGCACACTCTCGCCGCTCTTCGAGGTCGCCTCGACCAGACACTCGTCGACCTTATAGACAAGAGCCGCCTCGCTATCGCGAAAGAGAGGGGGAAAGAGACAGAGACTACGCGAGAGATTACGACAGAGATTACGAACGCAATAGGGAGTACGCTCGAGGAGGTCGCCGCGAATACTACGATAGAAGGGAACGCTATCGCGACGAGCGTGATTCAGACGCCATGTATGGTAGGGGCGGTCCTCCTCGGCAGCCTATGCCTCGTCCATATGTAGACCCGCGATATTCGCAGTCACCACAATATCCGCCCCCTGGACCCTCTCCACCGCACGGTCAGTCTCCCTATGGCCGTGCGTATCCTCCACAACAGCCTTATGCTAGCTACCAAGGGTGAGTCATTCACGTTGTATCTTGGTTATCTGATCCTAACTCGATGCTAGTTCTCCGACACATGCTGGCTATTCAGCTGCTGCCTCACCCTACTATCAACAGAACTATCCGCCACCAGCAGCAAGTCCTTATTATCAAGCGCAGCAACCACCACCGCATTATGCAGCTCCACCTCCGGTCTCGGCATATCCACCTCAATCCTCATACCGCGGACCTCCCTCTCGAGGATACAACGGGCCCCAACGACCACCTGCTTCTATGCAGGGCCCTGCTCCTCCTGCCGGCAGAGGCGGTCGTGGTGGCCATTTCTCCAACCTATCTTGGACTCCCTCTAGTGGTAGCAGAGGCGGCAAAATAGCTTCGAAACGGGAGACTTCCATATCTGGCACCGAGACACCTCTAGCAGCAGGCTCGATGACCGAGTCAGTCGACGACGATGACAATCCGTTCAGACCGCCCAAGGACCTACGAGCCGAGGATGAAAGCGACAAGAGAAAATCAGGCATCAGCTTCTCTATCAAAGGAATGGCTGGAAGGAGTGATTCATCAGCACCACATAAACCGGCTCCATTAGTTGCGCCTCGCACGAGGAAAGAAATTGTTGTTCGCAAACGGCTGAAGCCCAAGCCTAAGTTGACAGGAGAATTTGCTACGTCGGACTCGGTTTACTACCGCAAGACTGGCAACGAGTCAGTCGTCGGGTCTGGTACTTACGGTAAAGTGTACAAGGCTGTTCATGTCTACACTGGAGACAAAGTTGCACTCAAGAAGATAAGAATGGAAGGAGAGCGTGACGGCTTTCCAGTGACGGCAATCCGCGAGATCAAACTTTTGCAATCTCTCAACCACACCAATGTGGTGAAATTGCAAGAAGTCATGGTCGAGCGCAACGACTGTTTCATGATTTTCGAGTACCTCTCACACGATTTGACCGGATTGTTAAACCATCCGTCGTTCGCGTTGACCGAAGGACACAAGAAAGATCTTGCCAAGCAACTGTTCGAAGGTCTCGATTATCTTCACAAGCGTGGCGTTCTCCACCGCGACATCAAAGCAGCCAACATTCTTGTGTCTCGCAATGGTGAGCTGAAGTTAGCTGACTTTGGCCTTGCACGGTTCTACAATAAGAACGCGAAACGAAAGCAAGACTACACCAACAGAGTCATCACCATCTGGTATCGCTCGCCTGAGTTGTTGTTGGGAGAGACGCAGTATGGGCCGGCAGTCGATATCTGGTCAGCTGCTTGCGTCTTGGTTGAGATCTTCACCAAGCACGCCATCTTCCCAGGAGACGGTGGAGAGATCAACCAACTCGACAAGATCTACAACGTTCTCGGTACCCCGTCACGCTCGACTTGGCCAGGAATAGTAGACCTGGCTTGGTACGAGCTTCTACGGCCAGCGCACAAGGTGGCTTCGACCTTTGCTGAGAAGTACCAAGAACGTGTATCACCAGCAGCATTTGATCTGTTGAGCGCCATGTTTGTCTTTGATCCCGATACGCGACCGACTGCAAGCGACGTATTGGAGCATCCGTACTTCACGACAGAGGAGCCAAAAGCAAGCAAGGTTGTGGAACTGAAAGATCTGGAAGGTGATTGGCACGAGTTCGAGAGCAAAGCATTACGCAAGGAGAAGGAGCGTGAAGCAAGAAGAAAGGACAAGGAGAGTGCAGAGAAGCGAAAGCTTGAAGGGTCGGCGAACGACGAGAGAGAGCTCAAGAGAGTGAAGACTGGCGATGAACAAGCATAGCAGGCAACATGTAAAAACACTGAATGAAGATGAACTGTAGCAGTCAGTGACACTGCATATTATTCATGAATCTTGCATAACTTCCCCACGTTCAGGGACGGCCACCTAAGTAAATGCGATACAACTTCTGGCTTTAAGCTCGAGAAGATTGATCAACATCACAATAGATCCAAGATGCACTCGTCGCTCGTGCGCATACAGAATGTCTTTGGCTTCTTCACAACCGTGGCCTTCACTCTGGGTCTGGCGATAGCGTTGAGCGTTGTCGTTTCACACCAGCACCCAGAGGCAGAGCTCGAGCTGCGCAACGTCCAGGTGTAAGCAACTGTCTATACCTTCTCCACTTGATGTAGCAGTATCTGACAAGCATCCAGTGTCAAGGGTCGCCCTCACTACTACAGTACCAAGAAGGAGGAATATGCGCACATCAAGTTCGACCTCGAGACTGGTTCGTCTACCTGCTGTTCCTGACCCATGACGCGACACCTCTGACCGTCCCTTTTAGATCTCAGATCCCTCTTCTCCTGGAACACCAAGCAAGTCTTTGTCTACGTGACCGCAACTTTCCCCTCCAAATCTCCACTCTCCCCTCCTTCGGAAGCCATCATCTGGGACGCCATCATCCCCGCTCCCTCAGAGCCCTGGCACGAGAACACCTACATCCACCCCCAAAAGAACCGCAAGCAGCCCTCGCGCCGCCAAAACACTGCGGCAGCAGGCTACAAAGCCTACCCCGAAGGCACCAGCCCCGGAATCCTGAAACTGTCCAACCAAAAGCCCAAGTACCAGATCACCACCCCCTGGTCCAAGATTGGCGGAGCTGAGAACTGTACCCTGCAGTTCAAGTACAATGTTCAACCTTGGGTTGGTGCGTTGTACTGGAGTTCGCCTAGACCTTTTGGCATGTGGGAGGGTCTTCAGGGGGCTATGAGTGATGTTTTCCAGATGCCGTTTGTTAAGAATTCTGCGCAGGCTTCTAAGAGCAAGGAGGATCTTAAGACTGAGACTGGTGGTGAGAGGAACAGAGGAAGCCCTGCTTAAGCCAGCTGGACTGTTTTTGTCACTCTCGTTGCAAGCTCGTCTGCATTTGGGGATAGAGATCAGGCAAAAAGAAATGTTCAAAGCTATCGAGATACATCTCATTTCTCGCATAATCAAGCTAGATCCAAACCCTCATCTTCTCTTCTCGCACGTTCAGCCGCCTGGACGACAAATCTCGCATCCCTTACACTTGCCCATGCAACATTGACCCCATTCTCTTGTCTCTCTGAGGTCAACACAGTAGTGTCCATACTCATCACGCACCAAGTCTGGGTCATGGGCTGCAGGTACATAAGTTGGATACTGCCTTCTGATGGGATATCCGGTAAGAGTTGTCGGCTCGTAACCCTCTGGACACGCTGAATACCACGCTGGGGCTTGGAAAGGTTGTTCATAAAAGGATGCCGGCCAAGGAGTCTCGGAGTTGTACTGCATAACAGGTTTGAGTTGTTCAAGCCATATCTCGTCCTCGGTAAGGGGTTGTGGAGTAGGATGGTGTGGATTAAAAGGTTCTTTCCGTGGACTCGGGAGTCGTGGTGGAGGTAAAGGGTCAGGACCGCTCCCATTTCCTTCCAATTCAGAATGATGAGATCCGGTTTCATCGTTTCCTTCATTACCAGGACCTTGACCACCTCCAGGAGCTCCACCCTCATCCTCATCAAAAGGCCGCTTAGTGTCTGTCTGCCGACTTTTGGCAAAGTCCTGCAAACTTTGGCTCAACTCATCAGGCGTGAGTACACACTGTGGGTATGCAGGATTTGGAACGGTTGGTGTGAAGCCAGCAGGTGGTGGAAAGTTGCGCGCCCCTGGAATTGATGGTGCAGCTCTTGTTGAATGAGAGTTGGGGATAGATCGAGGTGGTGTAGGATAAGGTCCTTGTTGCTGCTTTCGGCTTGGTCTTTTGTTCTTTGGCATCTGTGGATTTCGAGTAGTGCTTAAAAGGAGATTTGTAATTGTGTGGTCTGATTTGTGGTTGAAAGATGAGAAAAAGGACTGTTTGTAAGTGTAATATATGCTCAGTAGATGTGGTTATGCGAGGCATTTCTTTGACGCTGAACACTGTCTTAGATGCGAGAGGTTGCAACTCTTTTTGCTACCTTGACCCATGGTTTCTTCGCCTGAGACAGTCTTGTTCGCAAGACTTCTAAGACACAACCATCTCGCATGTTCACAAGAATGCATCATAGCTCTGCAACATCATCATCTCCCAAAGGCACTTCCTGATTGGTCTTGATCTGGATCATGCCTTCCTCATCCAACAGCTCAAGCAACCATATTAAGTGCTTGATCTGACATCTAACAGTCTCGAGTCTGCGAACGTCTTCTTCTAAGACAATGTCGCGATCTTGATCATAGATTGGTCCAATATCGCTTTGTACGACTCGAACTGTGCCATCCTTAAGAGTTCGCTGGTCAATGATAACGAACGGCTCCACGTTAATCTGATCCTCCAAGTCGCTGAATGGCATTCCTTCGAGACTGCGAGTGGAGACTTCTGCGAGTTTCTATAGGTCGGCATCGACAAAATCGGATGTAACAGGCGCAGTGATAGGTTCCAGGCCTCGATGGAAGTTTTTTTGGTCTGGCGAGAGCATGAGGATAAAGCAGTTCTGGACGTTGAAGTTCACATCTCTGGTCTCAGTAATGAGTCTATTGGTCAACTAGATCTATGTCAGCATAATGAATCACAGAAATGCTTGTATGTGCAGGACAAACGTCTACTGGGAGCTGTGGAACGGTGCAGAAGAGTCGGTAATATCCTATGGTCGATATGGTTTAGAGGTATGGTACAGGGTGCATATCCCCATGAGATACAGAACGAGGAAGGATGCTCTGGGGACACTATGTGTGCTAGATGTTTTCACAATGAAACCTCGTAACTCCTTGTTGACACAGGATATGATTTGCTGTTTACGGTGTGATTCAAAGTTCGTCTCATGTAATGCACAGACCGTGCCCAAGAGGAGTAAAGAACAGATCTTTCTACCAGAAGTCCCTAATATCCAAACTCCCAGATATCTTTCTGGTAGTCTTCCGTAAGTTCCTTGTCTTCTCCGTATCTGTGACAAAAATTAGCAAAACCGCATCCTCTCAATTAGCACCACTCCAAGAGGAAAAACTTACACTTCCTGCCACTTCACAAACCCACCATCAAGGACATAGACAGTCTGTCCCTCAACCTCCACCCCCTCTTTCCCTTCCTTACCCTCCACCGCCTTCTCTTTTCCTCCCTCCAATCTCTCCTTCTCCCTCAAATACCTCAACGCCGCACTAGGCCCCCTCTGCTGACTCAACGCGCAATGAAAAACCACAACTTCCTTTTCTTTCAGTGTTCTCACCAATTCAGGCATTTTGTAGTCGTGGGTGTTGGAGGGGAGGTTTTGACCGCCGAGGATGTGTCCGCCAATGTAATCTGAGTCTCGTACGTCGATGACGGCCATGGAGGGATGCTTGTTCTTGATCAGGGAAGCGAGAGACTCTCGTGAGATGCGAGGGAGGTTCGAGATATTGTATTGAGACATTGCTGCTCTGAAAAATGATCTTTGACCTGCCAGTGTTTGGTGTGTAGACTTGGTTTAGGTTGTGATGCTGTGTGTGTAAAAGATCGCTAAGGATTCGATGCTGCTATAGTTTTGGCCCAGTGGATTTGATAAGATTTCGATGTGTAGTGTAAAAGTGGATGAAAATTGTTGCTTGATTGTTGTGAATCGATGGACTTTATCACGCGAAGGTCGAGGTTCGAGAGCATTTGAAAGCACAGACCAGATATTACGGGTTGCTTGCATTTGTTGGTATATGAACGAGCATTCTTCCACAAGTAGTTCACAGTCGTCTTGATTACACGTAAGCCACTGTTTGTTCGTCTGCTTTGCACTTCTTGAATTTACAGTACCGAGTTTTGGCAAAGCATGAGATCTATCCCGTCGCTCAAGCTTCTATCAAGAGCTAGCACACTATAGCGAGCTCGCAATATGACTTTTGTGATGTAGCAAATAATACAAGTCTGTAGCGTCACAGCATCAATCGAATCAGAGCACCATGATGATCATATCCTCTCCTTATGCTTCTAGTCATACTCGACCTTACCACCATTCTTACTCCACTCCAACCAACTACCTCTATACTCACCAACCTTTTGGTATCCCACCTGCCTAGCTAACCCAGCAGCCGCAGAACTCCTTACTCCAGCCTTGCAGTAGAACACCAACTCTTGATCAGCCTTGGGCTTCTCAAAACCAAACTTATCCTCGAATTCGTGGGCGGGCATGAAGAGTGCATCAGGCGCAGAACCGACGGGGATATTGACGGCGGTAGGAATGAAGCCAGCTTCGTATTCGGCGGGTTCGCGGACATCTGAGCGTAGAGGAAGAGTGTTAGTAAGGGAATGCAAAGTATGAAGCAGGTCGAAGTTTGAGCGTACCGATCAAGACGCGTGAAGGGTCTGGTGACTCGGACAATTGCTTGACAGAGTCAAAGTTCCAGACTTTGTTGTCAGGTTTGCCCTCAGTAGAGTGGAAGCGTTGGTGCACAAGACATGTTGCTGGTCGCTGAATGGTGGTCTGGAGCTTCGGTGTTGACTGCAGCAGGCTTGAAGCTTGGAATCTGGCTGGTCGTGATGATGCGATGGCTGCTCTTGCAGCAAAGGTGGTGGCTCTCTTTAGCGACATGGTGTGTGGTGTATGCGATTGGTGCGAAGAGAGGAAAGTGTTTAGAAACGAACAATTGAAGGTTGCATCATCGCCGAAGTGTCGGTCTTGTTCTCCGCAAACCGAGGTTCACTTCAACATCGCCATCGTTCAGACAAACATTCCCATCACCTTGTCTCACGAAACACAAAGTCAGGGAAGACACTCTTGTCAGTATCATGGTTTCAAGAACATTATAATAATTAGTCTATCAATTGCACGATTAGGTCTATATCTGTACTTCTAATCACAGCTGCTTTCTTTGCACGTAATTACAGCACAGAGTCATAAGCTTCTCTAATCTCTCTTGCTGAATGTAAGAAGACAGTCATCCTGCGAATTTGTCAGTAAATCGTTTCGTGCATGAAGGTCAACGGGGATACACACCTCGGGGAAAATCGTGGCGAAGATCTTGATCTCCTCTGACTTGGGCGTAATTTCGTGCTTCCAGTCCATCTCAACACAAGCCTTGCCAATCATGGCCATCAAGTTGAGTGTGGCATATGTTTGTCCAAGACAGTAGTGAGGTCCTGTGCCGAACACTAGCCAGTTCTTGGGGTGCTTCTCGGCATCACCGGTAATCCATCTGTCAGGGTTGAAAGTGTCGGGCTCGGGGTATGCAACGGGGTCGTGAAGAGCAGGGTATGTGGTGGGAATGATCATAGATCCCTTCTTGGCGGTGTAGGTCTCGGTAACAGGGAAATCCTTCTTGACGAGGTAAGGAACCATGAGGACGGGAGGGCGGTAACGGAGCTGCTCCTTGACAACTGCTCTGGTGTAGGTCATCGACTCGAGCATGTCCATGGTCAGACGGGCGTTCTTGTCACCCTTGCGGACACGCATGTTCTCCTCGCGCAGCTTCTCCAGAACATCGGGACGGTCAGCAACAATCTGGAAAAGCCAAGTGGCAGCACTGCTGGTGGCATCCTGGGATGCGAAAAGGAAGGTAAACAGAGTCTGGGCGATTTCGTAGTCGGTGAAAGTGCGGATGAGCATGGCGGGCTTCTCAGAATCGTCCATCTTGACGCCGCTGGCGACCTTGGTGCGGTAGGCCTCGGACTCGATCATCTGCTTAACCCAGGCATCGAGAATGCTGCGGACTTCACCACCAGCGTTCATGCGGACCTTTGCCTTTGCGGCGCATTTTGCGAATTCGTCAAGAACCATGTCGGCAGCCTTCTTGCCGTACCAAGTCTTTGTGAAGGGAAGAATGATGGGGAAGTTGACAAGCTCGAGAGCAGCGGTGATCATGTAGTAGTCGTCTGCGATCTTCTTGATGGCCTCGTCGCTGATGTAGTGACCAACGAAAGTTCTGCAGGAAACGGCGCACAGAAGCTCTCTGAACTCGGGCATGAATGCGACAGGCTTGTTACCAGCGTCCTTGGTGACCTTGAGGAAGCGAGCGAAGTATGCATCGTAGACCTCCTCCTGACCGGGCAAGTAAAGCTCGAGAGCTTGACGGGTGAAAAGTCCATTGAGACCCTTGCGGTAGTCGACATGAGCCTTGCCATCGAGGAAAACCCAGTTGGTAGGACGAAGGAGTTTGTATGCGATATCAACGACGCAGGGCTTGACGTAGGTGGGAGAGTTGAAGACCTTGCGGGCCATGTCGCGGGTCGAGGCAATAACGACAAACTTGTGGAAAACGGAGACACAGCTCAGGTCGCCGCTGGCCCATTTTGCCTTGTACTGTTCGAATCTAGGGTTTACCGACTCGAGGAAAGGACCGATGAAGGGAGTCTTGAACATGGGCCCCACGATTGAACCCTTGCGGTAGATGTATGCCGCTGTTGTGAGGTCAGTCAATTGCACATAATCCACAATCCCTTGATCTTTCTGCTCACCCTGATCGTAGACAAGAGCGCCGATAAGCAGAGTAAAGAAAACAGTCCATGTGTTCACTCCAGCAAGAAGGCGCTGCACAAAGCCCTCAGGTGCGATGGCATTGATCTTTGCGAAGGCAGCATCGGCGACTGGCGAGGCGTAACTCGCATTCATAACAGACATTGTGAAGTGTCCGCCGCTGTATCCCGGTCCAAGCAGAGATCGGGGACAATAAAGGTGGTAGAAGAAAGAACGATGGACAAAAGTCCCAGGAAAGAGGGGCGATGTCAAGAAGGAATGAATGAACGCCTCCCCGATGCCAACCAGAAAAGATTACAATGGCAAAGGTCGCGATAGGATGGCGCGCCAGAAGAAAGTCTCAGGCGTTAAATTGTACGCATCAACCACAACAAAATCGAACCATTTTCGCGTTGAACCCCTCGGATCTGAGGCCTCCGATTTGCTAGAATTTAATCTCCGCCGGCCTGATCCGCCGTAAAGCGTATCTTACCCCTTGATCACAGCATCTTCGGCCGCATCTTCCGGACCTCGAGAGCAAAGTCTTTTATTCGACAATTGACAGATGGACATGACCTGACATGATCTGACGTTCGACTCGTCAAGGATTCTACTGAATCTACGACTGCTGTAGCCAGGAGTAAGAATAAGGTTGTGCGACTGCTCACGCGCAGAGATAAGGCGATGGCGACGCAAAGGAGAGACCTCGGATGCGGCTCCTCGACATTTTCGACTTCGACGTTTCGCAAACGTCATCGCTGGGGAAAGCAACATTTCCAAATCTGACCAACCACTCTTGATCCTCATCACAAATATACAACAAGCAGCAGAAGACCAACATGGGAGACGAATCAGAAGAGTCGTTCCCTTGGGATCTTGGTGTCTACGATGCCCACTGTCATCCGACAGACACGGTCGCCAACATCTCGTCAATCCCGGACATGCATGCTAGAATCTTGACCATCATGGCCACACGTGCTCAGGACCAGGAGTTAGTAGCTGAGACTGCCGATAAGTTAGGTGTCAAGACAAAGTCTGAGCAAGATTGGAGGTAGGTACAGTAATTAAGGTACACCTCGACCCAGACTCATCACTGCTGTCGCCGCCGTCAGAAAGGAACCAAGAGTGTTGACAAGCATGCACAGCTCGGAGCAGAAAGTGATACCGTGTTTCGGCTGGCATCCCTGGTTCTCACATCAGATGTTTGATGAAGAAACCTACCCCAACACCACAACTCTTACTCCCGAGCAAAAGATTGAACACTACCAATCCGCACTCACCCCAACTCCTACCGACCGCGACTTCCTTCTCGCCCTTCCTGATCCTCGCCCCTTCTCGGTCTTCCTTGACGAAACCAAGAACTACCTTAAGAAGTACCCATTGGCTTTGATTGGCGAAGTTGGTCTGGACAAGCAATTTCGTATCCCCGAAGCCTGGCTGCCAGGTCAGAAGAGCGAGAGAGATGAAGCTCTCACACCAGGTGGAAGAGAAGGGAGATCTTTGTCACCATATCGTGTGTCTATGGACCACCAGAAAAAGGTCCTGTTAGCCCAATTACACCTCGCAGGAGAACTAGGACGCGCAACCTCTGTGCATGGCGTCCAGGCTCACGGTGTCGTTTTCAACACTTTACAGGAAACTTGGAAAGGGCATGAGCGAAAGCTTCTCAGTAAACGCGAGCGCAAAAAGCAAGAAGCCGTCAGCGCCTCAGCCCCTGAAGGCAACACTCAAAGTGGAGAGGAAGGGAGGAAGCCAACACCATATCCACCACGTATCTGCCTACATTCTTACTCCGGACCACCAGAAACGATTAAACAATACTTGGATCCACGCATCCCAGCAAAAATCTTCTTTTCATTCTCCTCGGTCATCAATTTCTCGCATGCAGGAGTTGCAAAGACGGAAGACGCAGTTAAGGCAGTTCCTGACGACAGGATCTTGATAGAGAGTGATTTGCACACTGCTGGCGAAAGGATGGATGGCTACTTGGAGGAGGTTGTGAGAAAGATTTGTGAAATCAAGGGATGGCAGCTGGAAAACGGGGTCAAGCAATTGGCTGCCAATTGGAAAAGTTTTGCGTTCGGCGATGAGTAAAGATCAAGTATACAACCTCCAACATATCATTGCTAGCACAACCAGAAGACATTCTGACATTTTGGTCATCTTGGTGTCTGTACTGTTGCCTGATATAGTGCACGGGCTCTCAAGATAGTCGTGTGGAGCGTGGTTGAGGCTTTCAGGCAAGCACCTCGAGTCGAACCACACAAATCATGTTTCTTCCTTCGCCTGCCGACTAACGTATACCACAAACTTGTACCTCGAAAGAGTGATACTCTGCATCGTCCCACTTTCGTACCGTTTTATGTCAACAATCGGCTACTACCCAATCTTTTGCACAATTCCTCAACTTCCAGCGGAGGTGAGTCCATCCGGATCTGGGCGTTCTAGCAACTTCATGTAAACAATACTGACCAAGCTAAATCAGCTCAACAATGCGCTAGCAATGCTCCCTCGCGACGTCGACGGCAACCTCCAAAACTGTCTGGTCTTATGTCTCTATCCAGACCAACAAACCTTTAACCGCGGCATCACACCCTCCGCAGAATCACTAAACAGCTACTTTGTCGAATGAAACATTACTTCCATCTCCAGTTTTTGCAACCAAAGGATCACATATATACCTTGTACATCACCAGATGACCGAATTGATACCACTATTTTTGTGGTGATTGACCATAGGACATTATGGGATGGCACATTATGTGTTGTAAGTGAAGAGTTGAAAACCATTAATGAAGGAATGATCTGTGAGAGAAACCGGTGTCCTTGGAATTGTAAGGATAGGTTAGAGATGATGAGGTGTAGGATCAGAGATTTAGTAGTTCTGGTGCCATGTATTGAGGAAGATGGAATGAGAGGAATCAAGATTGGTTTGGGAGATGATGATGTTTGGGGGTTTTGATGTTGGGAGAATTGGATACTCGTGCGATCGGAAGTACAGTTGGAAGGTGCGAGGCGAATGCCTGCCAAGAATACCACTTTGGATAAATCGCGGGATCTTGGAACGTCACTTCAATCGAGACTAGACATTCGCAAGACCACAACCCTACGATCATGTTCCACCTCTGAGAAGACTCGACATGATCGGTTATCATCGAGTCCAGAGACGCATACTGGCTCTTGAGACGGCAGGATTCAATCGAGGCTTGGTCCGGTGTGTGACGGAGGCGTGATCGACTGTCGACATCAAGTCTGTATACAAGATCCAAGACGCCGGCGAGGTGAAGTCGCTGCATATCTGATTGATGGAACATCACAGGTTCCGGCCTTGATCATATATCCAGGCACTGATGATCACAGCCGACGACTGTCGTGCATACGAAGCCTTATAGTATACTAAGGCCATCCAGACTTTCAATGGACAACATCACAGAGCATATCACTGCTACGCGAGGACAAGAGCATAGCACATGACCACTGGTTGGCTCTGCCAGTCAGCCCTGTTGACAACCGAACGCATGTCCAAAACTGGCTTACGCGCAACCTTACTGACCCGAACTCGACCGCCATCTTCAAATTAGCAGTGTATCACCAAAGCGCTGCAGGGATGATGTCCACCCGAGCAGCCACTGCGTGGCCATCAATTTGCACTGACGCCCACTGTCACACCAGTCGCCGCTACAGCAACTTGCCTCAAATTGTAGCCGAAAAGAATTCTCCATCGAGGACATATATCTCCACCAATGATCTTGTCGTGGTGCTCGCTGACGATGCAGACTGGTGGGAACGTGGTTGAGCTTCGATCCTGGTGCTCATCAGCAATCTGATGACTTCGTCACCCAGCAGAAGCTTTTGATCGCAAACATAGCGGATCTGTCCATATTGAATGTTTGAGATGGCGCAAACACTACCGAGCTGAGAACCCTTATGCCGAAGGATTGTTGTCTGAAGGCCATGCTTTCTGCGCAATCGTCTTCAGGACGTTCAATCGTGCACAGGAATACAATCTCAAGGTCGACAGCCTGGCGTTCTTGCCTCCTAGTACTGTGTCTTCTACACATAGAAGCATCCTTCCAGAACTGCTACCCGTCAGCCTCATCCCTGCGGATGCTTCGGAAACCTCGAGATTACTTGACAAGGGCATGTCTGCTGATACGGACCAGACCATAGCCCAGAAGCCAATAGAACAAAATCTTAGGATACTGTTTAACCTCAGTACTATCGAGCCAGGCTAGCAATCCAAGCGAAGCGAGCCACTTTAGCACTGGATGCAATAAAGCCAAAATTCATCACAGGGAACAATCACTTCGTTGGTTGGATGTGTTCAGATGCCAACTCTCATGGAGTACAGGATCGAAACATGATCTCACTGCATCCAAGAAACAGCCAAGACTGACCGATGGCTATTTGCAGAATCAATAGAGCGGTTGATCAACACTACCTATGCTGCAGTCTTGGGGCTCTTGAAATCTTGGAAAGTCTTCTCGAAATGGCGACCTGGACCGAGAAGCTTTACGGTGAGCGTCTCGGTTGTGGAAACTGCGATGTCCTTAATGCTACTCGACTCGAGCGGCAAGCCCTGAAAAGTCGTTAATTATTGGTTAGAACGACTGTCATGTCCGGTTCGCTTTCTGAAGTGACAGCTGTGAGCGCCATGGTTAGATTGATTTCACGGACGTCGAGATGAGAACTACCCCGGATTATGTTCACTCTAGACTGCGGCTTCGTTGTTTCAGCACCTCGCGTGGAGGTTCTGTCCTACCCGATGCCTTCGGTCCGTCTTCTTTGGCACTATTGACATCTCGTGGATCTGGATAGATGAACCCCCGGTGGGTGTTTTGCCGCTTCTCGTCCGAGACTCGCCAACGTCGAGGCGATATGACCAAATTCATCTATATTTTCAACATCCTCAGCCTAAAAACAGACGAACTATATCGAAGTAGCTCGAGCTAGGAGTAAGCCACACGTTATAGGACTTCACTCAGCCACGTCCGTGTATAAACAGAATGTCACTAGTTCTCGAACCCGAGCCTCGTGTTTCGAACAGATGGAGATCCTCTACTTGGACGGGAAGGTAACATGCGCTAGGTTCGCCTCGATGCAAAGTATGGGTTTCATCGCGACTTTAGCCAGACGACTCTCGGACCTTTACAAACCAATCAGCGTTCGTTTTAACCCCATTAAGGTGGGAATTAAGCATCATGTCGACATCAAAGTTCCCTATTTACCCCACACTCTAAATGCACTCCACGTTTCGTTCGGCTATACAGGAACTGAATGAACAAGAGCATCCGAGCTCACCACTCAGCCTGAAACCTGCACAAGAATCTAATGATCGACAGTCGAGATGGTTATTCCATACTCACCCGTTCTCATGCGAGCATGGAAACATATAAAATATAGAATCCACCACCATTGCTAGACATTTCTCATCCGCCATCCACCAACACTTCCATTCATTCACTACCTTTCTAACCAACCCTTCAAGATGAAGTTTTCCATTGCTCAGGCCGGCCTGGTGTCGGCCACTATGCTTCTCGGCTCCGTCTCTGCTCAGACTTGTGACCTTCCTTCCAAGCTCCAATGGTCTTCCACTGGTGCTCTCGCTCAGCCCAAGAACGGCTGGGTCGCCATCAAGGATTTGACCAACACTTACTATAATGGTCAGCACATCGTCTACGCCTCTTACCACGACTCCAGCAACTACGGCGGTATGAGCTTCGGTCTCTTCGGTGACTGGTCTGCTATGGGCAGCGCTGCCCAGAACAAGCTGCCTCAGTCTGCTGTTGCTCCTACCCTCTTCCACTTCGCTCCCAAGAACACCTGGATTCTTGCTCACCAGTGGGGACCCACCACCTTCTCTTACCGCACCTCGACCAACCCCAGCAACCCTAACGGCTGGTCTGCTGCTCAGCCTCTGTTCACTGGTACCATTTCTGGTTCCGGCACTGGCCCCATTGACCAGACCGTCATTGGTGACAGCAAGAACATGTACCTGTTCTTCGCCGGCGACAACGGCAAGATCTACCGTGCCAGCATGCCCATTGGCAACTTCCCCGGCAGCTTCGGCAGCGCCAGCACCGTCGTCATGAGCGACACCACCAACAACCTGTTCGAGGCCGTTCAGGTCTACACCCTCAAGGGCCAGCAGAAGTACCTCATGATCGTCGAGGCCCAGGGTGCCAACGGTCGCTACTTCCGTTCCTTCACCGCCACTAACCTCGGCGGTACCTGGACTCCTCAGGCTACTTCTGAGAGCAGCCCCTTCGCCGGCAAGGCTAACTCGGGTGCCACCTGGACCAACGACATCTCTCACGGTGACCTTGTCCGCACCAACGCTGACCAGACCATGACTGTCGACCCTTGCAACCTCCAGTTCCTCTACCAGGGACGTGACCCCAAGTCGACTGCTTCCTACGACAACCTTCCTTACCGCCCCGGTCTTCTTACCCTCAAGAACCCCGTCCGCAAGTAAACTTGTCTTCTGGATCATTAGCGTTTTAACATTCTCGATGGAGCTTTTTTCTGAAGGAGGAGAGATTTTGAGTGTTTGAAGAGGATCTTTGGCGGATCGGACCATTCCATTCTTTCTGGAATTTTATCTTTTCGAGCCAAAGTTTAGCATTAGCAGTAGTTCGAACTGGTTTCGAAGCTTTTGTCAATGCGAAGAAAAGTTGTTCCCAGAAGCAATATCCCCCTTCCATTATTTTGTGATTGCTTCCGTTCTTTCTGTGTTTCCTCATCCCGGTTTCTTCTCTCTCCTTTCCCTCTTCCTCCCCGTGACGTGGTAGGCTACAGAATCAAAAAATCACGCGGAAATCTCCAAGAGTCAGGGGTATGAAAATAGACCTACAGCAGATGCCTGATCCTCCTCTGCTGCTTGCCAAGGGCCTTCAAGTTGTTGTGTAAGCTGAAAAGTTACACGGTATAGTCTCAATCAGAGCCGTGTGCTGAAAGAAAGTGGTGGTGCCAGTGTATTTGTGTTTTGTCGAATGTCAATCTTGTTTCTCTCGCGATGTTGATAACAATTTTCTCTTCTTCGGTTTTGCTTTTTTCTACTTTGTGTTGTGGACTGCAAGGACTTATGGCAGTCTGAACATGTACGAAAGGAAACTGGTATTCAAGAGTGCGATACGCTTTGCCTTCGGAGCTTCCGGAGCAATGCCAGAATGGAAAAGGGGATTTGTTTTCGAGTCGTGATCAAAGAGCTGGGGGTCGGCAACTGTAGATCTCCCCTGTTCCGATCCCAGAGCGGCGCAAGACGCCGTGTAAATTGTTGAATAGAAGCAGGGTCGTCCCCAAATGGAGAAATTTCCAGTGGGAGAGTGAGTAGCAGGTTCCGCCCTCCTCTAGCGATGCTCAGAGTGAGGGCCTGCCCGGGAACAGACCACCTGTCAGACGTTGCATTTCAGCTTCGCAGCCAGCTTCTGTGAATTGACTCGATAGATTGTCCAAAGCACGATCGATCTTCTCGCCCTCCTCTGTTGTCAACAGTTTGAGAGCCTGATGCGCGATCATCTCTTGGTCGAGTGTTTCAGGTTGCTGGCGATAGTTTGCTGTGTGGTGTACCGCATAGGACTTTTGATGGTGCTCAAGCCTGGCAAGTTCGAGTTGTTTGATGTCGTCTTCAAGTTTCTCATCAAATGCCTGAACCGCGACTCTCAATTGCATGAGAACGCCAAACCTGCGGTGACGACAAGATTCGGCCAAGAGAGGATCGAACTTATCCAGCAAGGTGATATCACGGTCACGTACCGTCATCCATTCACTTTCAGTGATCTCTGGCTCTCTCTTGATCTCAGCCTCAGTCTCAGCTGCGCCGGGATCTTCATGTGCAGTGAAATTGAACCCGCCGTATCTGCCGTTAGATCCAGTAAGCTGGAGGCCGATTGATTGCCCGATTGTGAGGTGAGAGGCTGTGAAAGCTCTGAACAGACAGTAGTTGAACAACCTGAACTGCTTGTCCGGGAACAAAGCACCAAGAACACATCTTGCTAGACTTAAGAGTGCTGGTACCTTGAACTTGTAGTGTTCCTTGCAGGCGCTGTGAATGTTGCGTGCCGAATCACAATGGGGAAGGATTGCCATGTGTGTTGCGTTCTGTGCTCGTGCGTGTTCAAGCCTGAATTTGTTGATGCCGAGGAACTCGTTGAGATCTTGGACCAGATTCGAGCCCCTGATCGCGCAGAGGAGCTCCTCCGAGCTTCCGCTGTGAAAGCGATGGTAGGACTCGTCAAGGTCAGATATCGGTCGCATCAAACATATTAGCTCCCCACACAGCTGCTTCCAAACCTTCAAGGAATCGACTTAATTCATCCAGGCTTAGGGGTGATCCATCTCGGGGCGCAAGAATGTTAATGTAAATTCCCGGCTCCAGTTCGTCCTCGTACTGTGATCTGAAACTGATTTTCTCCCAAGGTTGTAGGACGACACGACCAGTAGCGACGTCTACCGGAAGACTGTTAAGGAGTATGCTTCTGAGCATATTAGGAGCAACTTGTGCGAGCAGCATCGTAGCATCTGCCTCTGAACCGATGCCGTGCGTTTCCTCCATGATGCACTTCAGCAACGCACCTAAGCCATCGTTCTCGAGAGCATCACGCATCTGGCGCAATGTCGGGTCAATGTACAACACACGGTCAGCCATGATGTGCCGATGTGTGGTCGTTAGTCTCGTGGCAAAGGCGCTGGGTAGAGACGCTAAGGAGTTGGATCAAGAAGGTGGTAGTCGCGATCCTCGCGCAATCGATGTGTACTGAGAGTGTCGACGAGGTGTAAAAATATGGCCTGTAACTTGCTCTCTCAGTCTTGAAATAGGCTGATGGGCGCGCTCTCTGCTGTAAGGCGATGATCTAGACTCAGTGGCTCAAGGAACGAGATCGGCTTAGGGGTTGATAGTTGATGAGGACCTGATGACAGCTCTTTGCTGCCGCTGTGATGGACTAGGGCTGCGCGGCGAGGGTGCAAGATGCTGCGATGTGGTGGTGGTAGAACAGAGCAGCGCAATTGAGGTGTGTGATGTTGTTGCGGTGGTGTCGCTCAGAGACACGCAAAGATTGTCGTGCAGTAGTTGTAGATAATGTCCGCGCGACTGTTGCATAAGAGAGTTGTGATAACAAGATCAAGAAGATGATGGTGGTGGTTGTGTGCGAAGTACTTGTCAATAGCACTGTGGACTTATAATGGTGGTCGTGAAAAGTGAAGGGAAGAAACAAAACACAGTGAGGAACACGACAACAGCGTCCAACGAAAAAACGACAACTACAGTCGCACCTTCTCGACGTAACGACGCAAGCAATCGACCGCTTTCTCAAGATTGAGGTTTGATTTACGTGTGTCTCAAGAGATTTAGATGTATCTTGCGGCCTCATCTCTATCGTTTCTTCCTTGGCTACCAGTCTTGAACACAAATGCGGCCCAAGTCCTCTTACCATGGTTTGATTGCAACCTTATCAAGATGCGCCCATGTGCATATTATAATGTCCTTGGCCCTGTCTGGTTTTACCCGATGGTTGACCTACGGATCGAATTGCTCATCTCCACTTCAAGGCCAAGAAGAAGGATACCAAGCGCAACACTTGTTTATGACCACCAGGGAACAATTCCCGCCCCTACATCGAACATTCGCCCTGAGATGTCCACCAAAATAGTGAGCTACCTGAGGTCAAGTCATTCCTCTGTCGTACGATGTTCCTGTGATATTGTCGCTTCCGAGCCTCGAGGGATTTGACTTCCCCCTGGTCTCAGACTCTCGTGGCCGTTTCGTTCGGGTCCCAGTTCTTCTGCGCGGTATTCCTGTCCCAGAGAAGGTTTCGTCCGACAAGAGGCTGCTTGGTAGTCTCGAACTGTCCTAATCAAGAGCCACCGTCTCGAATCTAAGTCGGCAAGGCCAGCAATACCATCTAATCAATTCTTTACTCTGTACGGGTGTTCATCTCTTCTCATAGATCAATTGCTTGATGTCTTTGACTTGAAGATCTCCCTTTTGATAGTCCTGAACAGTGCAGGGTCGAAGAAACAGTTTTGAGAAGTGGTATCAACCATCTAATCACTACCAGCACATATCCAGGTTTCGAGTGTGGGCGGCAGCTGTATCTAAACAAGTCGGTCGTTCCTCAGATAAGACTTGTCGACTGACTGATCGCTGTTTGAGTAGGATGACTCCTCCGTGAAACATGAGATAGTCCCCACTGCCCAACAGAGGAAGTCATCTGCAAGCCCAAGTCGCGAAGGCCATGGTCGAAGCTCTCGAGATCAGCTAGATATCGCTTTGCACACAACTATTTTTGCACTCACGGGGATGAGTGTGACTCAGCTTTTTCGGGTTGAGAGCCAGTATACTGACATGTAGGAAGAAGAAAAGCGTGTTTTGCACAGGCAATGGTTCCAAAGTATTGAAGAGCAGGGTCGACCTGCTGACAGCGATGACGGAGGCAATTCCGCGCTGAAGATCAATGACGCGCTTGCCGTTGGTCGCATTGCGAATCCACTTTCGACTTGAACACTCTACTTGCAGCATTCACGAAACAGAAAATAATCAAGAGACTCGAAAGACTAGAGGACAGCATTCTCGCTCATTTCGACCATGCGTCTCACTACCGCCCTTCCTCTCCTGCCTCTCGCAGCCGCCCTACCTACCGCTCAACCCTCGGCGAAACCTCTCCCTCTCCTCATCTGGCACGGCTTGGGCGACCGCTACGACGCCGATGGAATCGCAGATGTCGCTGCTCTAGCAGACGAGATCCATCCTGGTACCCTCGTCTACCCCATCCGCCTTGCCGACGACGGCTCAGCCGACTCTCGCGCCACTTTCTTTGGCAACCTCACAACACAACTCGCCTCTGTGTGCGACACCTTGAGTTCGAACTCGTCCTTCTCGTCAAACAACACACGGATAGATGCCTTAGGCTTCTCACAAGGTGGACAGTTCCTCCGTGGTCTGATCGAAACATGCCCTGGCATCAGCGTGAGAAGTCTAGTCACTTTTGGATCTCAACACAACGGCATTGCCAGATTCCAAAACTGTGGTACATGGGATCTGGTATGCAAAGGAGCCATGGCAGCCATCAAAGGAAATGCATTCGGCGAGTGGGTCCAAGGCAACATTGTCCCTGCACAATACTACAAAGAAACGAACCAAACCACTGGAGAGCCCACAAAGAACTACCTGGAAAACAGCAATTTCATTGCAAAGATCAACAACGAAAGACACAATAAGAGTGCAGAATATAAACAGCGTTTGGCATCTCTGGACAATTTTGCTATGTATGTCTTTGACGAGGACAAAACTGTCATTCCCAAAGAGAGCGGCTGGTTTGCTGAAGTCAACATGACGAGTATGGAAGTGACTGGCCTTAGGGACAGAGATATCTACAAAGAGGACTGGATCGGCTTGAAGCAATTGGACAAGAAGGGAGCCTTGGAGTTCAGAAATACCAGTGGTGGACACATGGATCTGAACGAAAAGGTATTGACCGAAGCCTTTGTGGACTTCTTTGGTCCTGAAAAGAAGTCGCCATTGAACATAGAGGAGCAACAGGTGATGTTTGCAGAGCTATAGTCGAATAATTTGTATGTCTAACACCTAATAATATGCTGATTCTCAGGTCAATCTTGAGACAGACACATCTCCTTGGTTCCGTGACAAGCAAATAAAACGTGGCGAACTCTACCAAAATTGCCTCCTCTAATAATCATTGACCGCCCTTTCCTTAACCTAGGTAACACCTTTGCAGGACATCATGGATACTAGGAAGAACAACTTGGAATTCACGCATCTAAGACAGAGATAGAGAACTTGATTGGATCAGAGGGAACACTTGGCTGACCAGGACTATTGGTCTGCTGTCGGCACCCGCCACGCCATCATTCTCGAGAGCTTCAACGACCATATGTACAGAAAGGTCCTAGAAGGCAAGATTGCTATCGAGGATAGGTACCAAGACAGTTACCCTCATTGGAACTTCCGCGGTGGTCCCAAAACCACCGAGAAGTGCAAGTATATCTTCCAGGCGTTACGCAACACACCTTTCCAAGTTTTCAAAATCTCCATCGAGTCGGAAATCATCCATCAAACCAATATGGCGTGGTGGGTCATCCACCAGATTCCTCCTCGTCACATCACAGACACATAGGTCATCCATAGCATATGTCCACCTACCCCTTCTCTTCGCCGCCACATAACATCTCATTGAATACTTCTCGTCTTTTCAATGAAGATTCTCCAATCAACGTTACCTGAACAAAGTTGTAGGCAGGCGAAGGGAGGTGACAGAGACCGAAGTTTTTCCGTCAGAGAACCTCTGACGCTTCGCCAAGAATATGAACCTCACCTCTTTCAATGTCAGTTATATAGATATGACTTTACAAGGACATTGGCCGAGGATGCGCAGACTCTCGACCGTATGTATGATATGTGCTCGGTCACAAAGATTGGACTGAAGATCTGCACTCGGCCAGCAATGGCGAATCGTTCCAACCTCAATCATCAGCTGCGTCCAACATAGAAATGCTTTCCTATAGGCAAGCTCTTTCCTTTTCCTCATAGCGCACGTTCTGTTTCTCGTAGCATCAAAGAAGTAAGGAAGGGAAGGAGGTCAAGCACTGAATGATCCTGGAGTGGATGCCGATTAATGGAACAGCGCCAGCACAAGTCAAACCGACAATTGGATCTGGGATCTGAATATACTGGACCATGACAGACTGGTTCATAAACCGAGATAGATAACTCAGAAGGTCTCAATCGCCACTTTGTCCATCTCAAACATCTTTTCATGCATTCTTGAAATATGTCTCATCACAGCACCGGACACATCAAGATCACGTTATTCACAATTTGACTAGACACCACGTCCTAGGATAGGCCAACAAAGGAGACGTTGTCTTGTCTCAGATGATAACAAAGATTCGGAAGGTCTCATGTTGGGTCTCTCCCCGGATTGTCTTGCTTATGTTGCAGTTACTGTCTAGATTGCATCAGAGGAAGGTCGCTGCTTCCTAGAAGAACTTCCACCCATATCATGATGATCGATCTCGGAAAGTTCCTGGCTCTCCAGGAGGTGAAAGTCGGAAAATTCGACCTGAACAACACCATCACTCGAAAGCACAGACCACTCGCAGTCGACACCACGGTTTTTGGACACATATAACATAGCCAATTGCGACGCAGTTGCGCTGCTTCCTTCTCGTCGCGTGCAAACCCTTCGCTACGCATTCATCCTCTTCAACACTCTCTGACATCTATTCAATCATGATGTCCTTCAACGGCTCTATCAACGCCCAACAGGGTCAAGTCTACCAACTCGACCATGTCCCCAACCGTCATGCCCTTACTCACGTTCCCCAATTCGAAGGTCACCCACTGACTAGCTGGACCTTCCTCGACTTCGTGACCCCGAATGATCGTGCAACCATCCCTATCATAGGCACACAGCAGGCTCTGGCGTCCCTGGACCACGCACTTTCAGCTGGCATCTTTGCCCGTCGTGCTGCAGAATCTCGCCTTTTTTCGGCCTATACTCCCCTCGCCATCGCTCTCAACACTATCTGCGCGAAGGTTGGCGCTGAACCCATCACTGAGCGCGATCTCGCCCAGCTCCATCGTGCCCCTTGGTTTGCTGATTTCGCAAAGGCGGTCATCAAGCGCTATGATGCCGAGGGTCAGATCAAACTCAACGACGACAACCTCCTTTCTGAATCTTGTTTGAGTGAGGATCACATGGTCCTTCTCGCCGAGGCTTTTGCTGCTTCCCAGAACCTCTCGAACATTGAGCTGGGCATTGTGGCCATCACCCAGAAGGGCGTCAAGGCCTTTCACTACCCTTGGACTGCTACCTGCAAGGGGTTGACTGCCTGGGTTGTGGCAGACTTGCGTAGCAACGACCCCATTTACTATGGTCTTGGTCGCGAGATCGTCGAGCAGCACGAGGGTACAGATGGCGAGGAAGAAGAGCACGAGAGTCAGGAAGAAGACGCCGACGACGAGGAAGTCCCCACCGTCACCCCTCGCAAAACTGCTACCCGCGTCCTTGACCAGCAAGTTCCCCTACGCGCTGGTCTCTCGGCTAAGGACATTCTGGAGCGTCACACCGACAACCTCCAGTATAACAACATCCTGAAAGTCGGTCTTCAGTACAGTAACCAGGAAATCGCGAAGAAGGTTGCTGAAGCCGCCGTAGGCAGCACCAAGAAGTTCTCGACTGGAGCCAGCGGTGTCGTCAAGCGCATCAACACCGGCATTGACTTTATCGAGAAGGAGTTTGGCATGGATGTTGGTGCCTTCCGCACTGCCTATGATACCGAGCGCAAAAACAACGGCATTCCAATCCGTGGCAAGGACGGCGTCGATGATCAGGTTCTCGCTGCCAACGCCAGCAAGATCAATGATGCCATGGCATGGGTCAAGTCTGGTGGTCCTCGTCCTGTTGTTGCTGTCGCGCCTGGCCCTGTACCCACTGGTTATGAACCTGCCTTTCCTGCTCCAAACGCCAATTCGGGTTCAATCAACACTTTCAACAGCAACGTTCCTCAGATTGACGACGCCATGGACGAACTCGATCAGGACTTCAAATACGCTCCTGAAGTGCAGTCCGACAACTTCTTGTCGCAGCTCAACGAGCCTCAGCCTGACTGGGACTCTATGTTGGATGACACTCTTATGAACTTCAACGACACCTTCAACTGAGATAGAGTTCGATTCTTCTTATTATACACCTCACGATTCTTTTCCACGATTGGCTTTTGGCGATGGGATGGTTTGCTTTTTGTGTTTTTCATGATACCCGGGACGCCTCTCTGGCCTCTTCCCTGCATTCTTTCCTTTGTACCACGATTAATGAGCCATGGATTCTGGCGAGAGGAACTCTTTCCAGTCTATGACTCTGCCTCAAGGCATGAAATAATGCTTTCACTTTCCAGAATGCGATGCCTTTGGCTTTCTTTCATACTCTTGCCTTCCTCTCAAATGATGCTCTACCTGTTCTGTCTTGACGACCGGTATACCTCTCCTACTTCAAAATCTTATCCACAACACTAAACCCCAACGGATGCTTCAAATGCGCCCCTTGTTCAATCGCAGGTCTAAACCACGCCAACAATGTAACGCCCTCAAACACAAACACCCACAAATACCCCAACACCCTCCATTTTCTTCCCTTACATCCCATCTTCTTTCCCGTTTCAATAACCTTTTCCTCCACCCAAAACGCTAACACCTGCGGCGCATACCTCCAAAGATCAGCCGTGTATCCTCCGCCTGTAATCAAAGTTCCATACGCATGCACAATCCATGCGAAAAAGAAGGCCGAGCAGACTTTAACCCAATAAGTAGATTTCTTGCGTTCATCAAGACCGAGAGTGCGGACGAGAAAGGACGTGTAGGGAGTTGCGAGTGTACGCATCATTTGATGCCAAGTGTGTGCCCAAAACCTTTTTACTGTGTATGCGTTTGTGAATGAGCCAAAGAGAGGTGGAAAGGCAGAGGGAGGGTAAATGTGTAGAGGGACGGTTATGGCAGCCAACACACTGAGGAGGGCGGACATTGTCCAGCGGGCTTGGAGGTAGATGAGCCAGGCGTTAAAGAGAGCCAAAGGAAGGGGTTGCGAAGTTAGAGGTAAGATTGGACGGGAAGTGATGGGGGAAAAGTGGCGGAGAAAAAGGTAGGAAATGTCTACAAGGAGAATGTTGAAGGCGGCTGAGAAGAGTTCGGTGACTGCGAATTGAAGACGAGGAGTTGTTGGTGATGGTGCTGGTGGCAGGTTGCGGATTTGGAAGTTCCTGTTCGTATTGAGTCAGTATATCTGACATCCTTCGCAGCATGCCAGTCGCCATAGGAAATCCTTACCATCCAATCCCCCTGGAACTCATACTTCCAATTTCAAACGCATCCCACAAATACCCCCACCATCTCCTCTTTCCCTTCCCGTTCTTCCCATCGCCTTCTTCCTTCTTATCATCTCTTTCCTTCCCCCTCCTCTCAAAATCACCAGCCTTCATCAACCACCTCGCGCTCACAATCTTGAGCACAACACTCATCAATCTACAGCCTTGAGTATAGACATGCGTCCACTCGCCTCCTTGAGGCTTGTTTAATGTCAGGGCAAATAACCAGTATGTCCCTAGAGCAATAGCGAAGAGATTCAAGGGTGTAGATCTGGAGAGTGCAGAAAGGCCGAGAAGGAGTTCGAGGAGGGGCAGTAAATAGCCTGGGATATTGTTTGTTGGTATGGGTTGGAGGAGAGGTGGAGGTTGGGCTGAGTCCATTGGAGTTGCCATAATGTCCATGCGATCACGGTAGATAGTGGTAGGTGTTCTGTCCTGCTCTACGTCGTGTGACCAAAGTCAACTTGTTCCCTATTCCGTGATCACCAAGATAGAAAAGCTAAAGAGAAGAGATGGAAAGACTTTATATGCAAGTTGTCCATGATCCTCGCTTGCAGTGATCCGTGTATCATCTGTTGCCCTCGCCTACAAAGTTTGCCTCAATTTGTCAAGTGATCGTCAAGAAGGATTCGCAAATCCAAACATTCGGTTTAAGCATTTGGATCCCATTGTGGACCCTTAGTATCGGCATCTGATATGGTACTTCTGCCAGTGTAACATCTTTATTTTTATGCTTATTATCATGGGCAATTGAGATCAAACATCTTTCAGAAACATGTGTCTTGGAGTGCTCTGGCTCATAAGAACAGTTGTTCAGATGCCATATTTTCGGGCCTGGTCCATGATTTCGACTGGCGTATCCAATGCGTTGGCACTCTTGTATGGCGCCTTCGTTTCTCAGCGGTGTTCATATACGCTTGCATACACGGTGAGGCCTAAAGGTCTCGGAAAGGCAGGTCGATATTAACACTATGAGGCACGGTGCTCCTGATTGAATGTTATGATGCAGAGTGGATGATCATAAACGGCTAAGTGGGTTCATTATTATGCACTTGCATAGAGTACAAATTTGTGCAAATTCGACGTTGAGGTCGGTCATGAACTTTCAAACATGTTTCGATTTTGCTCGGCAAACAAATCTAGCGCATCTAGCTGCTACAAGAATGCCTCCTCATTAGGAACGATAATACAACACAACAGGCGGTCTAAGACGTCCAGGAGCCAAATGTCCAAGATGGCCTCTGTCATCCCATATCCCTTTCTTCTTCCCTCTTGCCTCACCATCGACACAAGTTTTCTAAAGCTTAGCCTTGGTCTCGATGGTAGGCAGCATGAGATCTCTCATCTCCTCTGCAGCTTCGTTGATGTAGTGGCTCATACGCTCAGATCCCAACTTCTTGGAAACGATGTTGAACTGCAAGCTGTTCTCGTTGATCATGTAGGCGATACCCCAGCCCTCGTCAACGACTTGGCTCCAACCGTAACCGTTGAAGTATTCGGAAGACAGTTGCGAAGAGGAGATGAACCAGGTGGATGAGTATGAGAATGCAGGGTCGCTGAAGATGGCTGGGAGTTGTTCGCCTTCCTTGATCAACTTCTTGAGACCGAAGAAGTGACGGTCGACACCCTTGCCGTCGGAGGCGTCACTGATGTATGCAACGTGTGCCTTGAGGGCAGCTTGCAACTTTTGTCTGCACTCCTCAGGTGTGGCTGCAGGGTTTGCCATGGCGTCGGTGAAGGCACAAGACTCCTCGCTGACGGAGCGGCAAGTCTCGGTACGGCCTTGCTGGAAGCGGCGAGTAGCGGCAGATTCGTAGGTGGGTCTGTTCTTGCCGTAGAATTTGTGGTAGGCGAGTTGGATGATCATCTGAATGAATGCGTCGGGACTGCACTTGAACTTCTTGATCAAACCCTTGCCGTAGCCTTGGTATGCTTGAACCTTGAGCTCGTGCTCACCAATGACCTTGGTGAAGTGTGATTGAGCACGGCCAATGTCCTCAAGGTTTGAGGGAGAGAGGTCGAAGCGGATGGGAGTGGGTTCGGGGAGGTTGCTGCGGACTGAAGGGTTGTCGTAGTCGAGCTTGTTGTTGAAGATGAGCATGTTGATGTAGTCGTTCAGGCGGTGGGTTGGTGTGCCGTCCATCATACTGTGCTCACCCATGAAACCTGAAGTTCCGTTGTCGTTGATGATGAACTGGAGCGGCTTGTCGAAGAAACGGTTTGCGCCATTGCCGTGCCAGTATTGGTGAGCGCGCTCTTCAAGAGTCACAGGTCTTGCCTCGTCCAAGCAGACGACGAAGGATGATGCCTCGATGGTCTGGAGAGCGGCCTCGTTCGAAGGGTTCTGAGCGATCAGGGCGTCGCGCATCTGGCATTGTCAGAATAAGGATCTTGTGCAGAGTTCGTTGGCTTTACATACCTCAGTCCAGGTGTCTCTGTTTTCGGAAGTCATGATACCAACGGAAGGAGTGTCCTCGGCCAATTGGTAGACACGCAGGAACTGCTGCTCCAATTCGGCAGTGGTAAGCTCCTTGCCATTGACCTCGTGCATTACCTTGAAGAATTGGTTCTTGCGAACGACAGTAATGTACTTGTGGTCGTTAGGAACGTACTGCTTGGGGTAATCGGCAGGCTTAGCAGGGATACGGCAGCAGTTGAACATGAACTCGTAACTGCTCATGGCAATGGGGAGCTTCTTCATGTACTCGGGCTCGAGAGTGCCTTCAACAACCTGCCTTCTGAAGTCGAGGACAGATGAAGTGATGGCGGCAGCTCTCTTTGCGGGGTTTCTTCTCTTGCGGTCATCACGGTGACTGTAGAAGTATGAGACGTAGGGAACAACGGGGTCACGGTAGGCGAGGTATGCAGCCTCGTTCCACCACTCGTAGATCCAGTTCTTGTGCTTGGGGTCATCCCTTCGTGCGATCAGGCGCTTCTGCAATTCGTGACCGAGACTGTTGGGAGCGAGGAACTCGCTGACAGCCTTCTCGGTTTGTGCGTACTCTTGCTTGCTCAGAAGAGGGTGCACTGATTTCAGGTAGCGCTTGGCAGTCTCTTCCAATGTAGGAACGGGCAGACGTGGCAGCGACTCCTCGAAACGGAGCATGGGTCCCTTGGAAGCATCCTCCTTGTAGCCTGTGGACGTGTTAGGGTCGCCGCTGCTACTGGGTTCTGCAAGTCTTGACTACATACCCTCTGGCAACGAACTGCTCTTGCGTGCAGGAGCCATTCTCGTAGTCGCAATAGTCTTGGGGATATTGATGCGTGGACGGCTTAGGGGAGAGGAGAGGATGCGGCTTCGAAGACCAAACATCCCAATAGTAGTGTGTAAGGTTGATGGGGAAAGAGGGAGGGAGGGGCAATTTTCTGGACGCGGAAAAGAAAATAAAGACGTAGCAACAGGAGCTAACCGTCACACTTGGTAGAAATATGCTTGCTGCTACGTACCAAGTCGCAAGTGGATGCCGACCGTCCCTCGGTCGAGAGTGAGCTTCCCCAGGTTCCGTATGGGCCGAGGTTGCGTTCATCGCTCCGCCTTCCCCAGTGTGCCCGCCCGTCCTGATAGAGAGCGGCTCACCAAAGGTTCCAACCTGTTTCTAGAGCCTTTCACATGTTCTACTACCAGTCCGGCTTGCCGTAGATGCCTCATGACCGAGTCTGACAGATTTTAGGAGCAGAGAGAGTTCAAAGTGACCAAGTCCTGCCAAAAACTCACAATGCAAACAGCTCGCTTTCTATGCGAGCTCGTATCCGTTCGATATACACTCCGCAATTGTTCTGTACATGACCATCGGCCCGCCAGAAATCCGCAAGCCGGTCTCAGCCAACATGGGCCACCGGATATATTTTCGGCCATCTGACCAACACCATGTGATAATCGACACAAAAAATATGGCATGCACATAGATATTCAACCATGTATATACCACTTACTACTAATACACATCATCAAAGCGTCACCTCATGTAATCTAAGGGTTCTCCTTGGCGAACTTGACACCCTTCTCAATGTTACCCTTAAGGTCCTTGAGACAGGCGTCGAGGAGCTTCTGCTCGTAGTCGGTAACCTGGCCGACGGGGTGGATCTTCTCAACACCGTTGGGGCCGAGCTCGACCTGCGAGGCGAAGAAGTCGATACCCTGGTCCTTGTAGAGAGGAGAGTCGACGAAGGTGGGCTCAATGACACCCTTCTCGCCCTGGGCAGCCTTAAGGAGAGACTCGGCGAAACGAGCACCAGCCATGGCCATGGAGAGAGTGGCAGAGCCAGCACCGCCCTTGGCCTGGACGACCTCGTCACCACCGAACTGGACGCGCTTGACGTAGGCGTCGAGCTGCTCGCCCTCGAGGTTGTAACCAGACTGGGAGAGGAGAGGGACGATGGTAGCACCGGAGTGACCACCAACGACGACAATGTTCTCCGAGGCGGGGTCGGTGTTCTTGAGCTGAGAGATGAAGCGAGAGGCACGGACAACATCAAGAGTGGTGACACCGAACATGCGCTTGGGGTCGTAGACACCAGCAGCCTTGAAGACCTCGGCAGCGATGGGGACGGTCGAGTTGACGGGGTTGGAGATGATGAGGATGTTTGCCTTGGGGCAGTTGGCAGCAGCAGCCTTGGCCAAGTCACGGACGATCGAGGCGTTGGTGTTGAAGAGGTCTAGGATATGTCAGTATGTGATTTTGCCTGTTGTCAATTGATCATGTCCATACCATCACGGGTCATGCCAGGCTTGCGGGGGACACCAGCGGGGATGAGGACAATCTCGGAGCCCTTGAGAGCCTCGGCGACGTCGGCCTGCTCGTAACCCTTGACCTGTAGAGTGTGTAAGCATCGCGATTGCGATAGGACTTTTGCGGGTACAGTAGTTACTTACAACAGACTTGGTGTTGACGTGGGAGCAGTCGGCAGCAACACCTAGATTGACATTCGAGTCAGCGCCATATTTTAATAATTCGATGGGGGCGATAGCATACCAGGAGCACCACGAACATCGTAGAGGGCGAGCTCAGTGACTCTGGGGTTGAGCTTCAGGAGAAGCGACAGAGGCTGGCCAATACCACCACCGGCACCGAGGACGGCGACCTTGGAGGCCTGCGCAAGATATTCTTAGTCTGGTGTTACTGGGACAGAGTAGGTAGAGCTTTTGTCGCCGCGCTTGACGTTGATGACAGGCTACAAGATGACTTACATCGCGGGCAGAAGCCGAGAAGGCTCTGCGCTGAACAGTACCAATGACTTGACGAGCGGCAAACATGTTGATAGTAGCAACGAGGGTTTGTTGGACAAGAAGCTGTAGAGGGACGGACGATGGAACTCAAAGATGTTGTGCCTCTCGGCGAAAGAAGCTCGAGCCATCCGATTCATCCTTGTTGTCTCACCTCCGATCGCGTCCGCGCACGACTTGGCGTGTCCAATGAAACCCCTCCACCTCCAACTCTTGGATCTATACCTCCTCATTCCTGCAGGTCCTGATCCTACCGGATGAGAGGATGTCCTGTAGTACCAACCCAGGTTCAGTACTTCCAACTGGTGGGCGGTGTCTCGAGGAACTCCTTTGGCCCAGAAGCCACCGGAATTAGAGCTCGAAGCTCGGAAACGCCATCTTGAAGCTGCGAGTCCTAACACCCTGCTCCTACCAGATTCTGAACCTACTTACAACCATCGTTCAAAATAACGAGGTTTCGAGCTGTTGCTTAATCGTGTACTATATGTCGACTCATGCAGTCTTCAACCACAATGATATGTCGGACTTTGTTCTAAACCCGAGACCGAATATCATCGATGCTGCATGACGTATAATCTGACAAGCTTACATCAAAGGACATCCATATCCTTCTCAATAATCATCCTCTTTCAACAATACCAAACTTTCAAAGAGCACCAAATTGCAAACATGCCAGACTTTCAGAACGATCTCATCCTCATCACCTGCGCTTCAGGCAAACAATCCGCAGCTTTGATCCCTCATATCCTAAAGTCCTACAAGAACATCCGCTTGCAATGCAACAGCAGCACCTCAGCAAAATCTCTCTCAGAGAAATATCCAGGCACAGAAGTCGTCCAAGCCGATCTCTTCAACGCAGCCGACTGCACACGAATTCTCAAAGACGTTACTGCGTGCTGGCTAGTCCTTCCTCCCTTCCACCCGCACGAAACCACACTCGGTACAACCTTCATCGATGCTTGTCTTGCGCAACAAGCCTCCGGAGGCCCTTTCACACATTTAGTCTACAGCAGTGTGATCCACCCCATCCTTCAAAAACTGCTAAACCACGATTGCAAGCGTTATGTGGAAGAATATCTCATCGAAAGTGGATTAAAATATACAATCCTCCAACCAACCCACATGATGGAAATGCTGCCGCTCGCAAAACTACTCCAAGACGAAAAACCAGTTTATCCCTGTAACTGGAACCCAGCGACCAAGTTTTCATTTGTCACGACGAGGGACATCGGAGAAGCTGCTGCGAAAATCCTGGAACAGAGGGAGAAACATGTTGCTGCTACCTATCAATTGGTCAGCACTGCTGCTCCTCTGAACTATATCGAGGCTTGCGAGATTGTGAGTAAGGTGATAGGAAAAGAGGTCAAAGCCGAGAAGAAGGGATTCGAAGATGCTGTCAATACAAGCATCAAGATGATTAATGGAGGCAAGGAACCGCCCAAGGCGATGAAAGAGATTGGCGCGAGGATGTTTTTGTACTATAATGAGAGGGGATTAATTGGAAACAATAATGTGTTGGGGTGGCTTTTGGGAAGAGAGACGACTGGATATGAGGAATGGGTCAAGATGAGAGTGGAGGAGATCAAGTCAGGACGAAACTAGACACGAACGAGAGAGACAGTGGGAGACAAGGAAGAGAAGTTCCATCATGAAAAGACAATACAACAGTGCTTCAAGAAGAAAGTGGTATCATAGTCTAAAGAGACAAGAGAAAACACAAACCATGCTTCATAATCCTCTCGCCCGCTCAAAAATCATCGCCTCGTCAAAAACGTCAAATCATTCTGCGCTACGCATCAGCAAATTCATGCTCAGGGCCAGGAAGATCTCGACTCAACGGCAACGGACCCCTTTTCCTTTCCACTTGAGCCTTTTTCTCATGCACAACCTGATCATGCCCCTTGACTCCACCATCAACATAGCTCTGAACACCTTCAGTATCGCTTCCAATGCCATCTTCTTCTCTTGTACTGCTTGCTCGACTGACATCCCTGCTCGCTGGTGTCTCACTTCTCAAGCCTAGGTTTCGGTTTCGGCCGGGAGAAGGATCGTTAAAGTCATGGCCCCTCCAATCTGCAGGTCCTGTCTCGGGGACTTCGGTGCCGGGTGGTGGTTCGGTGATGACTACACTAGCTCTTCTGCCTCGTGCGGGTTCATCGACGGCTTTCCAGACTACGGCGAGTTTGTCGAAACCTTTTGTGCCCTTTTTCAGGCTGCCCTTTATGCCGTCCATGGCTTCCCAGTCGATTTCAAAGACACCAGAGGAGGCGGGGGGTTGGTCTTTGGTAGCGTTCTCAGGACCTTGCCCTTCGAAGAAGCAGTTGAACCAGACGTGAGCGACGGCTGTCACCATGCTCATACCATAGCCAGCTTTGTTTCTTCGCTCGAAGTCGATGTTGACGTCGCTGGTAGGAAGGATGACGGGTTGTGATGGTCGGAAGATGACATCTCCTGTAGCGTTGTGTAGCTTCTCCTTGGTAACTTCGCCCTTTGCAGCCTTGTCCTTTTCCTCCTTTTCCATGTTCTCAGCTTCTTTCAATTGTAAATTCTTTTCAGCATTGTTCATGCCCATGACTGCTGTAACAGCATCGGCAAAACCACCAGACTTTTTGATGCCACCACGGACGATCTCGCGTTCCTTCTTCGAAAAAGTGTGGAAGTTCTTGATGACACGCCCTTCATCGACGAAACCCTCAATGCTGACTTTGACGCCATCTCTCAAGCCCCAGACATGGACTTCCATGATCTGGATCTCGCGCTCGACATAGACCTTCTTATGTTGTGTCCAGCGATCGACATAGCTGATCCAGCGCAGCTGGCTAGGAATGCTAACACCAGCACCAAAGCCCGGCCTCATTCTGCGCTCCGTGAATCTGCGCAGCGCATCTTCAGCCTTCCAGCCTTCTTCCGAGATCAAGTAGCTGCAACTCATGGAGCCACTGCGTCCCTTGCCAGCTTTACAGTGCACCACAGCGACCCTCTCTTTATTTTCTTCCAGCCAATTGCGCATACTAGCCATGATCAAAGGAATCAAAGCAAAGGGCGGGGGATGGTGATCAGGCCAAGGATAATGCTTGACACGGCCATAGACCTCAGAGTCAGGATATCCCGTTCCCTCGGCGCGAAACTCCCAGATAGCCCAGTTGTCTCCATGTTTCTTATCGAGGAAGGCGACGAGTTGGGAGAGCGGGTTGCGGTAGGCGAGTTGGGGGTATGTGCCGCTGGGGCCAGAGGTTGCGATGATGTTATCGGTTACGTAGCAGAGATCAAGTCCTGCTTCTGGGTGTTGGGCGCGAGGACCGGCGACTATCTGGCGGAGAATCGAAGCCATTGTCGTGTCGGTTGTGTGTAAAGAGGACAAGGAGCATTCATTGTTTGTAGTGATTGGCTTGCTGCGCTGCGAAACTTGGTTGATCAAAGCTGGTCCCGACGTCATTGGCAAGTGGCCTCGGAGCCTCACACACCTCCTGACCAATTGCTCACAAACACTGCCACAAAATGGCTTTTTGATTTGGAAATGATCAAGAGCAGTTGACACGAGATCAGCACAATGTCAATTCACAAAACATATCGTCTAGGGTGATGCATGCCGAGCAGGACCTTGTGCTAATCGACTTGGCCGACTGCCTTGATCCGTTAACTCCGATGTCGTTTCTCTTATCGTCATGTGTACATCAATGTCCTTTTTTGTTCTTGACCCGATAGCAACCTTCTCCTTATCGCCAATGCACATGAACACACCATGCCATCCCTATTGACTCTCCCTGCTGAACTGCGCAACCAGATCTATGACCTCTTATTCCTCGAGTCATGTCCCTACACCTGTACAACCAATGGCACCCCTCGCTCGCGATCAAGTATTGCCGATTTTGGAAAGCCTTCGAGTCTAGATGAGACCACATCGACACCTGCGCAACCTCTGCTCCTCACATGCCGTCAGATGCACAGAGAAACTCAGCTGTTGCATCTCCAACGTACCTCCTTCGCAGTTGGTGGCCTCTACGCCGATCCAGAAGCCTTCGCGCGTCTCTGTACTGCCAATCTACCGCCTCAACTCGCCAAGCAACTTAGACACATTACACTAGTTGGTCGCATCAATCGTCTACGCGCCTTGAACGAGTCTTGGAATGGTGTACCCTTTGGCAATCCACATCTTTCGCTCGAGACCTTGGTCATTGTCCCACGACGTCCTGCGCAATATGATCGCCATTATGCCGAGATAGCAGACTTGGATTCGGCACACACTTTGTCCTACACACTGTCCGAGACGTTGAAGAACCTACACAATGTTCAAAGAGTAGTAGTGAGAAATGAAGATGATTGTTTCAACGATGTCGTCTGGAAGGTCATATATCGAAGCTTGATCAGCCGATTGCTGAGGTGGGGTGGGAAGTTGTGTAGTTGCAGATTCCAAGAAGGCGATGGTTGGTTCGAAATTCTTGTTGATGGCAGAGATGCGGATCCTGAGGTCTATCGAGACGCCGATACCGAGTTTCAGCGAATAATGGATTAGAGGCTTACTAGAATCCAGACTTCCTTTTCTGCCTTTTGCCTCGAGACTGTGTTGTAGGTGTTGTGACTCCCTGTTGTTCAGCCTTGAAATCTTCGGCGGCCTTGCGCTTCTCCAACTTAGCCAATCGCCTCTGTGCTCTCGCCTTTTCCTCCTCTTCTCTGACCCTTCTTCTCTCTTCTTTGACCCTTCGCTTTTCTTCAGCGGCAAGTCTTTCCTTCTCTTCCTGATCCTCTTTCTCTCTTCTCCTTTCTTCGTTCCGCTTGTTCTCTTGTGCTTTACGTCTTTTCTCTTCTTGCCTCTCTCTCTTCAACGCCAGCTTCTCTTCCTCAGACAGTGTCTTTCGAGCGGCTCTAGCCTTTCGTTTCTCTTCCTGGACTTGCTCTTCAACTTGTTGGCGTGCCTCCTCTGCTTTTCGCTCTTCCTCAGCCTTTCTGAGATCCTCCTCCATCTGCCGAGCTGGTGTACGCTTCGTCAGCTTGTTGAGCAAAGTAAGATTTGTTGGTGCAGATCTTTCGCTGACGAAGGATTCGTGTGAGCCTTCTCGCACTGAAGAAGCTCTGCTCAAGCCTCTACTACTGCTCAAGATTGACGAAGCTCTGCTCAACGCCTTGTGGACGGGAGCCGGTCGCTTCTTTCTCGGCACACCATCGTCGAAGGTTTCTGTCGTGGTGCGTGGTATTTCTTCCGTGAGAGCATCTTGCATATCCGTATCAACTTGAGTTGGCTCGGTGCTCTTCTTGACGACAGCAATTTCAGGTGCTTGTTGAGGCAAAACGATGAGGCCTTCTCGTTCGAGATGCTTATAGGCCATTCGCCTTCGTTTCCTCGCATATTCACCTCGCTTGTGCATACTTGCAAATGCATCTGACTGCACAGTGTCGAATCCTATCTCCCAGGGTGAACGGTACTCGAAGCCATCTCTCCAGTTGGCGCTATCCGAGAGTCGACGCTTGATGACTGGTTGGCGCGGAATTTCCACCTCTTCATTCTTGATGTCATTTGGAGGTGCTACACCAAGAGTGTCCCACATTCCAATCTCCTGAACTCTGCTCATCTCTTGGTCGACAGCTTCCAGATATGCGTCATGAGCTCTTTGGAAGTTTCTCTCCATCTTTCCTTTTCTGCGGCGCTTCTTCTTCGCATCCTCTTGTGCTTCTTCGTCGTCAGTCGGATGGTAATCAGCGTCATCATCATCAGAAGCGTCTGCACGTTCATCGTCAGGCATGTTGACAAGTGCTTCGTCTTCCGTGTCTGATGCTTCAGTCCAAAGCTCAGGATCGTTGTAGTATCGGTCAGGGTCCAGAACATCTTCTTCTGAGTCGGCCTCAACTGTCTGCACAACATCGTCGTCCGCTCCTGCAGCACTTGAGGTATGACCAGTGCCTAGTCTTTCTTCTGCTTCTTCGAGGCTAAGCTCAACCCCAGCCCTAGACTGACCTCTCGAGAACTTAATGCCCCGCTCGTAGACCCGAAGCCCATGCTTTCTTGGTACACTTGCCCAAAACTTGCGCGTGTTAGGTTGCAGATCCAAAATTTCGGTTGCCGCGCGTACGTCGGTTGCTGTAACTCTAGCGCTTGGTTGATCTTTGTCGCGTGCTCGCAGACGAGTCATTGTTTGAAAGATGGTGGCCTGTACAACACGCCTTGTCAAACTGACAGTCAGATTGTGAAAATCCTGAAAAGCAGTGTGGTACATCGAAGGAGTTTCGTGACGTGAGGTGATGAGGTTGTCCCAACTGTCGCCCAGTTCTGACGATTGATACATGAATAAACGAGATAATCGAAGCCACATTGGAAGGTCCAGGAGTTCGGCCGAGGGAACCATGATGTCTTCTAGGGGTTGGGAAGGTTGTTGATCTAGCTTCTGAGTCTGTGCGATTGCTTCTCCGGAGGAATCTGGTTCTTCGACATCTGTTTTGGGATCTTCCTGACCAGATTCGGCGTCTGTGTTGGCAACCTCTTGATAACTTTGGGCATCTCTCGGATCACCATCTTCTCCATCGTCTTCATTCTCGATCTCATCATGAAGCCCTGACTTTTTATAAGATTCATCACGTGCCATGACTTGCTCCTCGACCTCTTCCGCAATCTCTTCGGTAAGAAGCCAGTAGTCACCATGCCTCTTCTTCTCTCGCTTTTGATCGCTCCTTTTCTGATACTGAGCCAGACCATCCGCGTACTCTTCAAGAAGTTCTTCTGACTGCTTGCTCACTTCAAAAGCAGGTGATATGTCTGCGGCGGAAAACACAGGCAGTGCTTTGGTTACATTGCCCTCAACGGTTCCTTGGTCGAGCAGTGACAGATATTGTCGTACTTCGGTCTCTGATTTGGTTCTGATTGCGCTTGAGATCCCCTTGATGTCATCTTTGCCCAGAGCAGATACTTTTCGGAACAAGGTTTCTTTTTCCAAAGGAGTCCAGACAGCCACTCCAATCTCAGATGCTGGTAGTGCGTTGGTAACGGAGTGATATGGATGGATCAGCTCTTCGACTTCTGCATTATAGAAGTCCCGGTAGGCATCGCTGTAAGTGGCCCTTGTGCTTTTCGTGATTGACGATTTGGGATTTTCCTTGGTTTCCGACTTCTTTGGAGATCCTGGTTTTCTTGATCGATTGCTCGTCTCACTATGTCCACTTCGCACCGAATTTGCTGCATCGTCGCTTTGCTCGTCGTCTTCGCCTTGATATTCAGATCCAGAGTCTTCTTGGAGGTTATTGATTTGGTCTTCGTCATCGTGTACCGACCCACTGTCGGTTTCGATGTCGCTCATCCCATAATATGTGTCACGAAGAATAGTAACTCGACGTGAGACAAAAAGTCAATCATTTCTCGAGCATCAAAACATTGCATGTGAAAGGAAAGCGCAGATCATCAAAAGTCTTGGCGCTTACATAATGCTTGCATGGCTCCTTCCACGAGAACTTTCCCTAAACGGAAAGCATCATCTTTCGCATCTGATAACGTTGTACAGTCAAACGAATGTCCAAGCTCTTGCAGGTCGTCAAGAGCTCGCACAGATTCTGTGTAGGTCGCCGAACTGGAATTTGCTGGTCTAAGATACAACAGCCACACTTTCGGCAATATGCCACCGTACAGCCAGTGGCGGCGGCCCCAAGACCGCAAATCCAGCTGAGATCATATCAAGAAGAATGTATCGAAGCAGTCTTACGACATCTCGATCTCGGCCAAAAACGTCTTGGTGTTTCGCTGGCAACTGGGAGCGGCAAGACAGTCGTTTTCAGTCACTTAATAGAGCGAGTCCCGGAACCGACAAGAGAAGCTACCCAAACCTTGATTCTGGTTCATCGTAGAGAGTTAGTTGAACAAGCGGCTCGCCATTGCCAGAACATTTATCCAGACAAGATGATTGAGATTGAGATGGGCTCAAGACATGCCACAGGCGTGGCCGATATCACAGTTGCCTCAATCCAAAGTATCATGTCTGGAGACCGTCTTAGCAAGTTTGATCCGAACCGCTTCAAACTTCTACTCGTCGACGAGGCCCATCATATAGTCGCTGCAAGGTACTTGGATGTTCTCAAACATTTCGGGCTCGATGAAGAATCACAGAAAGTACCCAACAACCAATGTCCCGCTCTGGTTGGTGTTTCCGCGACCTTTTCTCGACATGATGGCTTAAGATTGGGCGCTGCAATTGACCAAATTGTTTACCACAAAGATTATCTGGACATGATCGAGGGCGAGTGGCTATCTACTGCTTCTTTCACTACGGTACAATCCGGAGCAGATCTCAGCAAAGTAAGGTCGCTTGGCAAGCAAGGAGACTTTCAAACTGGTGATTTGTCTAAAGCTGTCAACAACGATGAAACAAACCAAATAACCGTTCAGGCATGGCTTGCGCAAGCTCGAGACAGGAAGGCTACCTTGGTCTTCTGTGTAGACTTGGCGCATGTCTCGAGTTTAACAGCAATGTTTCGTCGCTTTGGCATTGATGCTAGATTCATCACGAGTGATACGTCAAAGCAGATTCGAACTGAGCGCTTGGATGCTTTTAAGAATGGAGAGTTTCCTGTCTTGTTAAATTGCGGTATCTTCACAGAAGGTACCGATATACCAAACATCGACTGCGTATTGCTCGCTCGACCTACCAAGTCTCGCAATCTCTTGGTACAGATGATTGGTCGAGGTTTGCGACTGCATCCAGGTAAAGAGGGTTGCCATGTCATTGATATGGCGGCGTCCCTGGAAACAGGAATTGTGACTACGCCAACCTTGTTTGGTCTTGATCCATCTGAATTGGTAGATCATGCAGATGTCGCATCCATGACTTCAACACGAGAGAAACGTGAGAGGGAGAAGCAACGTGAAGAGGAAGCTTCTTCAGCCATGGATCAGCTTTCTGTTATCGACCAGAGAAACATGAAGGCGCTGGCTGGCAATCTCACCTTTACCCATTACGACTCGGTAAATGATCTGGTAGAAGATACTCGAGGTGATGTCTTCATTAGACGGATCAGTCAATTTGCATGGGTCCAGATCGATACGGATAGGTATATCTTGTCGAGTGGTAGTGGTGATATGCTGAAGATCCATCGAGACGACACCACTGATGATCGACCATGGATTGTCACCAGTGTTGCAAAGCTACCAGCAGGTTCCTCCAAAAGCCCCTATGCAAGACCTAGAGAACTGGCCAAGGTACATGAATTTGAAGAAGCTATCCATGCCGCCGACAGCTATGCAGGCAAACACTACCCGTTCAGAAACATCGCTACGAGTGCACCGTGGCGCAGATATCCCCCAACACCGGCGCAGCTAGCCAGACTCAACCAATCTCGTCCTGAGCATCAACAACTTTCGTCTGCGGATACCACCAAGGGTAAAGCGGCAGACATGATAACAAAGATGATCCATGGCGCCAAAGGACGATTCGACAAGCTGAACCAAGTTCGACGCAGGATGGAGCAAGAGAAGCAGAAGCAGCAGCAGCTTCAAGAAAGAATGTCCAGACATCAGATACAAGTTGGTCCTGTGCGATGAAAGGCGTGTTCAACATTACCAAGATGGATGAAGCCCCGCTGTCATAAGGCAAGCCGATGACACATTATGATTGACTGCATATCTGCAGCGAGCATGTTGTGTGCCCAGATGTACAACGGATAGCTACAGACTGTCAAGCGGCCGTACGTCGCAAGCCATGTGCGACCATGGTCCTTGTTTGCGATTCTTTTGTGTGTCATCAAATGTGGGGAGAGATGCATTCAACAAAAGATAGTCCATCACCTAATGACCGTCTTTGACTACATGCAAGGAACTCTGCAAAAGTGTGGTTGACTCGACCAGGTTCCTAGTCACCCCATACCATCTCTTTGTTTTGAACAGCTATCCAAAGCATACATAAGGTCGAGTTGCAACGCAACTCCTTCACCATAGCCAACCACCGTACCTCGACCACGATGATGACTTCTGCTATACTCTTCTTTGCTGCTTTGTCGACTGCAATTGCTGCGCAAGTTGGCAGGCGTCAGCCATATGGGATTTACCCTGGTCCAAGCATGACATCTTCTCCAAGCTCGGTCAGTATCGAAGAGATTTTTGAAATAAGTCGGTTGTCTGAGACTGTATGTAGAGCAGTATGCCAGCCTCCTATGGCGGATACTCGAACTCTGCAACGATGATGTATAATACATCTACCAGCATGTCGATGGCTACTGCCACCTCGATCTCTGTTCTTAACACCACTACTTCATCATCCTTGTTGACATCCATCGTGTCAGGATCTCCAATTAGCTGGACGACCAGCAGCAACGGAACCATTGTCTTGGGTACTCCAACCACCTCGAAAACAGACACCAGCTCCAACACTGTGGCAACAACCACGAGTGAGACATCCCCTAGGGAGACTACCTGCGTAGCTGTCGCGATCAACAACATTGGAGCTGATGGTATATGTGGCTGTGACTACGATGTGTACACATGCCTTGAGCGATTGTCCAACACCAGCGAGTGGTCCATCTCTCAGACGACTGGGTCGTTCAATGGCTGTATGCAAGCATGTGATTCACAGCCAACTTGTTACAGCTTTACATTTCAGATAAGCGATGGGTTGTGCAAGATGTTTGGTGGTATGCTGAATGGCGGGGATGGGACCGTGTCTGCAGCAGACTTTATTTCGGGAGAAGTCGTCAAAGGAACATGCACTGGACATTGCGATGGCCAGTAAAGACGGGATGAGATTGACTTTGAGCTTGCGGACTTGGCATCCACGTTTTATGTTGTTTCTTGTTGGCGTTCCTTGATTTTCAGACAGAAGTTAACTTGACGCTCTTTAGGACAGTCAGCTGAATTGCATGCTTCAATTGCAACGCTCGTATTGCTCTCCATGTGATAATTGCGGTTCACGAATCACCTGCGGGGAAGGGATGGTCAGCGCTTCGGGTCAAAGTTCCCAAGCGTCTGGAGAGAGCAAGCCTCCTGATGCACTTGACCGCGCGTCCCCTGTGACGAGCAGAGGACTCAGACTCAGACACGGCATTTTTCACAACCGAGAGGTATAGAAACGGGTCAAGTATGGATTAGGGGAGCCGTTGAGCTCATAGAGCGGAAGAGTGCGGCTGCAAACAAGCAATTGTAGCTACATCATTTTCTGGAGGCGCCAAGCACACGACTGCGCAATCGAGGATGCAGAAACGCCGTGGCAGGCGGCTTGTAGCAGAGAGGATGAAGAGCTTCAATAGTGGTGGCTGGAAAGCATCTCCCTTGTGATCAAGCAAGGCTAAGCAGCAGCGAGCGATACGAAAGGAATTTTATTAACTCCAGGAGAAGCCTGTGCTTTGTTCAGTTTCGCGTCGTCGTCGTATGTTGGGTGGAAGCCACGCGGGTCCGCAGCGCTCGGCCATTGTGATTGACGATTTGGCGTCCCTGACTATCGTTTGACATCCGTGCCCTCAGGCTCAGGCTGGTCTTTTCCCTTCCACTCCATCCACCCCTTCCTGTCGCTTCTGTACGTGTGATTTTTCTTTGGAGCGAGTGTCTGGACGGACTGCTCGGCAACTGGGTCTAGACGTGGACGTTGCTCATGCGAAGACGATCCTCTCTTGCGGGTGCCGACGAAGATGAAGGGTTGAAGGTTAATATGCGAAGCAATGTTGAAGAGGTGGATAGCGACGACAACAAGGACAATCCACCCACCGAAGATCTTCCTCGCGACAAAGATAGCGACGACGACCTAGACCCTCAATCGACTCCTACGCCTATACCTGCCCCCTCGGCCGACCGCAAGATGGAGGACTTCTATCGCAAACAGCGTCAACGCGCGAGGCTGCGTAGCCCTTGGTCTTGCTCTCTGGTGACGATGATATGTACTGGTCTATCGCTACTGCTGCTGGCGACCATAGCGCAATCGTTTCTCGGACGTCAATTGGATTCCAAGGGCTGCAAGATGTCGTACATGCTCTCCGCTTTTGCCAAATACACAGACTTCGATACCGAGCATACCAGATTTGCGACAAAGTACTCATTGTATCTGTACCGTGAGGCTGGCATTGACCAGGACACGCGCGTGAGTACAAGACATTGCCAACTGGAAGGCACGAGAGGCTGACACAAGACACAGGTCAAGGGTATCCCAGTGCTGTTCATTCCAGGAAATGCAGGCAGCTACAAACAAGTGCGCTCTCTAGCAGCCGAAGCTGCCAATTACTACCACGATGTACTGCAACACGACCCACAGGCCCAGCAAGATGGCAAGCGTCCATTTGACTTCTTCTCGGTCGACTTCAACGAAGACATTACCGCTTTCCACGGACAGACACTCTTGGACCAAGCCGAATACCTGAATGAAGCAATCGCGTATATCCTCGCTCTCTACCACAATCCTCATCGCAGTCTCCGCGACGATTCACTACCCGACCCCACCTCGGTCATGCTCGTTGGCCATTCAATGGGCGGCATTGTTGCTCGCACAATGTTCACAATGCACAATTATCAACCTAATACCATCAACACCATAATTACCCTATCCGCTCCTCATGCTCGTGCACCCGTCTCTTTCGACCAGGATATTGTCGATACATACCAGAACATCAACGAATACTGGCGCAATTCATATTCCATGGAATCTGGCCCATTGGATCATGTCACTCTGGTTTCAATCGTTGGTGGTGGTCTGGATACTGTTGTACCTTCGGATTACGCTAGTCTGACTTCGCTAATGCCAGAGTCGCATGGATTTACTGTTTTTACTTCAACAATGCCTCACGTATGGACTGGTATGGATCATCTGGCCATCATATGGTGCGATCAGCTCCGCAAAGCAGTCATCAAGGCCTTGTTTGATGTTGCCGATGTCAAGCAGCCTACACAAACGATACCACGTGCGGAGCGCATGCATCACTTCCGAAAACGCTTCCTCACCGGTCTGGAACCGATTATACAGAAGGATCTACCAAAACAAGAAGCAAAGATGCTTCTTTCCTTGGACGATCAGTCTTCAGCCATTCTCACCGAAGGTGAACGCCTGAACCTTCGTCAGCTGGGTTCGTCTGCTAAGACCGAAGCATATGTCTTGCCTGTGCCATCTTCGGTTGAGAATGACGCTCGTAGACTTGCCGTCTTGACCAATCAGCGGATTGACGAACATGGGCCTGTTCAAATCTTCCTTTGTTCATCTCATGTCCCTCAAGCTGGTGCAGGTGGTAATGCTTATGCCATCAATTTGGACCTTTCTGGTGGCTCATCAGGCTTCATGCGCTTGTCTTGCAAGGACGCTGTAGTCGATGCGATTGCTCTACCTGCTTCAAACTCGGAGTCGAATTTTGCGTTCGATGACGTCCAGCCTTTTACATACGTCGAGTATGCGCTGAAAGATCTGTCTGAATACCAGTTTGTTGCGGTTGTGGATAAGGCAAGCGAGCTCACTGATGGATGGGTTATTGCTGAATTCAGCGATGCCACCAAGTCGACTGTCACTGTGAGAAGATCATTGCGCAGCCTCATGTTGAGCGGTATGCACCGTGTCTTGCCAGCTGCACGTGCCATGGTCAATGAGCTTCGGGTTCCTCGTGTGCATTCAAGCTTGTTGGCCTACACCCTGCGCATCCATCAAAACTGCAACACCGAACCTCTGTTCCAACCTTTGCTGAGACAGTACATCTCCGAACCGTACGAGTCGAAGTTTTTCCCTAATGTGCGAGGAGATGTCAACATCAATTTGCACGGCGTTTCTCCTTTTGTGCCACCGCCAGCGAATGCGGCTCACACGAAGGATGGACTTTCGCTACAAATTTGGTCGGATCCGACCTGTAACGCAGAGATGAGTGTATCCTTGGATATTGATATTCTTGGAAGCTTTGGCAAACTCTACATGCGCTACAGAACTGTCTTCGCTGCTTTCCCTTTAGTCGTTGTGGCTTTGGTACTGAGGAAGCAGTTCAAGGTGTACGACGCTACAGGTCAGTCCATATCTTGCATCGCGGTAACATTTTCTTGCTAACAGCGTATTAGGCATCTTCATGAGCTTTTCCGAAGGCATGGATCAATGTATTCGTACATCCCTCCCTGTTCTCTTCATCGCATTGTCATTTTTGTCACTCGCCCTGGCCAATCATGCCACTATCTCGGCAAGCGAAAGTCTCCTTGGATCGCAAGACGAGGCTACAGAATCATTCTTGGAGTTTACCAAGAACGACCTCTTACTTGGCTCCAACGACCCCTTTTTCTTCTGGCTCGTGCCGCTGTTTGGAGTCATTAGTGTCGGCGTCTGCATTGTGCTCAATTACATCACATTGGCGTTGACACAGGTTCTCACTTTCTTTTACGCCAAGGTCAGGAACGTGCGATTGAGAAATGACGACGGAAGGTGAGTCAAATGCTTTCATGAGATTTTCTGGGGAGACGACTTACTGACTGTATTAGACGAACACAAACAGCATTTGCAGTCACCAGCCCTCTGCAGCGTGTCATCACAACCAGCATCTTGCTTATCATGGTCGCGACCATCATACCCTACCAATTCGCCTATCTAGTCCTCTGTCTAGTGCAACTCGCAACCTCCGTTCGCGCATTACGACTGGCACAAGAAACAGTAAGTCTTGACCCACTCGATTGTCATGTACTCAGCATCTAATACAACTGCAGCGCTCGGGCAACAACTACAACTTCTACAACTACGTGCACAGTCTACTCATGCTCATGCTGTGGATCCTGCCCATCAACCTGCCTGTCCTCGTCGTCTGGATTCACAATTTAGCCGTCCACTGGCTCACACCTTTCTCCTCACATCACAACATCCTCTCCATCATGCCTTACATCCTGATCGTTGAAACCATGAGCACCGGCCACATCATTCCTCGCTTGACGTCGCCAAAGCGGCTAGTCAACAACATAATGCTGTTCGCACTGGCTCTGTACGCCGCAATCTATGGCGTCAGTTATGCCTATGTGTTGCATCATTTGGTCAATGGCTTTGCGGCTTGGTTGGTAGTTGTGCATTTCGCGCCTTTATTGAGAGGCAGAGGGGGTCTGGAAGAACAGCAACGAGGTGCTAGTGGTGGTAATCCACCTAGCCCGCCTGGAGATGGGCATGTTAAGAAGATGCCTTAGGCTCAAAGCATAACGTTAATGGCAGGGTGTAGAGACAAAGCACACCATTATATATAGATGTGCGGTTTCTCTTCCCTAAGTGGAGAACCTCCTTTCGGGCTGTGTCAAAGTAGCATGAAATGCATTGTAATGATTAATCTTTCTTCTATATAAACTCCTCTTGATTCTTCTTGTGTGTACCGCGCTGATCCCGCCTTCCATGTATCATTCAAATCTGCACGGATGTTGTTGAATTTTTTGGCGAGTTGTGCTTGACCTTCGATGATAGTGTTTTTAGACTTATTTTGAAGAGCTGCAGGAGCATAAAAGACAGCAGGTGACTCAGCCCTCGCTAGACAAGAACGGCTACAGGCTCTTCATGCTCTAATTCCGTCCAAACCACCATTACACAATATTTTGAGCTATCAACAACATGGATCCCAAATACAGTGTTTGCCATTGAAAACAATAGTTTCAGCTATATCACAATACTTGATATAGAGAAACAAAGAAGACGGGTAAGAAAAGAAAAACCATGTTGGGAAGTAGCAATGCCATCGAGATCAGGCAGCCTTGATGTAGCCGTCACAGCAAACAGTTATATTTTCCCACGCTCGAAGTGACACAATTAATGATTGGCTCTTTAGTTCTCGGGAGCATGTCTATCATTAGCAGCATCTTGGATCAAGCACTTGTATATGCTGCATTCCTCAAACTGGCAGCATGAGAGAAAACACAGCCGCCAGAGGCTTGTTCATGAAAACTTTCTACAGCAGGGAATATCAATAATGAGGTGGGCAGGAAGAATGAGTATTCTTATATATCATATTCCTTCTCTTCCAGTTCTGTCAAATCTACAAACCATCGAAGGCAGCGGAAGGGCGATCAATTGGAAAATCATTACCATCATCAAACGACCCAGACTGCAGCAAGCTCGAATTCATCAACTCCGAGTCCAAAGATGTGCGGCTACCACGAACTACGAACCCCCTGCTGCGGCGAAAAAATCGGCTTCTCACCCTCCTCTTCCCACAAATGCTCCCACTACTACACAAACAACCGCTACTGCCGCACTGGCTCCATCCACAGTTGGATCCTACCCACACCCCCTCTCACCACAAGCACAAAGTGTGAAAGCTGCAAACAAGACGAAAACCACGAACAAGCCGTTCTTCAAGCCGAGATCAAGAGACGTGAAAAACAGATGGAGAAGGAAAGGGAAGAACAAGAAGAGAGGAGACAACAGGAACAAGCTAGGGAGTTGAGATTGTGGGATAAGGAATTGAGGAGGGTGAAGGAGGAGAGGGAGAAGGGGAATGCGGTTGAGGCTTTGAGGAGTCAGGTTGCTGGCTTGAAGGTCAAGGATGGAGAAGACGTTCGAAGCTCGGGAGGAAAGTAGGCGCAATGCTTGAGATTGATGGCTGATGTTGATTGATGAGGATGTTTGCTGGTTTGATGTTCATGATCTCCTTGGACTCTAGTTGAATAGCTGTTCTTTTTCTGCAGTTTGATGGCCAGAAAGATTGTCAGTAGCCTGTAGGAGATCATGAGTATATTCCACTCGATTGGTTTGAGCTTGTTCATGGTCTCAGTGAATTCAAGCTAGATAGTGAAGCTTTTTTGCATTTTGATGGTCTAGAAGATCGTCAGTAGCCTGCAAGAGATCATTGGTATGCCCCGTTCGAATATATGCGTTTTGTAACCTCATGCCCTCACAGTACATTGTCATTGTCAGAAGCTTCGCAAACAGCAAGTGAAATTACAGGAGTTACATACACAGGACAGATGGTGCAACATCCAAACCTTCAATAACTTCTGAGCAGAGCAGAGCACATAATTTCGACACTCCGGTCAATAACGGCGTCGACTAAATCTGAGCCACTGTTCTCGTCGATGCTGGAAGAGTTGGGAACGGAAGAGCATCACGAGATGCTATGGGCTATCTTTCAGGTGACGGGATTGACTTGGAAGACAGGACCCGGGGCGTATTCTTGACCTATGCTCTTGCAGTCCTGAAAAGCAAACGTCAGGGGCGGATGACTTACACAAAGTGCAACCATTGACAACTCGACGTCAAGAGAGATGATCCATGATCATCACCCGGAACGTTCTGCTCTGTGACTCTTCATAGCTTCTGCTTATACCCGGACAGTAGGTCTGATCTGTTCGCCTCAAAGATGACTCGAAGCTGACCCAACAAGATGCTGCCCAAGGACAATGGCAAGAGGATCTAGACATAGATCAGCAGCGACAGATGTACCTGAGCCGTTGGCGACCCGGTCAATGGAAGGCTGCAGACCTGTACAGAAAACCGATGACATTCGCACCTGCTATCTCGTGTTGGCTGCAGCTTTTCATCGTGCAGAGTGACAAAAGCAGAAGGCACCAAGTCGTCGTCTCGGCATCAACACAACTAAAGCAGAAGGTGCCTTCTATTCACTTCTTCTTGCGCCGGGCACTCGACGCTCTCGCATCTACCACAACATCTCCATCAACCGCACCTACCACAATCAATCCATCTTATCCCACGACATCAAGAACACCATCAAAATGTGCACTAGAAGAGTCAGTCGCTACAACACTTGCCCCTACCGCTTCAACAAAACCCTTGAGGAGAAGTTGTGCATCAAGTGGGGTGTCATCGCTCCTTGCCCTCCTTGGGAGTGGTTGCTCATTAACGAACTTCCCCATGCTGAGCTCTGCCCTTGCGAGCAGTGTGCAGATGCTGCCGAGCGCCGCTTGGACCAGCAGAGTCCTGCCATAAAGGCCAAAGAGAAGAACATCTCCCAGTAACGGCGCCAAAGTATGATCTGATATCTGATTGCTCTTACAATGGAGTCGCTGACGAGACTGTCGTAGATACCTGCTGAAGAAGTCAACATGAACATGAACTGAATCACAAAAAGCACAGTATGGTCGGAGAAGCTGACCTCGAATCGAGAATGATCACAAGTGGATCGTAAAGATGAAAATGGGGTCGGCGGGGAATGTTCTTTGATTCGTCAAGATTGCCGTAATCATATCTCCATCTCATCAGGGTTGTATCCCTTCTTCTTTCCCTCCTCCAACTTCTTCTTCGTCTTCTGTTTCGAGTCCTCAATCCAAGCATCGTAGGATTCATCTGCAATCTTTGCAGCAGTGACACCCTTCATCAACTCACCCACGAAACCGACAAAGTTGTGTTTGCGTAGAGCATTTTCCCATTGCCATGCGCGACGCTTCTCTTCCTCACGGTACAGCATATCTTCATCTCCAAACTCTCTTGCTTTTGCGCGTAGATCTTGACACATTGCCAGAAGGTTGAACCGGATCTCGTTGGAGGGGTATCTTTCGATGCGGCGTTGGAGGACGGGGATGACCTTCTCGGCAAAATCTGTAGGAGTACAGGGGCCGTGGTTGATTGGAGCTTCTTGGAGACCGTCGAGTTCGTAGAGCTTGCCATTTATGCTGGTGTATGCGATGAAGTGGAAGAGGTCGTCGTCCTGGGTGGCCATGCGAGTCTCGTCTGACACGAACGGCGAGCTGCGGGCGAATGAGTTGTGTGTATCGCGGATGAGGTCGCTATTGCTGAGAGCTTCGCCACGAATCTAAGATTGTCAGCTTGGTAAATAGAAGTACTTGTAGCAAGTCACATACGTCTGGTGGGAAAGCGGCGGTGAAGTCCTTGAAGTCCGTCAGATGAGGACCCAACTCGACGCCATCGGCATTGTCCTTGTTCATCAAGACGCTGAGCAGCGCTTGTGTACCACAGGCATTCTGAATCGTCTGAGCAGCGAACCACACCTTGCCCTTGCCATCGCCTCCGCTGCCAGCATCGTCCAGGTTGTATGTTGCTTCGAAGTCGAATTGTCCATCTAGAGGACCGTCTGATTTGCGACCTTCATTGTTGTACTTGAAGAGGAAGATGACTCCTAACGGTGAGAGCTGGCCCAGTGATTGTGCATCTAATGAGATGAGCTCCTCGAATTGAACGTTCTTGACACCGAGATTCTCTAGCAGATATGTGAAGACGCCCTGATGAATGTCAGCATACGGAGAAGGTGCACCACAAGACAATATACCTACAGCGTCTGACTCGATAGTGTTCCAGCCTCCCGACATGTTTGCAGGAATCAAAAAGTGAGAATGTTCAAGTTGTCAAGCTCGTCTCTGCACAAACATTCGTGCGTCATTAGCTGTACAGCTTTTGCCAAGCCCGCTCGGTGATCGGCGTATCGGCTTGAACAACCTCCGCTCGCCAGCACATACCTTTTCTGAAAAAGGAGGTGCTCAGATCAAATTTTCTATTTGTCTAGCAAACACTTGTATCACATTCATGTCACACGAGCAAAAGATGGAGTAGCTGGGAATCGAACCCAGAACCTTCTCCACTCAGTAATGCTCAAGGAGCAATGCTAAGAAGATGTCATACCACTAGACCACAACCCCAATTGATGGAAAGCCTTCGCTGAGAATAGTACACAACGCTTTGTGTAAGCTTCCCTCCGTCGCACAGCAAGGGAATCAGAATACAAGACTGGCATGTTGAGATGGCAGTGAAGTACAACAGAATTCGTAATCCGTGTCAATGACCTCTCTAGAGCTTGCTAGCTTCTGTTCCCTTCTCAAGCTCAATCACGAGCTTACCGAATTGACTGGCATTCTTGAAGTCCCCGAACAAGCCATCGATACCCTCGAGGTCGTCAAGCCCGGTGACTGTTCTTGATACGACAGGTCGAATGTTCTTGGACGAAACGAAGTTGACCATGTCAGCAAATTCCTTTCTTGAACCCATTGTAGAGCCACGAAGATCAATGTTCTTGAGAACAGCAGCCATCGTGAAGGGCATCTTGGGGCCCGTCGTCATGCCATATGAGACGATGACACCGCCAGGCTGTAGAAGGTCAGTATGAAAAGAAAACCAGAAGGCATAAATGATACTCACCTTCAAGATCTTGAAGGTCTTTCCAACAATGTCACCAGCAGCGCCATCAATGACAGTATCAAGGAACTTTCTGTCCTTGGGTAGTTGCTCCAACAGCTTCTTTTCCCAATCCTCCTCCTTGTATATAACACCTCCTGCAGCACCTAGCTTCTTGGCCTTGTCTAGCTTTTCCTGACTTCCACTGGTCACGAAGACATTCGCACCAGCGGCAGTTGCGAACAGCAAGGCCATGAGTGCTACACCACCTCCAATACCAGTGATGAGGACGTTGCGGCCAGGTTTGCAATTGCCGCTCTTGGTGACAACCGCTCTCCAGGCAGTCAGACCCGTGAGAGGCAATGCTGCAGCCTCAGCATTGGAGAGATGCTTGGGTGCCTCCTCCAGCTCAGACGCATCAATGACCAGACTCTCAGTCAAGGTGCCCAAAGGGTTGAGCTTTGTTCCTCCAAGTATAGCATATCCTTTGGGATCTTCAGGACCCTCGGGGTCATCTTTCCATCCACTACCTGGGTTGAGGATGACACGCTTGTTCAGCCATTTCTTTGCTTCGGGAGAGGATCCGGTCGATGTTACGATGCCAGTGCCGTCTGCGAGTAGCGGAACACCGAAAGTTGTGCCTGGGTAGAGATGCTGACGAATGAAGTGGTCTCGGTGGTTCAATGCTGCAGCGGTGATTTTGACAACGACTTGGTTGTCCTTGGGCGTGCTTTCGGGGACATTGATCTTCTCTAGAGGATAGTAAACTTGGCCGGGCTTGCCGTCCACTTTGCGAATTGAGATAGCAGCAGGCATTTTGCTGAGGAATGGTATGTTACGGGTGATTGAACAGAGCTCGCAACACCACTTGACCTATCTTGAATGGTTACAAATCAATACCAAGAGGACTCCTTTGCCCCGTCCATGCGGTTATTGCGGGGCGTCATTGTCAAGGTGGGGAGAGCTTGGGTTCATCTTGAGCCGAGGCTGTTTGATCAGAGATGCTGACTCAGCTTCTGTGCAACTTCATGTCCTGGCTTCGGAGGCTTCATTGTTTCAAGATATCAATAGTGGCCAACATAATGGCACCAAATTTCATTATATCCGAATTCTCATCAACTCGATCAAAGCCATGAGCGCCTTCGCTCTACCAGCAAACATTTTTGCCCATCGGCCATCTCAAGTCCCATCGTGCTCCCATCTGTACTCATAGGCACGTCAAATCCTTGTCATAACCGCCGATGAATTTTCTGGAGCCTCTCAATCGATGCGACGATACATGGCGTCTGCAATTCTTGCCTCCAACTGCTCTTGACGCATCTCTGCTAAGCGTGCGTTCCATCTGACACAGTCTGGATGCTCGCAAGGAATGTTGGTTCCGCCGAAGTATTCCAGCTTCTCATACTGCCACTCGTTTCTGTGACACTGTACGCCCGTACGTCTGGCCTCTCTGCAATAGTACTTGTAGACGAGCCCATGGCGGCATTGGTACCAGGCCTTACGCAGCTCTCGGCACATGTTGGAGTTAATGTTCGCTTGATTGTTCTACATCAATTCTGTTAGCGGATCAACACAACTGGAGCTGCTGGAGTTCTTACCTTGAAGATTTTATGGATCTCTGTCTGCTTTTCTTTGGATTTTTGACAGTAATGCTTCTTTCTTCCGTTCGGCTCTCGAGAAGCATTTTTTATACTGTCTTTGCCCATGAGTACAGCGAATTCAGCGCTGTAACAGCCGGACAGTACAACAGCCACGTCACTCTTTCAAGTATCCTACTTTGACTTCTACCCCATCACGAGGCATCCAGGCATGAAATTTGTAGGCTTTCAAATCCGGATTTCGGGTGCTGACTCCATTGTCTTTGCAAGTTGGACATTCATTGCGGTGCGGAACAACTTCATGCTGGCATTGAAGCCACTCGCAAGCTCTGCGTTTGTCCAATGCCGAATTGCATGGTTTGATCAGCGCCTCGCTCTCATGTCGGCAACCTGGCCAGACCATTCTTTCGTATCGACACATGACAGAAAAGGATTAATAAGCTGGACGATCAAAAACAAGCTTCAGGCACACAAATATCGTTGATCTTGATCAGCAAGAAACAGCAGCGGGACTCTTGGCCTTTAACAAGCTCCCTGCTTGGATACTACTTACGGAAGCCTCTGCATCTCCCTTTCCCCAGGCCGTGGCGTTCTGTACCACATTCACCACGCCCTGTGCTACAAATAAAAAGCAGGTCCCCTTGAGACTCAGCCCTGTCTGCTGACAGCATGTCTTTGCGAAACAATACCTTCGTTCCAGTCATATGAAATTCAGACGCCCCTGATACCGGTTTGAGCTTGCTGACAAGCCATAAAACCCGTGGACTTGGATCTGGAAATGCGGTTCAGCAATCTTTTAGACACATCACCACTCAGGCCTCGAGAGGCTCTTCCAATAGGTAACATGAAAGATGATCAGTCGATTTTTCAACCGCTCGATCCATACGCAAAGTCAGCAAGTGAAACACCTTTTCTGCTGAGCGCTCTCAACATCTTTCTGCTTCTCGTTCTGTTCAACTCAATCAACTCTGCTTGAGGTGACCTCAGTCTATACACCCCACTTGGCCTGCATACCTTTCGCATTCTCTCTGTTGCTTTGTCGATCTTCTCCTCGCCTAAGCATCGCGAAGATTCTTTTGTCTTCGGGGATGACCGTATCATGACTTTATCCTCCGATTCCCCTCTCGTGGGTGCTATCGCCCTGCTTGGATGTATGGGTTGCTCCCTTCCCGTGAATAGAGAGCATGCTGTTGGTGGCACATTCTGCTAGGTTGTCCGGTGTTGGATCGGCAAAATATGCCCAAGCTCAGGTGCACGCCGCGGATCTCTTAAGCTCAATCATGGTGCCGGTCCGGAATTGATCAAGCTGCAAGGTCTCTTAGCCATCTGGCTTGAAGAGCTCGCTCGAACGGAGATGCCCAAATCCCATCCTGCACGTTTCTGGAAAATGGTCAGTCCGCAGCATTTTTCGATCTGCAGGCATCGCCTCTGGTCAAGAGATGTTTCTCGGTTACGCAACAAGGGTCGTGTCGGCAGTCTTTTGGCGAACGCAAATCATATGTCGTGGCCAAGCGTTAACACACCAAGGCTGACACTGAAATCTCACGCATGTCAATCTTTATATGTTGCGTTGTTTGGGTCATCTTCAACCAGAGACAGTGAGGCCAATCGGACCCTTCCATGGGACCACCAGTTGAGGTTGCGCTGGTCACTTAGCGGAGGGGAATGGTGGCCCGACTGTCTCATTCTTTTTTTTCTCCCTGGCTGAAGATTCCGCGTTCGACTCGGCCGCTGGTCACTCAACATTTTGCTGATTATGATTACACCTAATGCCAGCATATGAATGGTATACGACTGAGCAAGACATTGATTGGCTCGAGATCCATCCTACCATTTTACCATCCGTGCAATTTGCACACATCTCTGACCAAAAGCTATTTTTTGGTCGAACATAAGGCTTGGTCGAGTCAAAATCTGCGGCCCTCGGACAGTAAGTGGTGCTCATGTTTTCCCGTGTCCACAATCAGCAACAGGGTTTTCTGCTGCTTCAAGTACACAATCTTGAAATGAATCATGGCTTGAATGGAAGCTCCAGCAGCTAGATGAGATTGCCTGCATCACGGTAAGATCCATGTAAGTCTACCTTATGGTTCATATACTGTGCAATGTTCACTTTTGTCATCCGAGATAGCGAGCCAATCGGACTCTTGCATGGGACCACCAGTTGAGGTTGCGCTGGTCACCTAGCGCAAGGGAATGGTCTCGGCTATCTCATCTTTTTTTCGCCGAGTTCGTGGGTTCGATCCGCCTTCAATTCCTTCCCATCCCTTGTCTTTTTTGTTTTCTTTCCTCGGAGCTTCGCAGGCACCTATTCTTCACTCACCATTCTTGAGATAGCGATATGTGTCTGGTTTCATCTTTTATCCGCAAGCCAATGCTTACCCTCTGCTCGGGATGTGATCTCTAATCATTTACGGAATAGCATAAAGAGGCACGTGGATCTGTTCGAGGTCTGTGAGCAACATGCACTGAGAATGAGGCTGCTATCAGCTCTCCCAATACGACTCTCAAAATTGAAAGCAATTGTGTGTATCGACAACCGCATGTGGCTGAAGCGGTTGCCAGAGAAAATCTTCTGCACCAATTCTCCGTAGTGATTGAGTCTCGTCTCAACCTCGGCTCTCTCGCTCTCACTCCACGATCGGTTTCACCACACCAGGCTATCTTTTCTCACACGCACACCATCGTGATCTTCTATTCCATAACGTCAACAATTCCTCTCGCGTATCGCACAGCCATCAGCCATGGATGACGGCTATCAAGACGTAATCAGGGGTTCGCCTGTTGACCGCAAACCCGACCGCGCATCTCTTGACGCCGCTTTTGGAGTTGAGGTGCAAGCTCCCGGCCCGCTTCATTGGTACAATCCTGCTGTATACACTCAAGCTGTCGCTGGAGCCACTTTGGTCGCCAATTTTCTGATCAAAGAGTCGTTCGATCGCTCCATCGCGTCCAGTATCGGCGGCGTTACTCCCGAAGTAAACCAAGAACATCTTCTTGGTTGTGATCCCGCTCTCTATCACAATGCTATCCAAAATGCAACCTTGAATGGTCGTCTCCTCAAGGAAAAATTCGATCAGGATATTGCTCGCATTGAATACCACCCTTTGAGTATCGTATATCCTCCCCTTACCATCCGCCAGTCGACAGAGCCTCGAGCCTTCCATCAGCGACCTGAATCAATGCCTCTAGCCTCTCAAGCTGTGGAAGGTCATGGCAATCTAGCATCTCACGCCCCTGAGCCTTCTGCAACTCGGGACACTCACACACCACCACCTCACACAGTTCAGGCCAATCACCTCACTCATCCTCAGAATGTACAAAGACAGCACTTTGCTCATCGAGTCGATACTCAGGTCAAACCCCACCCCCCTGCTCATCCTCAACCTCGCGCGAGACGCGCGAGTCCACTTCCCGAGCAAGACACTGCTTGGGCTGATCATAAGCGAGGTCGAGATCGTCGTCGTAGAAGTCGCAGCCCTCCCATAGACCGTCAAGATCAAACTCATGCCACATATCACCGCAGAAGAGCCAGTTTCTGTTGGCAACGACCAGTTTGAAGATGCTACATTGCACGGCCGCCACAGAGACCATGGTCGTGCTTCTCACAGCAATACTACTGGCGAAGATGCTTATGATGATATTCACGATGATGCTCACGACGATGCTCACGACTACGGTGCTCGCCATATCCCTGACCCTGGAAACTCTACAGCTGCCGCTCCTGCTCACCTTCTGCCTCCTTCTACAATCGAAATTCAACACAATCCTTGCTCTGCAGAGCTCTGCTCCAAGAGAGACGTCGACCACACGACCAACTATCGTCCACCTGAACCTCCTTTTGAAATTGACCATCCTTCAGCACTTCAATCTCTTCCCAAAGACCACGGCAGTCACAGTCACGACCTTCCTGAGCACGACGTCCACGACCACGACCTACCTGAGCACGATCACAACATAATCCAGGTGAACAGCGACTTGATCAATGCCTATGCCTCCAAGTCGGTGCTTACTCGCCCTCTCCTACCTTCCATCACCGAGCCACTGCAAAAGAAGAATAGACATGCCGTTTGCATTGAATGTTGGAGCAGAGGTCTGAAATGCGATGCCAAGGTGGTTTGCGGCGAGTGTGCCTGGCGCGATAGACCATGCTCCTATGTCCAATGCCCCCTGAACAGCTGCCCCCGAGACATCATGTGTCCTGCGTATCATACATGGAGAGGAGATGACCAGGCACGTGTTGTGGGCAGCTCCATGCACTTGATAGTGTTGCTGAGACTGGACCCTCCGTCATCATCTCCAGATTACGACTTGAGCGAGATAAAAGCAATGTTCAGCAAGCCTAATTCAGCTGCAAGTATCTACCGCCGAGTTGCGGCTGAGATCAAAGAGGAAGAGGACAGTGGTAAGGGAATTGATAGGACATTTGTGAAGAAGCTTGTCTTGAGACGTGGTGCTGCTGTTGCTTCAAACAACAGAGCTTTGATGCCTAAGGTTGACTTGATCGTCGATCTTGTCGCCGAAATGAAGTAAGTCAGATAATGAAAAACCGAAACTACGCCTTACTAACACATCTGGTATAGGCAGGCTAGATATCAAGAGCCTTACAAGCGTGAGCAGAGGGCTCTCAGGTTTGGTCCTACCTCATAACCGTAATCTCGCAGCAGATAAGTCTGGCTATGGATGGTCAGAATGTGTTTTTCTTCATTTCTTTTATCTTTGCAGAGGCTTTGGACACATTCATTGTGGTACAACAACAACAACAACAACAACCAACGGCTTTGGACTGTGTAGAGCCAAAGGAGATGGGAACAAGAAGCAAGTTGTGCGGCTGCAGGAGATTGCTGCATTCGACACTCACTCCAAGATCAATCAGGGATACCACATTGCAGCATTCCTCGTTTGAATGCTTGATAAGACGATCGTTTCTTTGTTTTTTGTTTTTTGGTTCAAGGATGATATGGGGTGAGAGAAGTACCCAGGGTAGGTGTCAGACCAGCTTTCAGTTCTCCAGTCTTCGTAGGTCCTTACTTTTACTTGAAAATGCGCTCGTTCATATTTCTCGTTCCCTGAAGATTGCAATGTCCCATAACTGGTCAAGGGAGAGGTCTTGGCTGCGCGGTCTCTTTTCCACGCACATTCTGCGTTTGTTTTGCTTCACTTTTCCGTGGCCCTCAAAACCATTCTCACAGTGCGTCGCGAGTCGATTTGTCAATCTACCCGTGTCCAGTCATAGTTGCTTCCTACAGGACTGTGCAACACTTCTGCCAGGATGTCATTCTGTACACCATTAACTACAAAGGAGCAAATAGACATGTCGCGAGAAGAGCGCCGCCATGGATGCGCCGCCCTTGATACCAACAACACAGCCGAAACCACTCAGTCTTCTCCTCGCGTCGATGCATACAACCACAACACTACGGCCGCACAGTCTGCTGAACACGGCGTACAGAGCGTTCAGAGGCAGCAACCTTCCATCCATCACGCGCATGTCCCACTCTCTTATCGCCCACGCACTATGGCGCATTTTGCAGTCCCAATTGCTCATCCTGCCCCTTCTGGTGCTGCTCAAGCACAAAACCCCACCTCAAGCCGCCCTGCTCCCCCTGTCTTCCACGGAGACGTCGCTCTTGAGCCTCTGTCATCAAGCAATGCAGTACCAACCCCTCAACACCTCGCCTTCGACGAAGAGCAGCAAGATCAAGGAAGCGACTCCATGTGTAGCAGAAGTTGCAATATGAACGATGATCGTTTCACCAACGCCATGCCTTGTACTCCACGTCACAGGAGCCGCAGCCCTGTCCTGGCTACGCGACCTCTATCCTACCGCGATCGTAGCCCTGCTCGTCGTCAAGGTAGTAGCATACTTGATCCCGGTGCTGAGAGTGAGCCTGCGTGGGTCTCAAACGGAGCTGGTGACCAGAACATGGCTGATGCAGATGTTGAGGATGAGCTGCTTCGTGTGGCTGAATTGCAGAAGCAGAGGAACAGAGACGCAGTCTGTGTCCATTGTTGGCTCAAAGAACTGCCTTGTGACCATCAATGGCCCTGTAAAGAATGCAAAGCCAGAGGCAAAGCTTGTGCCTACATCGCTTGTCCTATGAAGAGCTGCGCGCTCGATGTCAAGTGCCCTGCCTACCACCAATACCGGAGACTACCGAAAGAGAATCGCAAGATCGGATGCCCCATGCACATGATCGCACTTTTTAGTCTCAACAAGCCCTTGATCGATTCATACAACATACAGAAGATTGAGAAGAAAATGGAAGTTCCGACCTCTGCACAGCAACTCTACCTCCTGCTACAGGAAGAAATCAAGGACATCGTTCAGCAGAGAACCACTCTCGACGACACGATGGCCAAAAAGTTGCTTCAAGAGTCTGAGAAGGTGCCTCCTCTGGGCGACAAAGGTTTGAAGATCAAAGCTAGGTTAATTGTCTCGCTGGTCAAGGAGATGAAGTAAGCAGGCTTTCCCCCTCGAAGATGCAAACGCTAACATTATGTAGAAAACAGCCCTTCCTTGAGCTGTGGGAGCATGATCGCAGACAGCGCAAGTTTGTTTCTCAGGAAAGGAAGCCATTGGAAGTCGAGGACACACCTATGCTCGACTCAGAAGGATAGGTTCGGGTGGTAATGCATACTGTCCGCTGGGTATTGTCACTGTTGGTACCGCAAGGGAGCCCAAACAGCAAGTGTTAAAGTATCTGCTCAGGTCTGTCGTTCGTCATCAAAGAGCTCAAGCGAGTCTCTGCTCTGCCGAGACTCGAGCATCTTTCCATAGCCCGATTGAAAAAAACCATGGAGTTTTGTAAAGAAGATGGTTCACGGGGTTGATTATGCATGGGCAAGTAGCTTTCTTTCAAGCTGTCAGGGACCAAGCTTTCAGATGAGGTAGCATCCGTGAAAGCACAGCGTTAGGTCATCCTAGGTAGCTACTATTCTATTCAAGACTGGCAAAACGCTACAGGCAGGGCGGCTTCCAACAATTGTATTCGTAAGCACGTCTTTGATGTTCTGATGAAGCAGGCGGTTGCATTGATTGTAAGCTTTGCCGTGCGCAATTCTGGCAAACCTCTTCTGACCCAGACTTTAGTGCAGAGTATCCACAAGAGGCGACATAGACCACAAGAACCCTTCACCACCTCCATCTCCACCTTCGCCAGCTAGTCGCCATCGTCTAATGCTGCCGCCCCGATACTCCAGTCGTACATCCACTTCTGAGGCAGGCCATACCGTACCACGTTCTTCACCTTCTCGCTATACCAGCCACTCACCTGGACCTCAGGCGCCTCCTCCCCGTCACACCAGTCGTGCACCCGAACGCTCTCAGCGTCGTGTACTTGAATGTACTCAAAGTCGTGCAATCCAACGCACTTAGCTTCGTGCTTCCGCTCAACCTCGCCACAGCCGTGATCGGCCCAGGAGTCGCAGTCCAGTTCTCCGTCAGGTTGAGTACTATCCTGACTACGTGGTGCCAGTGACTAGAAATGGTCAGCGAATCTTGATCAGACGCAGTGTTGTTTCTCAGGACCGCATTGCTCGTGAACGCAATCGTGCAGCTGCTCATCGAGGTGTTCGTCAGGCTGTTCGTCAGCGCGGTCAAAATGTGATCATTCTGGATTGAAGAGATCCGGGGGAGATTGAAATGGTTTCGCGAATCGTCCTTTTGTTCTTTGAAAAGTTCTCTTCGAAAATTATTGTGGATAAGAACAAGATGGGCTCCAAAAGCAGCTCGAATGGTATAGAAGTCGGGCTCTCCTGTAGTTTCAGGCACCTACGGGTACACTCAATTGATGCACTTGCTTTGAGAGAAAGATGATTGAAAACCTTCATCGACAATCTTTTGTTCGTTTCTTAGTCAGGTGGTCTTTTAGCACCGCGTACATCCTATACCAACAGTAAGCGATGCGATTTTGGCATAGCAGATATTCATAAGTTCACTTTGACAAACTTCTGATGTTGGCTCGCGACATTCATGGTTCGCTGAGTAGACAGATTCTTTCCACTTGGGTAACGTAATTTGCATTATTGGTCTAGCCTAGACTTGACACGAGTCTTTGACAACGACAAATGTTTTTGACATCGACTTTATTGCGTTTTAAAAATCATCAACCTTAGCTTTGCGACGGGCTTTGTATCGCAAACACAATATCATGCAACGATTGGTACTTCACAGATGGAGAGTGTTTGAGGAGCAAGTTGTGGACAGGGTCGTACCTGCTGCAAAGGATTAAGATGTTGTTATTGCGAAGCCGGAGTAAGCCATTGCTTGGCGGATTTGGTATATAATCGTGCTGTGCGCCAGTAGTCTAAAAAATCAAGTTCCTTTAGCAATTACATCTAGTAGCTAAGCTCTAGAAGGCCTCCACGGCCTAGGGTGCCCTCTATAGCCCTTAAAAGGTAGACTTATAACTATCTCGACTTCGCACAACGCTAGCATCGCTATTATGCTTCTTATTAGTTAACTTGTAGGAGTTACAAGGATATAATATAGTTACAAGAGTAAGCTAACATTAGCTTCCCTTAGTCTGCAACTACACTTTTCTTATAATTAGCTACAACCCCTATAACTTTAAGGATAAGAGTAGCAAGGCATTTATTTTCGAGCTAAGCTTATAGCTTTCTATTCTACTAAAGACAAATATGCGTCTATAAGGAGTTATAAGATAGATCTAAGTAGTCTTTCTAGCCGGAGGAACTCTAATTAATATAAGAAGGATATCCCTTCTTATAAGAGGACTAGATAGTATAGTACTACTAACATAGTACTTTAGCCTCTTTAAAACTTCTTTATATCCCCTACTTATACAACTCTCTTACATTCTAATAGAACCCGATCTCTACTACGACCCTATAACTAGCTACGCCTAGCTAGAGGGATCTGTAACTAGCTATTAACCGGTTAGAGGACCTATAACTAGGCCGTAATAAGTCGGTTAAGAACCTCGAGACCCTTTATCGATAACCTATAAAGAACTACTCGAGATCCTCTACCGTATAGAGTAGAACTACCTAAACTAAGAGGCCGAATATGTAGAATACTAGGTAAGGAACTAACCTAGTTAGTAATAGCCCCTATAATAGGTGCCTCTACCTTCTCTATAGCTAGAGCTAATATAACAAGATACTTCTCCTACTTCTAGCTTTATAACCACTGCTAGAAAGCATAAGTATCGTCTAAAAGTACCTATTTAGAAACCTCCTATCTTTAAAAAAAAGATAAAGAATAAAGAAGTAGACAATTAGATTACCTAACTTAAAAACTAGATAGGTTTATAAGAGGACTTTATCTTTTATAGACCGTTATAGGATAACGAAAAGAACTGCCTTACTTCTTCCTATCTAGAAGGGGACCCATTTAATTACTAGTAAGAACACCTTATAGTTAATTCTTTTATAGCCTAATTATTAAAGATCTAGTACTATTATACAGATCTCGATTAGATAGAAATTAAAAAGAGACGATTTAAGCATATAAGACAGACTAGTTTAGCTAGGGCTTTTATAAGGGACTTATAAACCCTTTTACGTAAACTTGTCCCTATCCTATCTCCTAAAACTTTTCTTAGAAGGTATAGGGATAGCCTTTAAGAAGATGTAAGAGATGCTTTAGACATATAGCTTTGTTTACTCTCGAATACTCTAAAAGATAATTACATTAATAGGGCTATTACTCTTAATAAGGTTCATTTTCGTTATAGGAGGAAGAACTAAAGTAAGAACCTAAATGCAACTATCGAATCCCTTAATATAATAGGTAAGAAGAAGAAAGGTAAGGGTAGTAGTAGAGGAAAGGGCAAATAGGATAAGTTAAAAGTTACTTACTATTCCTATAATAAGCCTAGCTACTATGCTAGAAAATGCCGTTTAAAAAATAAGTAGGTAAGGTTATAACTAAGGCAACTTCCTTACCTTCTAAGGCTTCTAACGAAGAAGAGAACCTAGTTATAAGTATAGATATAAACGTAACTACTAGATCTTCGCTAGAAGAGGAGACTAAATACTTTGCTACCCTAGATAGCGGTCTTCTTACGCTACATAGAACTATTAGACCTCGTAATAAT